CTATCATATTCTCCATGTTGTGTTTTCTGCAACGCGTTCCGAATTTTTAAAATATAATTTTTAATTCTGGCGGTTGCCTCCGGCAACGCGTTTTCTGCAACGCGTTGCGAATTTTTTAAATTAGATTAATTGTAAAATTAACTTATAAATTAGTTTGCCTCATTTTTAAAAATTTTATATAATTTTTCAGTCTCAGACTCAAATCTAAAAATGAGACTCAAGTGTCCTTTTTATTAAAAATTCATTTTTTAATATCCCCTTTAATTTTTAGAATTTTTAAAATTCATTTCCACTGATTTTAGCCTTCAGACTCAAATATACCACACTCAGACTCAAGTGACCCCTTCGAAAATATTTTTAAAAAATTCGCCAGATTTTTCCGCGTCGAATGACACCTCATTCATATTTTTCCGATAGCTACTTCAAAAGTTACAAAAAACAGCTCAGCGTTGCTTAACTTTCCAGATCGGACGGTCTAGATCGTCAAATTTAAAAATTTTTTTCCAAAATTTTAATTTTTTAAAAAATTCATAACTCGGTCCAAAAAAGTCAAATTAACGTTAAACAAAGCTTATTCGATGCAGAATTTAATTCTCTATCTTACATCTTCCAACACTTTTCTTCTAATTCCAAAAAAAATATAGTTAAGGTCACTTTTATGCAACTTCTTCAAAAACGCACTTTTTACTCCATATCTTTTTTTCTGTTAATCGAATCAACTTGAAACAAACTTTTTTCTTAAGAAACTCACAACGCTCTACAACTTTTCTCCCAACGACTTTTTCCTATCTCGTCGATAAACACCTTAAATCCAAAGTTACCACTTTGACATAAAAGTTTGTAAACAGCACATCTACCCTTCCCGTTGTCAGAACGACTCCAACTTTTTTTCTATCATATTCGAAATATGCTCTAGATGATACCTTGTAACTGACCCAACTTCCCCTGACTTCGTCTTTTATGTCAAATTTTACGTCAAAGTTTCGAAAAAACACGTTTTTTCAAAATATCTAAAAAACTCGCCCCTTTCCCCCAACTTTTGGAGGTTTTCCTGAAAACTACATTAAATTTCCCATCTATAGCAAAAAACCCCACCCCGATACACCCACTCAAAAGCTCTGGGGACTTTTTTTTAGCTGACTGCCTTTTTACTATTATATATAGATAATATTTTTTATTTATTTAAATACAAGCCAAACATATTTAGAGGGGAATAGGGATCAGACCGAGACTAGATCTCGAGTAAAAATAATTTTTGCAAAACGAAATTTTTCTAATTGAGCGGTTGCTTCATTAGAGAGGGGATTGAGATTGACTCTGAGAGGGGATTGAAAATGAGCGACAGGGCGCTGTATTAGAGAATGTAAATGATCCTTCCCTTACCTACATATATTTCGGTGATCCTGTCAAAATAAAAAATAAATTCCTGATTTTCTCTAAGAAATTCTCGATCTAGGACCCGTCTGGAATTCTCGGTTTTCGGAAATCGGGACGATAGGATCCCTTCGTATTAGATTTCGGATAGAAGCTCGGCGTTTCTGGTAACTGGGTTAAGGTATCCCATACTAGAGACCGGACCGAGGCGAGATCTCGATCGAAAATTTCGGTTATCGAGATCAAGATTAATCGAGATCTCGATTTTTATACGACTCTTCCAGTCCGGTTCCTATTCCCATACTCGTGCCATCCAACCTGATAAACAAAAAATTTTTGTTATTTATTTCATTATATTTTTTGTTGCCATTTTTTCAAAATTTATTCTCTCCTTCCCTTTAATTTAACTAATTAAAAATATTTTTTAATTGTTCTTCTAACCCCATCCATTTTATATTTTTAATATTTTTGGATTAACACTTTTTCTCTCTTTTTTTTCTTTCATCTACTCACTAAATATTCAAAAACATTTTTATTCCCTCCATGTTTTGTTCCCCGCTCGTATTTACTAGACTCCCCACATCCTTTTTATTTTATCCGATAGAGGATATATTAAATAAGAGGGGAGGAAAACACTCATGCGCGTAATTTTAAGCTCTCTTCCCTTCCATTTTTTTTTTTGAAACAAAAAATTCCAGATCGTTAGAAAATTGAAAATTTTTTTATATAATTTTTTTCTTGTCTAATCTTAAACCAGAAGGGTTAATTTTTAAATTTAAATTAAAAATTCGAGTAAATTATCTTTAATAAAGGGAGGTATTATAGAACGGCTCTCTCTCCTTGAATAAATGATAATAAACACTCTCCCTTACTAAGGTTGTCGGATAGTTGGAAATCTTCGGATATCCGGATTTGATATTCCTATTCGAAAATTTTCTGATATCCGGCCTTTTTTGGACCCGGATCCGCCAACCTTATCCCCTACCAGAAATATACATATACATCTAGGCTTTGATGTTACACTCTCTTATCTCTCCCTCTTTTTTATATTAGTCTTATCATTTATAAATATCACACATCCCTTTCCTTTTCCCATCCCCTCTCTAGATAAGTCCTGCTCGTCTTCTTACCCCCACCATTCCCAAATACCGTATATCATTTAATAACTACCCTGGGTAATTATTGTTTTGATCTTCCGCTGGAGGGAGTAATTAATCGAGGGAGGGTAATTATATGGGGTTTGAAATTTGAATGTGTTTTAGGGCGGAGGGTAATTATTGTTTCATTCCATCGCTGAATGGGGTAATTATTTGAGGGAGGGGAATTAATACAGGTTATACGGTATCTCACTCTTATCCTATCCTTCATCACCTACCTCTTAGGTTGTAATAACTTAGAGCGTCATATCTTAGTCCTTTCGTTTATCTTCATTTTTAATAAAGACCAAGCCAATATGTAGTAGATCAAAAATAATTTTATAATCTCATTTTTCAGCTTTTCCTTTATTTTCAATCAAACAACGCGGATTATCCTTCCCCCAAACAACAAAGAAAATACCAAATCAATTGCGCATCTTTTTTTTCTTTTTTATTCAAAAAAACTTTTCTTTTATTCCCCCAAATTTTTAAAGAATCAAAGGACTAGAAAGCTTTATATCCAACAAAAAATAGCTTTGTTCCTTTAAAATAATTTTTTCCTCCCCTTAAACGAATCTTTAAATTAAACAAAAATTGCGAATAAAGTGCGTGAACTACAACGACAAGGCCGTTATATTAATCGTTCTATGGACTACTTAGAGGTACAAAAATTGTCTAGAAATTCCAACATGTTGGGGAAAAATCAGAATAAAATACCTAACGTTCAAAATACCCCAAGTAAGATAAGTGCAGAAAGAATATAGGTAAATGAAAATAATAACCCATCATCGGGCTTGATGGTGGGTGACAGTCGGTTGTGCTTCGGTCTGGCCTCATTCCATGATGGTTCAATTTCATCTTCCATCCAAACAATTTTTCCACAGCAAGAACATCGTATACAATAATGAGTAAAAATATCCAAATTTAATTTTGGATTTGGAATTTAATGTGTAATTTAATAACTTGTTAAAGGGTGGAAGTAACGTGTAGAAACGTCGCCTACCACGAGATTTTTCCACTGTCATAATTTTTTAGGTAAAAAACGACCCTATAGAACTACTCTAGGTCTAGGAGAAAAGTCTCTTATAACGGAATTCCACATTTACCGGAGTCTCTACTAACGAGAGTTGACTATATAGAGGCAACACGAATTTTCACTAAGGACGTTTTAACTAAAACCCTTTCAAACCTCATTAAATTAATCAAAAAAAAATTCAGGCAGAACCTTCACCTTCTCTTTACAACGGAATTGTACCCTCCTCCTCCTCATCCGTAGCTTCTCGTCTTTACCTAAACGGACAACGCTCATCTAGACGAGATTCTTTTAGTTCAGACCCAGAACTTATTCATTTACACGAACATTCCGATTCCTGTGCTGGCTCAGATTCTAACAGTGCTGCTAATCAGGCAATTTAAACAGAATGCCAAAAATTTCAAAAAAAAAATTTTTTTTGAATTTTAGGTGTCCCTCTTTGCCCAAAAACTTTCAGAACTTCAAGACGAGAAAATTGCTGCGACAGAAGAAAAGTCTAGAATCCGAACAGAAAATGCTGTTCTACAGGAAAGAGTTCATTTGTTGGAGGAACAGCTCCATGCTACAGAGCAGAGATGGGCTGAAAAGTTGAACGAGGAAAAGGCTAAAGCTAGGGAGATGACTCAGAGGACTGATAGAGAGAGGCAGTTGGAGGCGGAAAAGGAGGCCCTTAGGCTAGTGATTTAAATAATAGTTTATGTGAGGTCATGGTTGACCGTTTTGAAAAAATTTCGTGATTGACCGTTTTGTAACAAAACCCTCTGAAACAATAGTCGGCTGACCCTTTTTAAATAAACTCAGTTTTTGACCCTTTTGAGATAGAATATGTTTTTGACCTTTTAGAAATACAGTAACCTTTACGAATTATTCGAGGTCATGTTGACTATTTTGGGGAAAAGGTAAGAGTGATCGTTTTGCGATAAAATTACCGACTGACCATTTTAAAACAAGCTCACAGGTTGACCCTTCTGAAACATTAGTCGACTGACCCTTATGAAATATAATCCTTCTTCTGACCCTTTTGAAACAAAATCCGTTCTTGACCCTTTTGAAATACAGTAACCTTTAGGGAATCCTTACTCATTCTTTCTTTATCATTCCCTCAAAAAAACATTCCTCTTTTAGGCATCAAATGCTCTCCAACCAAGTCACACAACTTGAACGCGAACGGGAACGAACAACCTCCGAATTGAGTGACGCTAAAGACCGCATTCGTCGCTTGCAGGATCAACTGACAGATTCACAACAAGAGGCAGAGAATGCCCATTTAGAGCATAAAGCGCTTAAAGCCGAATTTGAGAGGTGAAAAGGAGGGAGAAAAAAATTGGGGGAGGGGGAGAAGGGGGATTGGGAAATTAGCCACGAAAATTAAAAAAAAGAGAAAATCAATTTGTTGAGAAATTTAAAAATAAAAATTTGTAAATTCCCCTTAAAACTGAGGTGAAAATAAAAGAAAATATTTAAAAAATTATTTAGCTATCGCCGTGAAATGACTAACCGTTTGGAGGATAGTTCTGAATTTTTGGAAGAATTGGCTAGGCAAACGGACCATTTGAGACAGAATGAGTTGGAGAAAATGCCGAAACATGGGTCTTTAACTGATAGGGTAGGGAAACACTAAATTTTTATAAGGGAGAATATTGGAAGGAAAATACCCTCTATTGTACGGACAGTAAACTTCTACTATAAGAGACTTGGGAAAGTTCGTTAGAGCGAGGTGTCCATAAGGCTGAAGGTTCATAAGGGACAAAGCTCTTAATCCATTAATCCGTGAACAAAAGAACAAGTCGCTTATATTGAGCGGTCCTTAATATATGGTTCTATTATAGCGAAAGTTGATACAACGAGGTTTGCTCCTAGAAGCACAGACTATGTTCTAAATACATTTATAATACATCCATATTATGTACAATCTCTTTTGTAGCGGGGTGTATACGTTGTATGGAGGTTAAGATTTGTATAAAGGTGTATATTGTATAGAGGTTAAACAATTGTATAAAGGTGTACATAGCATATAGGTTAAGCCTTGTATAGAGGTGTATCTTGTATAGAGGCTAAGCATTGTAAAAAGGTTGAGCCTTGTATAAAGGTATATACTGTATAGAGGTTTTGTTCCACAAGAGAATTAGAAACTCCATTCCTTTCCCAGTCAAAACCTCTTTTTAATCAACTCCCTTTTTAAGATTATCCAATTGGAAGACGAAGTTGACAGACTACAAATTGAAAATCGCGAACTTCAAACCCATTGTGACGACTTACAGGCCCAATTATTACACAATTCTGTGGAATGTGGACGTAGTTTGTTGGGGAATGGAAGTCAACCTAGCTTGGCTGCAGAATTGAATGGAACGAATAATGGGGGAATGGATGAACAAAAAGTTAGGGAAAAATTTTTTGAAATTTCAAAAAAATTATTTTTCAGTTGTTGAATATTATCAAAGAACAAGACATTGATAATCAAAAATTGAGAAATTATATTAATGGTAAGGTGGAAAGAGTTTTGGATAGGGAATTCGTTGGTTGAACCTCGTCTTTAAATTCTCCTTGGAAGATGAACTGGTGCTGAAAAGCTGGGGGGCCTTTGGGGGTTTCCAGACATGGAACTGTATAATGAGGGATCGTAGAGTATCGTATAGGCAACTTCCTACCCGGTCTTATCTCACCTAATATTCCCCCCTGTATGATACTTCCTACCCGGTCCTACTTCCCCTAGTATTCCCCCCTGTATGATACGATACTCTCATATCCCACCTAGAGCTGTTTCGAAATTACGACCTTATGGGTTATTTTTCGTTCGATCTCCAATTTTCGAAAATTTTTTTTCCAAACCCTCCTTGCCCATTCATGTGAGATATCTCATGTTGGTAAAACGGAACTTAAAATTTTGGGCTTAACCTGCGTCTTACTTGAAAGATATTATTTTTCTTTAAATTTCAGGTATCCTTATAAGAGTGGTCGAGCTACACCCTGAAATTCTAGAAATAAAGGATGATATGAACACATCAAGAGTTTCAGATGTCTCTGAGGAGAAGGAAGAAATTTCAAATGCTCCTTTATGACAATTAACCGGCGGTACTGCAACTACACGGACGGGTTATGGCAAACGTTCAACATCACAACCAACATCGCCAACTGCATCGGGATTGGTGACTAGAAGAAAATTTTAAAATAATTTTTTGAAAATTTTCAAAAAAAAATTCTTTTTGAAAAAATTTCCTAAAAAAATTTTAAAAAAATTTTCAAAAAAATTTTTTTTTTTAAAATTTCCTGAAAAAATTTAAAAAAAATTTTTCGAGATTTTAAAAAAAATTTTTAATTTTCAAAAAAATTTTTAAAAATTTTCAAAAAATTTTCAAAAAATTTCCAAAAAAAGAATTTCAAGAGAAAAAATTTTTTTCTTTCAGTTTGCTCGTAACGAATTAGAGCGTCTTTCCCTTCGCAAACCCTCTACCCGTTCTGCAGCACCGCCACCTCAAGAAGAAAATCAAAATTTAATGAAACGCTTGTACAGCTCTTTTTGGACTTTAAAAGAAAGATGGAGTGGAGAGAATAATGAAGGTAGTGTGGAAGGAACAAAATTGGAAAATAAAGGAGAAAAATCATTCGACATTCAAAAGACCTCAAAATAAAGAGAAAAATTGCAACACAGTCGAACCTCGTTATACGACACCCCTCTGGAAAATTGTGCCTTGTAAGAGGTGTAAACATGTACTAGAGGGTATACAAGCTTAGGCAGTAGTCTATCCAGTGGGGAACCAAGTTTGAAAAATAGCCACTAGTGATCGAGATTTTTGTAAAGCCTGGACCTATTCCTGGACTCTGGGGTTTGATTTATTGACCTGGGCCGGATCCTGGACCTGTAGTCAAGGAAAAACTCAGGCCTGGAAAAAACCAGGAAGGTCAAAAAATGCCTGGGACTGGACTCTGGGTACTGGAAAAACAAAGGCCTTGGTCCAGGCCCTGCTAGATCACTAATACCCTCTATTGTACGTACAGTAAATTGAAGCTTAAATTGAGACCAACTCTAATTATAAGATCTTCGTCTGGGACTAAACCAATTTTACCTTAAATAGGAGTTATAGCCTAAGTAGTTCACCACCCTGTAGTCATCCTAAATTGAGGCTTATCTAGAGGTATCTAATAACGAGGTTCGGCACTTTAAATATTTTCTACATACATAAGTACTAACAAATGAGCTAGAAAAACCATTCAATTTTGCTTTCATAACCCTTCAAGTTTTATTGTATATTTTAAGTAACAACTCATTTTTAACCCTTCTGTCGGGTTGTTTTCTGTGATGTTTATGAGTGTAATTTTTAATTTTTTTGATCTTAATCTATCCAAATAGGATCGGAAATTTTTTTATTTTTAAAAAATCTTCAAGGCAATATTCAAGGTCCTCAATTAATTTTGAAAGCTGTCAAATGAAACATTAAATCTATCAGAAATTAAATTTTATTAAATTTTTAATTAAATTTTTCGATCCTTAACATGAACTAAAAATACTTTTTTAACGTTCAAACTTTTTTATAATAAAATTTGTCTTACGGGCAGTTGGTAAAAAATGCGTCAGTGGATTTATATACAGTATTTTCCGATTTATATATGAAAAACTGGTTGAATTATTATCATTGGTAAAATAATAGAAGACGTTCCCAACTGGAAGCCAGAAAGTTTTTTTTCCAATTAAACAAAAGCGGTTTTTTAATTTTAAGAATTTAACTTTGTTTTTTTTATATTTTTTTTCAGATAATATAAAATTTTAATAATATATAATATGCTAACAATATTTATCAGTTTAGATTTCTCACTTACAAATATTATCAGTCAATATCGTCAAGAATTTTTAAAAATTAATTTCGAAAAAATTAAACCATCGTTAAACAAAATTTGTAAAAAAAAATAAATTTAAATTCAACTTTGATTCTTCGGAAACAGAATATTGAAGGCCTGGATATAGTTTGTAATATATATATGAAATTAATTTGTTTTTCCAATTCCTCCTCTATAAGCTCAATTTCTTCTTTCATTGTAGGTGGTAAAAAATATTAATGTTGTGTCTTATTGCTGCATTTACCTTTGCCTCCGCCCCGCCAACCCATATAACCCTGCCGTTTTCATCAATTTCACCAAGAAATGAATATCCTCAAGAAAATATGTTCACAAGTTAAAAATTTGGCAGCCCCTTTCGGCCAAAAGCCAATACTCAACTTCAAAGCATTTTGATTCCTTATGTACATCTCAGCGGCGATCGCCGAGTCGATCAATGTTTCCGAGCAATTACCAATAGCAACACAAAAAGCGATGAAAGTGCCGCAAAAGATGAGGAGGAACAAATAGGAGGCATACTTGTTCAACAAGTTTATAAAGATGATGTTACTGGAGATGAAGAAAATAACATGGAAGTACCAGAGAATAACATGGAAGTACATTCGAAGGTCCAGACACTTCCATGTTATTCTCTGGTACTTCCATGTTATTTTCTTCATCTCCAGTAACATCATCTTTATAAACTTGTTGAACAAGTATGCCTCCTATTTGTTCCTCCTCATCTTTTGCGGCACTTTCATCGCTTTTTGTGTTGCTATTGGTAATTGCTCGGAAACATTGATCGACTCGGCGATCGCCGCTGAGATGTACATAAGGAATCAAAATGCTTTGAAGTTGAGTATTGGCTTTTGGCCGAAAGGGGCTGCCAAATTTTTAACTTGTGAACATATTTTCTTGAGGATATTCATTTCTTGGTGAAATTGATGAAAACGGCAGGGTTATATGGGTTGGCGGGGCGGAGGCAAAGGTAAATGCAGCAATAAGACACAACATTAATATTTTTTACCACCTACAATGAAAGAAGAAATTGAGCTTATAGAGGAGGAATTGGAAAAACAAATTAATTTCATATATATATTACAAACTATATCCAGGCCTTCAATATTCTGTTTCCGAAGAATCAAAGTTGAATTTAAATTTTTTTTTTACAAATTTTGTTTAAAGATGGTTTAATTTTTTCGAAATTAATTTTTAAAAATTCTTTGACTAACAGAAATCCTTGAAATGGAGACAAAGATAGGGGTTTCGAATTGGGGTAACACAACCCTTTAAAATAAGAGTTGAGAATATTTTGTAAAGGAATTTAATTTTACATATCGCAATTTGGATGATGAAAAAAAATGTGGGAATTTCTTTAATAATATCCGGTCTTTTTCTAATCCCTTCTTAAAATTTTTTCCTCTAAATTTAACCCAAAAATTTTCCAAATACACCTTTTCGACGTTTAGGATTGGCATTTGACGATTCTCCCTCATTATCATCAATTTCTTGAATTGTGGGCCCAATTCCATTATTTGAGTAAATCACATCCTCTTGATGACGTCCTCCACGTCCATTACGAGAATAACTGGAAAATTAAAATTTTTAATTTAAAATTAAAAATATGTATGTGCAAGAATTTTTTAAAGTCAGCTAAAAAATTGTTAGAGAAACCCCCATCAAAAACGGACAGAAACATTTCTCAAAAATGATTTTTAGCAATTATAAGACAATAGAATGCAGCACCCGTTTCTATGTCTAACGATTCTCTTTAAAAAATCCTTCAACCCATTTTCTGCCACTAAAAAAGAGAGTAGGCTCTCCTACTAAAAAAATTTAATCCAAAATTTCCTCTTTGCAAAAATTTTTTAAATGCGGACCGGACGATACGACCTCACCCCTAATGTATTCGAATAAAGAACCCAATTTTCAACTATATTTTATCAAAATTATTTACCGTCCCCTTTGTTGTTCCTCCTCATCATCCGGAATAGTTATGATTGGCGCTGAAGTTTCTCCAGAATTGTGAAGATATTTTCGAGAATCTCGTCCTCTCTTCCCATTTTCAATTGCTTGATTACGATGAGTATTATGGCCACCAAAAAGTCCAGCAATTCCATTCAAGTTTTCCCGAGCTTGTGTTTTGAAACGTTCATTAAAGTCGCGGGCTTCGGCTAAAAATGAAAAAAATATTCGATTTTAGATGTTTAAGCTTTCAGGCATAACAGGATGGCCCCCTACAACTCAATGAGGAATGAAAATGCCAAGGAATGAAATGCGGGTAAATGGGGCCAACCCAACATTAAACCAAAATCTTTAGATTATTTTCAGATTCTGCGAAATTCCCGACTCTGGGACAAAATAAAGAAGCCTTATAGATTCAAAGAGGAAACGATCCCTTATCAAACTATGAATCAAAAATGAGAGCTAACCAAAACATTGAATAATTGGAAATAAATTTATTGTCAGTCCCAAAAATTCCACAAAAACTGAATTCTCAACAAAAAAATCCCCTAAGATTCCCAACGTTTAAGGGATAAAAAATAAATCAAATAAAGAAAATACCTTCCTCCATATTGACAAATTTTTGCTGAGAACGGAACTTTCCATCTTTGTCACGCTTCTTTTCAACAATATGGGATTTATCCCCAATATTGTGTCCAATCGAGACTTCTTCGCGTTCTCCATCACGTAGAGCTCTTAAAGATCTCAAATTAAAAAAGCAAACTAAACGAAACAAACCTTCGAGTTTCAGACACATTTCCAGCCTTTCTAGTGGATGACTGGACATACTTTGGAGGTCCATTGCCATCAAAAGAGACCATTGTAGATTGAGACATCACAAAAGAATTGGGGTCGTTCAGAGCCGTGTTGTGGATGTTTTGCTTTAAATGAAAGGAAAAATTGGTTAAAAATAGTTAAAGAATTTCAAAAAAAACCATTTGAGACATCATCCCACCAAGCATAGACCCTCCAAATCCAAAACCGCCAAAAGGGTTCATCATCTGATTATTAAAGTTGCGATGAGGGGAATTGAAATCGTCGTCGTCAGTCAACATTGGATGATGGGGCATTCCATTCCCGAAGCCATTTAGCATGTTAAAAGCATCGCCAAGCATTGCTTAAAGATTTTGGGTTAAGAAGAATTTAAAAAAATTAAAACAAACAATTCATCATATTGTCCATTTGCCGCATTTGACGATGAATTTGGCTGAAAATTGTTAAGGTTAGTTGAAAATAAATTGTCAGACTAAATGATCAGCCGAAACATAAGGATATAAAAAAAGTCAATAAGACTACCTAATTTGGATCACTCATAAAATCTGTTTGATCAAAGTAAATAAACAAAACAGTCCTTAAAGAGAAGACTGCCCCTTACAGAAGCTCACTTATAAGACTCATTTGAAGAGAACACCAAAGAATTCCTATTGCGGGGTGATTTTAAAATTTAGTTACTTAAGATAAGATACAGAATATGGCAAAATGTAAATGTATTCCTAAGCTCAAAATCTCCATAAAAACGGTCAAGATAAACCTCCCTTCCTTCCCCTAAAACCAAAAAAAACTTACTCGAAAGGGTTTCCAAAAGGATCGCCACCTCCACCGAACATGATTTATTTTAATTTGATTGAAGATCAATAAAAATAGCAACAAGTAGTTTTTGACTAAACTGAAAGAAAAATTACTAAAAATGAACTTTTTAAAAGTTGCTAGAAGTGTGACTTTCGAGAAAATTCGACAATTTCCTCATAGGCGCGTCAATCGATAATATACATAACGACAGAATTTCATCGAGAAAAGTCAAAACACCAAATTTTAAATAAAGTTTCGAAATATCGAATGACAAAATGGTCAAATTTAAAAATGGTCAAAAGTGAATAATTGAAGGATCGATCGTCATCCCTTTTTGATTTTTAGCTTGCTCTAGGAATTTTTAAAGGTTTGATGATTCACAACGTTCTAGCTTGCCTTCATGGAATGTTTGAAGAAGAATTTTCGGCTGATTCGTTAAATTTTAAAAATAAGGAGATTAAATAAAGGCTTCATTTTCTTAATCTTTTTCAGTTTAACTAGAGAATTTTGAATACAATTTGCAATTTTCTAAATTATTATTCTTTGAGGCTGTCAATTTATAATGTCTATGCAATCAACGATTCCTCCACCTCCTCAAGGTTTGTTTGTTATTTGATTGAGATTTGGGTGTTTTGAGAAAGAGGGGTGAGAGGTTTTTAACCGATTAACGCCCTTTATGTTCATGACTAGTGAGGTGAATAATTTCTTAATTCTCAGTAAAGGAGTTGGAAAGTACGTTAGAAAAGTATTTTTTTGATTCAATTTCTTTGAGAATAGAACCTCGATTGAATTCTAGGTCAATCTCTTCCAAGAGATTATCCACTTTCTGACTTGCGTCTCACCCTATCTTGGTACTTCCCGGCGTTGCCCCCCCTTTTTTCCTTCCTTTTTCTCTTAAGAATATATTCAATATATTATGATGGGTTTTGATTTAGATAGATCTTTGGAGCTTTCCCCGTTACAAGCTTAAACCCAATGCCTTGACCCTTATCACATGAGTGGGACAGGGTTCTAATCCTTGCCTATTTCCAACAAATCTCCCATTAATTTAAGATCCAGAATTGCAACGAATAATCGATTCAACGGCAGAATTTGTTGCCAAAAATGGCCCTGCATCTGAAGAAGTTGTTAGACAACAAAACAGAAATGATCCCCGATATGTTTTTCTGTTCGGAGGGGAATTCTCTGACTACTACAAATATAGATTGCTGTTTGAAATACAAAATTGTGAGTCTTTTTGCTTTGATTTTGGATATTTTCTTGTTAATTTCAGTGCAAGTAATTGCTCAAATACCTCCACCAACAACGAAGAATTCGTTGGAATTTGAACTAAAAAATGCAGAAGAACAAATAACTTGTCTTAGGAAGCAAATAATTGATTCCGAATCTAATTTAAAAGCACACGAGATGGCACTGAATTCTCAAAGACAGGTATAATGACTGGGCATTTTTTGTGTTTTGGGTTCGTGGTCCTTCACCCTATGCAAAGTCTTTGTTCCTGAAACGCCTGCCGACAGGTTTTAAGTCGGTTTAGTTATCCTTCAGTCCTTTATTTAGTAGTACCCTACTCTCTGTTAGAAGGACTGGTATTTTTTGCGATTTTGTGTCTCTGGCCATTAACATAGGATTCCACAGTTCGGTGTCTTTGAAGTTCCTGCCACTTGTTTTTTAGGTAATTTGTTTCTCGGGTGTAAGAATAATCCGCAAAACTCCCAATCCCATACAAAAATTTATTTTAAATTTCTTTCTCAATTTTAAGTCAAAAATTGATGTTTTATGGAGAGCAAAAGAGGATAAACGCATTGATGACTTGGTCAAACAAGTTGGACTAAATATCTCATCTTTTGATAAATGTTTGGAACGGCTACAAGAATCCGGCTCCAAAGATACAATTTCGGTCTGTCTCACTCTGACATGCAAAAATTTTTGTCAAAATTTTTTTCCTTTAAGTTTCTTAGAACTTCCCAGGGTTTTGATATTTCCCCCAAATTTAAAATTTTTTTAAGTTTTATGGGCATACAATTTTTCTTTTATTGTATTTTTGGTTTTTAGAACAGTAAAAAATGGATTTTCGACAATTGTAGTAGTGATCGTTTGCGAGAAATTATTCTTACTTATCTTCTGCACAGGTTTTTTGGCGTGTCATCACACTTTTAAAGAAATTTTGTTGTTAGCATGGTTTATCTAAAATTATTTTTAGAGTGCGGGAACGTACAGCTACCGATGCGTTTAGACTTCATGTTCTTTACTTAATTAATGATTGGGCACATTATTGGTGAATTTAGAATTTCTATAGGATTTTGGGGTGGGTTTGGGTTAGGTCTAGGGATTTCACGCGCTATTTGAAATCCGAAACCCGCTCGATTTTTCGATTCAGATTTCGATATCCTTTCCGAGTATTTTTTGAAAACCCGATCCGAAATCCTTTTTCTGTCATTTCTGATTGGGCCTTGCAAAGATTCTTGGTTTTCCCTGTTTTTTGCTCTAATTATAGTTTCAATTTGGCGTGTTCTAGTATTTGTTAATAAATTGGGGTATCTATTTTTTTACAAATTAACTCCTCCTTGTTTAGGAATGAGATATATTGAGAACAAGCTTTTTTGCCCAAGCTTGGGACCTATTTCTCACCTTTTTTAAACTTGGAGATTTGAAAAGACGACTTCCAATTTGCAAATTTCACAAGTTTTGGAACTTGTATCTTAAAAAATATTAGGGAGAATTTCTGTTTTTAATTACAATTTTTGAGAATGAGACATAGGCTCCCCAAGTTTTACCCAACTTTCAACCTTATTTTCTTTATTTTTAGTCATCGCAAGAAATTGGACAGCATCCGTCAAATGCTTTCACGTTATGTGCCCAAACTTTACGCTTATGCTAGTAATAATGCTGGGACAATAAACGCATTTAGTGAGAAATTAGAAAAATTAGTTGGCGTTTGGGAAGGACATAAATACTTTGATGATAGTTGTTTTAAGGTTTTTTTTTTGATTAGTAAAAGTTGGGAGAAAAAATTTTTGAATTTAGCAATTACGAAATCCTGTCGCTGTTATAGCCACAGAACAGGCAACTGTAGCTGCATATCAATCACAATTGGCAATTGAAGTGGATAAAGAAATTGGGGAAACACTTGGGAATTATGCAAAACAACATAAAGAATATGAGCAACATGTTTTGACAAAAATTGCAACAATGGAAACACAAATGAGGGAGATTAAAGGTTGTTTAGTTAAAATATTTTGGAGAAGACTTAGAAATTTTAGGTACGACCTAAAAAAATCGACGAGTGTGGCAGGAAGCCGAGGACCACAGAATAAGATGGGGTAGCTATTTGAGACTGACACGAGTCGATTTCTCTGCCTTGGGTGGAATGTTTGATCCACCAGGCATTGGAGGAGGAGGAGGACTTGCTTGTTGACCATAGCTTTTCTTTTTCCCTTCCCCGTCTTATTCTGTTGGTCTCCAGCTTCCTGCCCCACTCGTCGATTTTTTAGGTCATACCGAAAAATTTTTAGGTCATACTCTGAAACGTACAAATGACCTTATCTTTTTTTATAAATTTTTATTTTATTAAATCCAGATAGAATAGAAGCTGAAAATATAAGGCAAAAGGAAGAAGAATATGGCACGGAAAGAAGACGTTCTCGCTTTGATCAACAACAACCTAATAAAATCCCTTCATTATTTGAATCTACCAATTCACCATCTAAAAAACCATTGGGAATACCTTTGCCAAAAGGGGGACCTCCTCCTCCAATGTCTGGTGGATCAAATTTTCCACCACCTCGTTCACAGCCTCCACCGCCTCCGCAACCTCCAGCTTTGGATTTGACGCCAAAAGTGCCATACTATGAATTACCTGCTGGAATGATTGTTCCACTCGTTAAAATGGAGGATGTTACGGTTTCTTAAATTTTGACCATTTTTCTTTAAAGATTTTTAATTTTTCAGTATAACCCGCTAAAAGAGAAGGATTTGCGTCTTCCTCATCCTGACCCTCCCAACGATAGTTTACTTCGAGAAATTGATCGTTTCTACAGCGCTCTGCAATTTCCTCCACCAATTGATTGTATTAGAGATAAGTAAGGGTTTTTTAAAGAATTTTGAGGTTTTTTAATTTTTAAAATTTTTAGTGAGGGTTGGGAGATGAATGGACTTGTTGAGCATTATGTAAAGAAGGAGGATCATAAAAAGAAGCTTGAGCTTAAAATGAAGGAGGAGGGAAAGACTTTGGAAGATGCTTTTACCAACAAATACATTCCGCCTAAAACGCCACCAAAATCTTCGAAATCTCCGCCAAGACATGAAAAAAATAATGGAAGGTAATATTTAGATTTTTGGAAATCTTATCTGGAAAAATGCCGAAAATTGGACGAAATACCAATGAGTCAAACTGAAAAAAGGATTAATAAATCTAATTTTGGCTCTAAACTAATGGTCGGTATGGGACTTCCGCACTTTTTTTATGTTTGCGGGAGTGCGGGATTTTGTGGGATTATTCCCGCGGGATCCCATCCCGCAGACGTTTTTAGAAATTGCTCCAGCATGCGGGACCCCGAAAACACGATTTTTCCGACCTCTACTCTAAACTCAAATTTTTGGGAGGTTTTGCTTATTAATTGTTTTGAGTTTTTTCTACCTTATTGAATCTGACATTTTATCTTTTCTTTGCTAACGAGATTTCATTTATTGATAATTGCGTTCTCAATAAGCTGATTATTTTCTTTATTAGCAAATCCAGTAGAAGTCGAAGGAGATCCCGTTCTAGAAGCCGAAGTTCGTCTTCATCATCAAGTAGTAGCAGTGGCAGTAGAAGTTCATCTTCAAGTTCAAGCAGTAGCCGAAGCTCTTCGCCTAGAAGAAGAAGAAAATCGAGGAGGTTTTTTCAAACATTTTTTTGTTCTAATTATTTTCTCAAATTTAGTGCAAGTCCTGTCATAAAAAGAATTAAACGTTCTCGCAGTCCAACACCAGACGAAAGACCGACGTTTGCCGTGCCTGTTGGACCGTAAATATGATTTTGTTGATTTAAACATTTTTTTGTTTTTAGAGCCCCTCGTACTTCAATTTCTTTCAAAATCCCTCCTCAACCTATAAATCGTGAAACAAATAAAGGCGCCCAATTAATGGCAAAAATGGGATGGGAAGGTAAAGGACTTGGAACTAAAGAACAGGTTTTTTTTAAATTCGAGTTTTTGAAAGAAAAAAAATTTTTTAAAGGGAATTGAGGAGCCAGTAAGTGGAGGAGAAGTACGAGAAAAAACAGAGCAATTTAGAGGACTTGGATCAAAACCTGACATTTATGAGCAATATCGAAAACAAATGAGTACACAAATGGCAAGAAGAATACACAAAATGAATTAGGAGAATAAATAGCAAATAATAAATGGGCTTCAAGTTGTTTTGTCTTTAAAAAGCTTGAAAACTAGGTTTTGAGGTTTTTTAGTTTTTGTTGGAAAAAAGTTTTTTTTGAAAGGGGAAAGGAATTTTAAGTAATTAAAGTGTGGTTTCTTTATCTTTGGTAGCTACTTGACTATTTCATGTCTTTGGAAGAAGAGGGAATTTTAGTCTTGTACCCCTTGACATCCCTGATGTGGATCCTATCATCTTTATAATCTCTGCCTTTCCACTCCAAAGATTTTTCCTCTAACTTTTGTTTTAGTTTTAAAGGCTCCCGGAGATTTGAGGAGTGGACATTTGGGGATTGTCCACTATCCAATTGTCCCTCCCCAAATCTCCGGACACAGTTTTCAAGCTTTTCTGTTTAATAAATACAATTATTTTTTTATTTTAACATATTTTCCCTATTTTATTTGGTTTATTTTTTTAAATTTTTCATTAAAAAGTTGAACATGTAAAAATATTACTAATTTAATTATGTTTTTATTCATATTTTTATCTTTTCTATTGTCTAACAATTTTTTATTTTTAAATTTAGGGATGATTTTATTCTTTAAAATTTTATTTCTGTCAAGATTGGTGTTTTCTTGTTTGGCTGCTATAGGTGGAGAGGATGATAGGAATATGTCAACTTTAGTACCTGTTGTTCCAAATTGGTTTGAAGAGGGATGGAAGATGGGATGGGAAGGATGGGACATGAATTGGGATTTGTAGGTTATTTTAAATTTCTATAAAAATTATAAAGGAAAATAGAATATGAGGTTGCTGTGAGCACGTTTTGAAATTCTTTGGGGGTTTGAAAATGAATTTTTTTAAACTGCTTTCTGTGGCTTGAAGGTAGGTTCAATTGCTGTGTTCTTACAAGGGAACATTTCGAACTGTGAGTAAAAAGTTCGAAATAAAAGTTATTCCATCGTGTAGAGCATCGTCGAAAACCTTTATGGTTTCCGGCTTTTTCGGCTCCGACCCCCATTTCGAAAAGTTATAGGTCTTCAAAGTTTTCGTTTTTTGGAGCGGTTGAGTCGCCCTCACTTTTCTTATTATTTGTCTTACCAAAGAGAAAAATGAGACTCCTTTTCTCCATTTTTCCTTTCTTCTTCTTTTCCCATGTCGGTTAAAGAAAGAGAAAAAGAGGAGAGGAAAGAAAAGGAAAAGAGGCATGTCTGCCATCTCCTCGTTCCTTTTTAATTGACATTAGCTGCAAGGCAGAGATGCCTCTTTTCCTTTTCTTTTCTCTCCTCCTTTTCTCTTTCTTTAACTAATATTGGAAAAGAAAAGGAAAGGAAAAAAGGAGGATGGGAGTCTTATTTCTCTCCTAATAAAAAAAAATTCTCTCTTTATGAGGGCGACTCAACCGCTCCAAAAAACGAAAACTTTGAAGACCTATAACTTTTCGAAATGGGGGTCGGAGCCGGAAACCATAAAGGTTTTCGACGATGCTCTACACGATGGTATAACTTTTATTTCGAACTTTTTACTCACAGTTCGAAATGTTCCCTTGTTAGATTATTTAAAATTGGTGAGATCTTGTCTTATATAAGAGCTATCCCAGAGGTGTAGGAAAGTTGGGGTGATACCTAATGGGGATGGGAGGATTTCTCAATTTTAGAAAAAATTGTAATCCGTAACAATTCCAAAATCCATTTTACTCATGATTTTAGAGAATATTTGTTAACAATTTCTAGTTTTAACTCATTCTTTTTGTAGACGTGAACCAAAATCTGATGCAGAAGATGAGCCTAAAGCTATAAGGAATATCTTTTTTATAAGGCATGGAATATATTTTAGAAAGAATAGAACAGTTGATGAACAAAAGCTTACTCCGCTTGGTAAAAACTGGATTAAAACCTTCATTCGTTAAAATTTTTATAGGACGTGAACAAGCCGAATTTCTTGGTAGACGATTGGCGGATGTTAAAAACGAGTACAAATTTGAAAAATGTGTATTTTCTACAATGCTTAGGTTTTTTTTTCTTTAAAATTTAATTTTTGACGTTACTTGCGAACTGAAATTTGCGGAGCGATTAAAATTTGCTTTCGTTTATTCAAATCTCATGGTCTTGTAATGCTAAAACATCGAAATCCGAGACATTGAAATGCCAATCCCTCAAAAGCTTACGAAATGCCAAAATGACCAAACAGCGAGTGATGTTGTGAAAAACTTCTGTGCTATTTTTCAGCTGTTTTGTGGTTCAGCTCAATGTTATTTCCATTGTTTGACATTTCAATGTTTTTTGAGGGGTTGAAATTTCAAGTCGCTCCTAATTTAAATTAAACCTAATTCAAATTAAACTTTTCAAATTGTTTGATAAACTGGTTTTTTTCTCGCTGCTGTTTTGTTTGCGCGCATTCCCGCTACTTTAAACTGTCTCGAAATTTCAGTCGCATTAATTGTCAATTAAAATTTCTTTTACAAATTAATAAAAAAAATTTTTTTGCAGAGCAAGACAAACTGGTGAAATAATAATTAAACAAATGCCTCATTTAAAATTTAACTGCAAATTGGATTCAATTTTGGAAGAAGGGTCGCCATACCCTGCAGAGCCGTTTAAATCTCATTGGAGACCGATAGAACCATCAGTATATTTTTTTAAAGTTTATTCAAAATTAATTTGTTTTTTAGGTGTATCACTCAGAAGGAGCTCGTATGGAAGCCGCTTTTCGAAAATATATTCATCGTGCTGACCCTTCGCAGAAAAAAGATAGTTATGAACTTATTGTTTGTCATGCGAATCTGATTCGTTATTTTGTTTGTAGGTATGACTAATTTTTACATATTAAGATGCCTTAAAACTAGGATGTGATTCTTCAGAATAGGGAGATTTTATGGGTAAAGGGGAATTTGCTTTGTGTTGGTCTCTCCGTTTTTCCCTTTTCCAAGAACGGCAGTCGGGTTTTACTTCAAATTAGAGCCTGGCTTGATTCAGATTTTTCTATTTCGATTTTAATCAAAAATGGCATTTCCAGCATAAAACTATACAACTTTTAGATTTTAATTTTTCTGTTTTAAGGGCTCTTCAATATCCACCTGAAGGATGGGTGCGTTTTAATGTGGCACATACCTCAATAACTTGGATATTAATTCCACCAAGTGGTAATGTAATTGTCAACACAGTGGGTGATGTTGGACATTTGCCTCCCGATAAACTTACTTTTCACAATGTTTAAAGTTTTGTTTAAGAATAATTTTAATTAATGAATAGTAACGGGTGAATAATATTTTTTTGGTTTTCTTTGGTTTTGTGATCTCCCATTAAACTTTTTTGGATTTTTACGGGTTAATTATTTTATTGTGCTTTAATAAAATTTATTTTTTTTGTTTTTCTATTGTAATTATGATTTTATTCATATTTTACCTTTTCAATTTGTTGTCTAAATTTTTTTTTTAATTTTATTTTAGGGATGATTATATTCTTTAGAATTTTGATTTTATTAAGATTGGCTTTCACTTGTTTGGGTGCTGTTGGTGGAGGAGGTGGTGGATTGTTAGAATTGCCTTTTGATCCAACTCATGTTAACTGGTTTGAAGAGAGAGGGAAGAGGAAGTGGGACATTAATTGGGATTTGTAGGTTAATTATATTTTTATTCTTTAAATCCGAAAAGGAAACTCGGCCTTTCTCGTGGGTTCTTGAGGTTTCCATGTCACATTTCAAGTATTGGGCGTCTAGTTGGCTTAATTGAGAACTCAGGACTTCTGTAAAAGGGTTGCCTTAGAGTTTCAAAATTCTCTTGAATCGGGTTTCAGTTCTCAAAAAGGGCCCAGGATGATAAGAAAAAGACATCCATGCTCGATCTAGTTCAGGGTTCAGGTCGAATTCAATTTCGGATTTATTGTCCACCATAAATTTCCCCGGGATGTCTTGATTTAATATTTCACTTCAGCCGTGATCCACGCTCAATTGTAGAACAAAAAAATGAATTGGCTGGGATGACTCCTCAACAGCTCAAAGATTTAATTGCAAATAATACACCAAAAGCTACAAGGAATATTTTTCTTATAAGGCATGGTCAATATAAGAAGGAAAAGGCTAAAGAAAAAAAGAAGCTTACTCCACTTGGTATTTAATTAAAAAGATTTTTTTAATTTTAAAATTTTTATAGGGCGAGAACAGGCAGAATTTCTTGGGAAAAGGTTAACATTGGCAAAAAATCAATTAAAGATTGACAAGTGCGTGTTTTCTACATTGATTAGGTTTGTCGTTAAAATTAATTTTCTAAACTTGCCGCCTTTGGAATTGTTTTCTGACACAATTAAAGCTTGTTTTGGTCCTTAAACTTGAATTAAACTCTTGGAGTGACTTTAAAGATTTATCTTTCAAGTAATCCGCGGGGACTCAAACCTCGATCAGAAGAAAATTTTGAAAACCCTGCCCCAAAAATTTTGAAAACCCCGCCCCGAATCTTTCTCACCCTGTGGCATCTTTGCTGGATATGCCCTTGCTGTCCTATCAAAAAAAATTTTTTTAATTATAAATAAATTTGTAGAGCAAGAGAGACGGGTGAAATTATGGCGAAGCAGATGCCTCATTTAAAAATTGGGTGCACCTTGGATTCGATGTTGGAAGAGGGGGCGCCTTATCCTGGAAATCCACCTGCTCATGGTTGGAACCCGAGCCCATTTGTATATTTTTTTCCTTTAAAAAAAATTAAAACTTACATTTTTTTCTTAGCAACTTCACACTGACGGGGCAAGAATTGAAGCGGCATTCCGTAAATATTTTCATCGTGCAAAGCTGTCTCAGAAAGAAGATAGTTTTGAACTTATTGTGTGTCATGCTAATGTGATTCGTTATTTTGTTTGCAGGTATGTGACTAATAGTTTGGGGTTTTTAAAAGTAAAAGAGGCTAGATTTTATTGATGGAAAATCAATTTTTTGTTTGAAATAAGGCAGGCTGTTCCCCTGAAATAGGCAGGCTGTTCCCCCGGGAGCAGGCTAACGTACTGCAGATAACTTCGTTTAAAATAGTCGAATCCGGGACGCCTTTGTATGGTTCGATGTACTTAATTACCCTTCTACTTAATTAAAATTTTATTAAATTTTAAAGAATCCTTCAATACCCTCCCGAACGATGGATCGTTTTCAATTTGGCTCATACCTCAATAACTTGGATAGAAATTAAACCAGATGGCCATATATTTATCAAAACTGTTGGAGATTTTGGACATTTGCCTGCAGGAAAAATTACTTTTAATAATGTTTAAATTTTTGTCTTTTTAAATTATACGAGTATTCTATGAGAAAAGAACGGGTGACAAAATATTTTTTTGTTGATTTTAGATCTCTCCTAAAATTTTATTATTATTCTAGATCTCTCTTTAACTTTTTTTTTGATTTTTGCGGGTTAATTATTGTTTGTTCGTTATGACGCCGTAATGCTAGGAAAGGTATGACGCTGAAATGCTGGTAATAGTGAAGAATCCGGGAGACACTTAAAAATTTGTTCATAGGTGATCGACTAGTCAATATGTCGACAAATGTCAAGAACCCAGTCAATAATTGATTTGTCTAGGAAAAAATCATAGATAAAAATCATATTTGACAAAATCTGATATCTATATAAATTTATTTTCAGTCAAAAAAAATAAATTTTTGAGTGTCTCCCGGATTCTAGTTTGGCATTTCGGCGGATTTTAGGCTTTTTTTGGCTTTACGGCTTTTTACAATAGCATTACGGAGCGTCCTAAATTATTTTCGTTTGATGTATTTTTGCTTCAATTAAAAATTTTTTTTATGTTTTTATGTACTCATTGGTCTTTTTCCTTGTTTATTTTTTTTTAAATTTTATTTTTTTTTGCAGCTTAATTTTTTTCTTTTTTTGATGAATAAGTTTGCTGGATTTCTTAAACAATCAAAATTGCTTTTCTTGGGTGCTGCAGTGAGTGCTGGTGGAGGTTGTTTGTATTTGTCAACTTTACCAATTGTTCCAAGCTCTGAAGAGAAGAAAATTAGATATGGGTCTGTTGAAAAAGAAGCAGTAAATGTAGGAAAACCACAAAATGGTATTTGGACTGTTAGTGTATATGAAGAGGGTGTGGTAAAGAAATGGGACAGCAATTGGGACTTGTAAGTTGATTTTTGAAGTTAAAAAGGCGAAAATAAATGAACAGGTTTTTCTTATAAAATTATGCTATTAGGGCTAGTTGGGAATTCCTACATATTTGTGTTCTAATGACTCAATATGACGTTGGGTTGGTGCCTGTTTATGTTTGAGATCGAGCTGGTCCAGGGCCTGAGTTTTTCCTGTATTCTGAGTCCAGTTCCTGGCATTTTTTAAAACCTTCCTGGGTTTTTCCTGGACTACAGGCCTGGGAAGCAGTCTAGGTCACTTCAGAATCTAGGAACAAGTCCAGGCTTTTCAAAAATCTCGATCTCTACTGTTTATGTTTGAAGTCCTCGATCATTTGGAGAGTATTTTCTATTATTTCTATTTGAAGTATAATTAGACGTTTTCTTGTTTTTCTCACGTTTTAATCTTATTTTAGTCGTGATCCTTTGTCAATTGTAAATCACAAATGTGAAAGAAAGGAATTGACTGAACAACAAAAGGAGGAATTACTTGCTAAATGCACGCCAAAGGCTGTGAGGAATATTTTTTTAGTAAGGCATGGACAATATTTTGATCAGGAAGATGAAAAGGATGCGAGGAAGCTTACTCCTTTAGGTATTAATTTAAGTGATTTAGGGAATTTTGATTTGTGGGTTATGAATAGGTTTTTAACCACGGATGGGCCAGGTTCTGGCAAGGAACCATCGTTTAATTTGAGTGTGAATTTGATATATTTCTTGGTACCATTCTTCTCGGCCCAAAGTCATTTTGCAAAAAAAATGGACATCACTTCACAATAAGAAGTCGGGGGTCCTCTATCGAATGGTACCAAAAAATATATCAAATTCACACTCACAGTAAACGATGGTTCCTTGTGAAAATAATCGCATTGTTGTTTTGTTTCGTGTTTTCAAATTTTTATTTGGATTGGGTTTCGAGTCGAATGGAATCTGAGCTTCGTATAACCTGATCTATCCTTAGCTATGGTCTTTTGGATTTTTTTGTTGGAGGGCAGGGGAACTCTTTTTGAATTTTTTTTCTCTTTCCCGACTTGCTGGCCTCATGTCACCAATTTTTAATTTTTGGTAATATTTTTATAGGTCGTGAACAAGCTGAACTTCTTGGAAAGCGTTTGACTGAAGCTAAAAATAAATTTAAATATGATAAATGTGTTTTTTCTACTTTGATAAGGTTTTCATTTAAAAAATTAATTTTCTAAAAATTTTTAACTAGAGCAAAAGAAACTGGCGAATTAATGAAGAAAAATATGCCCCATTTAGAAATTGAGTGTTCGTTGGATTCCATGTTGGAAGAGGGAGCGCCATATCCTCCAGAGCCGCCAATTTCTCATTGGAAACCAAAATCTGCAGTATTTTTTTAAATTCAATTTTTTTAATTTAATCGTTTTCTTCAAGCAGTTCCATACTGACGGGGCAAGAATTGAAGCTGCATTCCGTAAATACTTTCATCGTGCAAAGCCGTCGCAGAAAGAAGATAGTCATGAACTTATTGTGTGTCATGCAAATGTTATTCGTTATTTTGTTTGCAGGTATGACTAATTGAGAGGGGTTTTTAATAGTGGGGTGAAGCTTAAGGGGCATGGGAGTTTTCTTTATATGCACCCATTTGTGAGGGAATATTTATGAAAGGGAATAATTGAAAAAATTGATGAGTCATCACGTGTGGGGGTGACAATTTTTTTTCGAACTTAATCGATTTTGATGATATTGAATAAACCTGGAAACTTTTTGTTTTGACGAACACTTTTAACCTCCTCCTTCCAGGGTTGAAATATTTTTAAACCCCAACCTTAAATTTCCCAAGAAAATTAAATGAATTTTGTGTGAGTGAACGGAACGAATTCAAGAATCTTATGACAATTATCTCGAACAGTCTCAATCTCGATAACCTAGATTTTGTTTGATATTTTGTCTCGGTCTAGTCTCAAGCTTTTTTAACTTCCAAAATAAAATTAATAAGAAATTCATTTTTAAACAGGGCACTCCAATTCCCTCCAGAAGGATGGTTGCGTATCACTTTAGCTAATAGCTCAATAACTTGGTTGCAAATTATGCCGAATGGTCGTGTAATTCTTCGAGCAATGGGCGATTTTGGTCATTTGCCTCCAGAAAAAATCTCGTTTTCTTAAATTTTTTGTTAAATAATCTAAATAATAATAAGGCGGTGAAAAAATTATTTCTTTTCGTTGTTGTTGATTTTAGATCTCCAACGGACTTTGGGGTTATAAATTGTTAGGGAGACATAGTGACGGACATAACGGGATACTCTAGAATATTCTGGACTACGGGTATTGGGACTTGAGATCGAGATTTTTTGAAAAGCTTGGACCTGTTCCTGGACTCTTGGCTTGATTTATTGACTCTGGCCGGATCCTAGGCCGTAGTTCAAGAAAGCCCAGGTCCAGGAAACCTGGGGAAACTTTTTTGTTTTTTGCTTTAATAAAATTTTGTTTAACCCAGGAGGGTAAAAAATGCCTGGGCCTGGACTCGGTTCAGGAAAACCCAGGCCTTGGTCCAGACCCAGCTCGAAGCTGCTATACGGATATTGCTTACGGCCACTGGGTCTGATGTTTTAGAACCAACCTAGATTTTTTTGTCCCACAATTTTCTCGATATGTCCGTCCCTCGATATGTCTGGCCCCCGTTAAATTAATTTTATTTTTTGTTTTTTGCTTTAATAAAAATTTGATTTTTTAAATTTTCTGTTTATTAATTTGTTTATTTCATTTAAAATATCTTTCTTGTGTAATTTGTTTTTATAAAAATTGTTTTTAGCGCTAGAATATGCGTGAGTACAAAATTGTTGTTTTAGGAAGCGGTGGTGTTGGAAAGTCTGCATTGACTGTTCAGTTTGTTCAGGTTCGTTTAAATATATTTTAGTGGTAGGGTTTTGGATCGAAGCATGTTGTGTATGACCCGGGGCTGCCCTTTTGTCAGTGATGAATTAAATATTTTTGAGACGATATTGGGGTCGGGGTCCTATTTTTAGAATTGCCGGTTTCGGACCGGGCCGACTTTCGAGATTTTTTCGGGGATTGGTCGATTCTTTTTCGTGCCACAATTCGATGCCCGGGCGATCTCTCGAGCCGGGCCAGCGACCCTATTTATTTGAGTTGGACACTCGAGATTCCTGCTATTTGACCATGGAATTGCACTTACCTCGACTTAACTGGAAACCTTTATGATTTTTTTGGTTATCCGGAGCCTTACTTTGATTATTGATTTTATAGTGAAGCTAATTAGAATTCCTTGACGTCTCAAAAAATTAAAGGCTTTACTCTTCAACTCAGTTGCTATAGGGACCAAGACAAATTCAATTCTAATTTAAAAAAAATTTATTTTTCAGGGCATATTTGTTGAAAAATATGATCCTACGATTGAAGATAGCTACCGAAAACAGGTTTATTATAAAACACACAAAAAATTTTATTTAAAATTCGATTTTTACTTTAAAAAAGGTGGAAGTAGACAACCAACAATGTATGTTGGAAATATTGGACACTGCCGGAACTGAACAGTTTACAGCCATGCGGGACCTTTATATGAAGAATGGACAGGTTCTTTAACTGAAAAAGGATTTTTAAGTTGTTTGGTTTTTAGGGGTTTGTGCTCGTTTATTCAATAACTGCTCAATCAACATTTAATGACTTGATGGACCTTCGTGATCAAATTCTTCGAGTGAAGGATACAAACGATGTAAATTTATTTTTAATTTTTTAAAGTTTTACACTCTTTGAGATAAGGGAACTCAGGAAATAAGGGTTCATCACAAAAATTAGAATACTTAAAAAAACAGCAGGCCCAAAGCCTAAACGGCCATAACATAAAAGGCCGTTTAAAGTCATTTTTTTTCAACAAAACGGATATCACTAGAGGACCCCTAATAGGAAGTTGGGGGTCCTCTTTTGAAATTTGCCAAAAAATATCGAATTTTATCATTGACAATAAAATTTTTTCCTTTGCTAGGAGGAACTTCTTTCTTTTCCTCTATTCTTTTTTCTTGGCTATCCAAAAATTGATTTAGTTACCAAAAATTTTATTTTCAAAAAATAATTTCCAATTTTTTAAAGGTTCCAATGATACTCGTTGGCAATAAATGCGACTTGGAGGATGAACGAGTAGTTGGGAAGGAACAAGGGATAAATCTTGCTAGACAATTTAACAGCGCTTTCACTGAGGTTTATAAAAAATTTTTTAAAAAATTTCAGAAAAATTTTTTAGACTTCAGCAAAACAAAAAATCAACGTCCACGAAGTTTTTTATGATTTGGTTCAACAAATCAATCGACGCTATCCAGATTCTGGTCGCCGTCCAAGCAGCAAAAAGTGTTGGAAATGCTCTGTTCTTTGAGGAAAACTTGGGGGAAAGGTTGTTTTTGGTTGGCATTTTTTTGAGTTTTTTTTTTAATTTTTAAAAATTAAGCCAAGCTTATTTTTGCCGTAAATTGACTTTCTAGTTAAAAAAAATATTTTTTAAATTACCTTAAGTATAATGACTAATTTAAAATTAAGTAAGAATTTTTTTTTATTTTTTTGGTGACCAGCAATTTATTTTTTTATTGACAATTTTGAATTTTGTTTTATTAATTTTGTATATTTTATACCTTTTTTTGAAATTTAAAGGGGGTGCAATCAAAGGAAAAAATTTTTTTTAATTGTTAACTTGGGAAAAGATTTTTGAGACAATGAAAAATTATTTTTAAGAAAGGAAGAATATGAAAAAAAGTTGATGGGTTAGATTTACGGTTGTTTTTCAGTTCCCAGAAAATCAAAATGTTCCATGGTCCCTGTTTTTTCTGGTCGGTTCAGGGATAGAGGGTTCCTACTAGGGTTGGGGTTTTCGAGTCGGGCCGACATTCGAGTCATTTTTTTCGACGGCCCGACCGAGTCGTTTTTCGGACCAAAATTCAATGCCCGACTCGATCTTTTGTACCGGGCCGGATCGGGCCCCCAACCATAGTTCCAAGTTGCCGTAGAACACTGAGGAGAAGGAAAAAAGTGGACGTGGTAAGGCCTAGGTCTTAAAATAAATTTTTTTATAATTTTATTGTCCTATTTAATTCTGAAATAAAGAATAAAAAAAAGATTTGCACCCCTTTAAATTAACGAAATTATAATTTCTAATTTTCTGACTAAAATTACCTGAAATTTAAAATTTCGTTTATTTTTTGTGCCCCTTAATTTGCCGAATCAGGGACGAGAATCATCAATTTTCTCTGTCATTCTATTCTTTAACTAAAAATTTTTTTGTCCAATTTTTTAAAAATTTTCTTTTTAATTTTTCTTTTGATGATGATTACTCGTTTCTGTACTCGACTGGATGCCTTTTTTTAATTTTTTTTTGTTTGTGTAAAAAAATTCAAGACTGAATAAATAAATAAAAATACTTAATTTGAATATTCAAAAAAAAATATTTTTTTATTAAAATATTTAAAAATATTGCTCCCTTATCTATAAAAATTTTGATTATTTCCCACCCCGATTTGGCCTAAACCCCGAGACCCTGCTCCAAACTTTTCCCTCCCAAAGTGTCACAATTCAACCCCTATTTTACACTTTCTCGAGAATAAGTGTAAAATGGGAATTTTAAAATAATCAGAAAGGAAGATACAAGGTTATCTCTTATTTTATAGTTAAGCTAAGAAAGGTCCATGACCCTGAACTATGAAAGACACATCTTTTTAATTAAAAATTTATAAAATAAAATGAGCTTGACTAATGTAAAAAAGACTTTAAAAATAGAATGATTGAATGACCAAAGGTTATCTCTTCATTTCCAAGCCTTTAAAGGAAGCTGGATTAAAATCCTCATATGAGGAAGGCCTTGAATGGAATCAATTTCTTTTTATTTAAGGGAGCAATATTCTTTTATATAATTCCAAATAATTTTACTTCCATTCTTAACTAAAAAAACTTAAATATTGAGATAATAAAGTAAGAAAAAAACATTTCCATTGCATCAAAAAATGCGTTGCGTTTATATTTTTTAAAATTTGTTGTGTTGTTTTTACTAAATATTATATTATCTATCTATATTATTCGAAAATTGTACTTTCTTTTATAAGAGACTTTTTTTAAGTAATTAAAATATTTTTGTCTACTCAAGTTGTTTATAAGTCGACACCGTTTTTACATACACCCTTGAATACCTTTTAATTAGGTTTTGACCCCGAACGCTCGGGGGCGGGTATTTCGGGGTACGGGGTTTTCCAATTGTTTCGGGGCGGGGTTCGGGTCGGGGAGATTCGTGAAAAAATCGTTCGGGTACGGGGCCGGGGTCAAACTCTACTTTTAATGAGGTGTAGCTTAAACTTTTGGTAAAAATTCTATGCCTTATAACGAGTATTGGTTAAATAGAGGGTAGACTTGGTCACTTTCTCCAACTTAGATTCAATTTAGAGGAGTATGTAAAAGCGAGGTACGACTATATCTTTTCTCTGATATGTAAAAGTAACAAATATTTATTTTGAATTCTTTCTGTTCTGTTTTTCTATTTAAATTTTGGTAAAAATTCTTTCAAGATTGACAGATTTTTTATTTATTTAATTAACGTGAAGTTTTTGGTGTAGTTGGAAACGCCTGTGTTTTTAACAGAAACGATCAAGGTTCGATTCCCACTAGGAGAAAATAATTTTTATGACTTATTTTTGTTAGTTTTTTTAGGTTTTAACAATTTTTTAATTTCAAAGTGATAAGAAAGTTAAAATTTTGATAAGATTTATTGACTAATTATTTAAATAAAAACAGATTTATTGCTCGGTTATCCCGAAAAAAATTAATAAAATATTGTAAAATGAGCATGACTAGTTTTAAATAAAATTAAGGGTCTGACACAGTAGAATTCTACAGAATTTAACGAGTTCTGTCATATTTTTAAGCGTAAAAAAACTAGAGCTCGAACCTGGGCCGGAACCTGATTTTATGGGTCGTTGACGGGTATCTTGACAAAATCCGGGTTTTCGAGGTTTTAGCCCTGGAAATCTGTTTAAAAGAAAAAGAGCCCTGATTTAAAAGAAGGGGCCCATTTGAAAGGTTCTAGCTCTAACGAAACCCCACCCCTCCTTTAACCAATAAAGAAGAAAATTCTTGAAAAATTCCCCAATCACTTTATTTTAATCCTTAATTTGGTGGCGGTGTATTTTCAGCACTGCTGCATTCTCCCATCACATAATTAAAACATTGGCACTCGATTAGATGATTAACCCCTTCATTAATTAAGTTTTCCAAATGGTGAATATATGCAATAGCTAGGCGAAGAGTATCAACTTTGCTAAGTCGGCGATCACTGAAATTTTTTCGAATTAATGAAAAGAGTACAGGAAAAGTGGAGAATTTCTCTGACTTTAGAGATAATTTTTATCATACGATCCTCTAATTTTATTTAAGAGTTAAAAACCTACTTTTCAGTCAGAGGCAAAATGTTCTTCAACCTCGTATATCCATCATTAACTTGTCTAACTCTAATCCTTTCACGTTCATTACGCTTCCAAACGGTAGTTCCGTGTGTGCTAAATTATTCAAATTAAGCTTAAATTCTGAAAGGATTGAAAGGGAGGGTTTGCTGAGTTCACTAAACCCCGCTGATTTCTTTAATAAATGATGACGGTTTTTTATGCCTCGTCTCTGCCTCTTTCTTCCTATATGTACTAACAATAAGTTAAGAAAAGCTCCCTTCACCTATCAACAGCTCCCACTTCTTGAATTCAACTCAGTTACTATGGTGATTAAAAGGGGTACGGCCCAAGTAGGCGCAAAGTCATAACTTACTTCAAGCTTTCCGAATTTTCAAGATTTAGTAAGGCCCAGAAAGTTTCAAGCTAGTTATGGCTTTGCGCTTACATGGCCGCGCGCCTACTTGGGTGTGTCCTGATTAAAGGGTGTCGACTGTAGGGAGGCTTGCCCCTCTTCGGACGGGCCTGTGTTTCCCCTACAAACCTTAAATAAAAATCTCTTTACCTCAATTCATTCAATTCATGCGGTAACGGTATTTTAGCCTCTTCCGAGAAGGGACTAATAAAACGATTTACACCCAACACCTCTTTTGGACTCTTTACTGGTGTTATCATTTTAGGCATTTTTTGCTGTAATTCTTGTTGCCCATTATCATCTTTCCTTTTTCTTTTAGTCCCTTTTTCTTGACTAGGTGGAACAACTATTACGCTGCTGCTTCTTTCTGAAAATATGGGGTAGTTGTAATTCAATCTTATGGGGAAAAGCCTTTTTCGTTTATTTATGGGTGTTTCGGGGCTTTGGATCCGTACTTAGAAATAATTGAGAGAACTCATCGAGTAGAGTTCTCTTCGAGGAAAAAATTGAAAATTTTCAGGATTTGGAAGAGAAGAGGCTCTTTTCTCTTGGGTCCAACGGTTAAATACACCCTCAGGTGCCCTTTACCAGATGACAGTAATCGTGTTGTTCCTCCTAACAAATAAGGTCTGCCTCCTTAATTAAACCTTGAGGAAGTTCTCCTCCTCTTTTTGATCAAGTCTTTTCCTTTTTTGAAGTTCTCTAGACGTAACTTTATATAACACACGTAGCTTTATTAACCCAAACACTAAAAGAATTAACCCGTCTAGGGTTAATTACCTCCCCGGTGTCCTTTCCCTCTTCTAAATGTTCAGTCCTTCAATTTTAAATTTTCAACTTTTCTATAATAATCGACACCTAATTCACTATTAAAAACAATTTTCCAACTTAAACTTACGAAAAGCAGAAGCTTCTAAATTTACATTAGCAAAATTAACGTTTTGTACGGCAGCTACACACAACGCGTGCTGACGTTCTAGAAGCATTTGTTGTTGTTCATTAGTGAGGATATCTATAGTTAAGGGTTGTGATTGGTCGTTTATTGGATTATTATTCATTTTAGGTTGAAATATTTTGAGTTTTTAACCTCTAAATGTGTTAAAATAATTTTCAAAAATACAACGAAGAGACAATGGAAAAAGAAGAGATTTTCTCTGACATCAGAGAAATTTTTTAAAATTTTGACCTGAATTAAATTTAAGATTTTAGCCTAAAGGTGTAAGTCTAAAAATCATTAAATGAGTTTATCGTGTCTATTAGCTGGCTGGTTTTAGGAGATTTTCAAGAAAACACCAAAAGACAATGGAAAAATAAGAGATTTTCTCTGACGTTGGAGAAAATTTTTTTAAAATTTTTAGCTTAAATTTTAAACCCAGAGGTTTAGGCTTTAAAATCATTAAACGATTTTATTGTGACAGCTACCTGAGTGTTTTTAAGAGATTTTCACAAAACACGAAAAGACAATGGAAAAAGAAGAGATTTTCCCTGACGCTAGAGAAAAATTTTTATTCTTGCTAAATTTAACCGTTAAATTTTAAACCCAAAGGTTTAGGCTTTAAAATCATTAAACGATTTTATAATAACTTACCTGACTGTTTTTAGAGGATAAAAATAAAAATATTTTGCCTTCCCCCAACTGACTGTATTTAGTAGGCTTACTTTTGCCTTTTACCGCATTTAGCTTTAAACAACCGCCCGCCTCTCGTCAATCAAACAGAGAGGAGTGAATGTGTTTTTCCAATTGTGGATGGATATTCTTCTCTATATCAAAGCTTTGATTTTTAGAAAAAAAATTTTTTCCAATTTTTTTCTCTCAAAATTAGTCAACAATAAATACACACCTTCACAAGCCGTTTGCCGACTACCGACTTTTTTAGAGATAAAATTTTGGAAAAATTTGTGCAGCTGTCAGGGAATATATAAAAATTATTTTAATAATTATATTTAATTTTTGGGGGAGTAGAGAAATAAAATAATAAATAATTTTTTAAGACGAAAATACAGTGGAAAAAGAAGAGATTTTCTCTAACGCCAGAGAAAAGGGTTCTCTAAAGTGAGGAAAAATTTTAATCAAAAATTTTTTACATAATATACAATTTATCAATTTTTATTCGCGTAAAATTAAAATCACCGGACATACAAAAAAATTAATTGGAAAATGCATTAAGAATATTAAAGTCGAATCTCATTATAAAATACACCCTTGTGGTGAAAATTACCTTATAGTGGGGTACCCTAAATTGTGGGTATTTCTAGAGAAATTGGGGGTAACTCTTAATTTTGAGTTTATCTAGAATTGAGATTCGGCTGTATAAGAATTTAGAGAAAATCCAAGTAGACTTAATAAGTTCGTTTTGTAAACTTACCCGGTTAAAGTCGAGTTTTGGTTGATAAAAGGGGAATACTTGGGCGCTAACTTATTAAAAATATTTTTTTAATATAAAACCTTGCCCAGATATCTACTAAAATCGTTGACTGTTTCCTTAAAAAATTTCAGAATTTCTGGTTTTGTATTTCTAAAGTTACGGTCAAAAATGTTAGCATTTTCTTTAAAAATTCTGATTTTTTGGAGTTTTTTGACCAGAACTTCTGAAATACTTTATCAAAAATTCTGAAAATTTCAGAGATGATGGAGAACATTATCCCAGATATCTCTGCTAAATTTCATGATTTTATATCATGTATAAGTTGTATTTTTATAAGTTAACGCCCAAGCGTTTCCTGCGCCCAAGCGTTACTTAAAAACGAAAATTTTTAAAAAAAAATTCTGGATTTTTTTGAAAATTTTTTTTGAAATTTTTTTTATATTTTTTTTTCGTTGACAAGCATCCTATCATCTTCTCCAAGGTCTCCTTTGAGTTAATTTTTTAGAATTTCCACCATTTTTCCCAAATCCAAAATCGCTGTGTGCTCTAGGCCTTTCAATAGTTGCCCAATCCTCCTCAGTATTTTCTTCAAAATTTCCAACTTGTTGGGATCCAAAATGCAATATTTCTTCTAATTCGTTTACAAAAGAAGGGGAAGAGGAGGAATTTGTGGTTGTTGTTGTTGAGGAAGTTGGGGAAGAATTTTTTGGAATTTTTGAGGAGGAAGTGGACAAGAAGGAAATTGGGGGAGATAAGGTGTCTGGCTGTTGTTGATTTATTTCAAGTAAATTTTCTGTTAAATTTTTGTTTTGGTTTTGATTATTTTCTGGTGTTGGGAATACACTGAAAATTTGAAAAAATTAAATTTTAAAATTAAAAAATTTTCTCTGGGGTTAGAGAAAAATCTCTTCATTCCTGTTGTCTCTAGCTTTTGAGAGAAATTCAGGTACGGTATTTCCTCCATTATCCCAATCTTTCTACGACATATCCTAGTATTTATCTGATATTTTCTAAGGTATTTTCAAGGTGGGATACAATAGAGATTATATTCTGCCTTCCAAATGTCAACCTGTGTTTTACAACATTAAGGCTCCTATCTCCTATCACTAATATACCCCACACTCCCATAAAGCTTTGTGTTGTTTCAAAGAAAGGTTCAGTTAGGTGGAATATGATAGACATTGTAATGGGATAATGTAAGGATTGATATAGGGGATAGGATCGGGATTGATTGATATCTATCTTACCTCATCTAGGTGGGATCAGATAAAAGGTTGGCTAATTCTAAACTTTATCCATTTGGGGGGGGGGGGGGATAAAGTAGAGATTTTTGGTATGATAAGACAAGGCTTTAGGATAGAGATTTCAAAAGTTTAATTTAATTATACCTAGTAGTAGTACTAGTAGTAATATTATTATTCTCTTCCCCTTCACCACTTCCCCCGCCAACATCACTAACGGCAACAGTACTTGGAGTAGTTTGACAATAAATATTATTATTATTCCCTTCATTTTCTTCACTATTATTTCTACTATTTGTATTATTATTTGAAATTCCAAGAATTAAATCATTGCCAGAACTGTTGAGTCGAAGTCTGGACATTGACTGGTCTGGGGGAACTGCTCCACGTGTATATATGTTGGCTAGGGCTGCTCGTAACTATTTTTTGAAAAAAATTTTCTTTCGAATTTTTTTAAAATCTTATTTGAACAATTAACTGATATGATTTTAACGAGTAATTGACATTTAATTAATTCAGAACAATTATTTTTTTATTTTTATTTACATAAAGGAGAACCCATTATTATCCAGGAAAAGGGCGTTAAGGGGCATTAACTACACTTAGTTGAAAAATTAAAAATGACTAAAAATTAACCTAAAGCCATGAAATTTTGTATAAACGTCTCTAATAGTGTTATCTACCTCCTCTAAAAATTTCAGAATTTTTGGTTTCATATTTCAAAAGTTAAGGTCAAAAAACTACCAAAAATCGACATTTTTCTCGAAAATTCTGACATTTCTGACCAGAACTTCTGAAATACGAAACCAAAAATTCTGAAATTTTTAACTCAGTTAGTTAACACCATTGTGCATATTTATGCAAAATTTTACCATTCTAACACTTAATTTGGATATTCTACAAATCGAGACTCTAATGACCCTTTACCCGCTAACGTCCAAATTTAAGCAGATTTTTACCTCTCTGAGTGCCACAACTCCCACTAAACGTCCTCTATGTGTAACATAAGCTAAAATAGTATTTCCTTGATTAAAAAATTCCTTTAATCCCACCATGATTTAAGCCTAAGAGAGAAAATAGTGTGTGAACTTTGTATAGACTTGTTCCAATAACTAATTGAAAAGGGGCTGCATCAATAGCCAATTCATCATCTAGGTCGATAGGTTGTCGAAGTAATGCAGAACGATTACGAGAAGAACGGACGCCGTCCAATTTCTGTTTTAGTTAGAAAAATTTATAAAAACCTCTATAATATATACAGTCAACTCTCTCTATAAGGTAACTCTCTATATAGTAAACTCTCGCCATAAGGATACCCTCTACTGTATATTATCTGTTAAAAATGTATAAATAACGGCAACCCTTCTAACCTAGATATACAGGTTTTACTTCAATGGAAAAATTCAATGTTCCGTTCACACTACCTATACTCCGAAGGGAACATAAGATTTATGGGCATGTGGTATTAAGTTTAAAATATCATAAATATAAAAAATATCAATATCAATGGCACCGATATTGTGGAGCAATTGATATGTATTATATAGGGAACTGATTTAGGTATTTTATGCCCACTTACAGAAGACAACGGCATTTGGTGAAATCCTTGTTGCCTTAATAATAATGGAGCTAGAACATTTCTTTCTGAAATAAATTTTTTTTAAAAGAATTTGATTAAAAATCAGAACTTGATCCTCTATCTTCATGCAGAGGACTGATTGAAAGAAGTGTATTTCCTATATAAAAAATAAATTTTAGGAAAGATACTTAACTTTAAGGGAATTTAATTCCAAGTTTTTAGAAAATCTCGTGTTCCGTTCACCCTACTCTATAGTCCGAAGGGAACATAAAATTTTTGTGGATTTTTGGATTATTATTTTAAAATGTAAGGAAGATAGGAGGTTCCAGCACGCTAGCGTTTAAAACGCTTTTCTAGGCGGGGAAAGGCTAGAGCATAAATAGTAGCTCTGTTAGTAGAGCAGTCTGCACGTGTGTGCAAAAAGCTCGCAGTAATTAACTGCCAAGGGGTCGCCGGATTTATGTCTGCCCGGGCTAGATTTTTACCTCCCGAGCTAGACCCTTACTATAACTAAAGGGTTACGGTTTTATAGAAAAATTGATGACGAAATCACCTACCAAACAAATTCCTTTCATTAATAACCGACATTTTTGGCGGCATTGCCCCAGGCAATAAACGCATGGATTCAACATTCCTTCTACTTATACTGTCCAATCTTTTATTGTTTAAATTTATATTTTCTCCAGTATTTTCTGTATTTGTTGTTGTTGTTGGTCTGCTTTTCCTTCTACGACTTCTATGTAATAATAAAGAAGGGTCGGGGCCAAGACGGTCAGTCAGTAAGAAATGAAGATATTTACGTGAAACAGAACCGAGAAGAATTTTTTCTTCTGGAATTTTTTAATTAGATTTTTAATTAAATATATGTATAGAGTAAAATATGGAGATTTTGACTTTTGACCATTTTGAAATTTTTAAAAAAATATTTTTGTTTTGAATTTGAAGGTGAATTTCGAATGGGTATACTGTATTACCCTATAGATATTATATACCCTAACAGGGGTAACTAGGGAACCAGAGGTCGATCGGGAAGGACGAAGATAGGAAATCAGAACTCTCGGAAATCGGAAATGGCTCAAAAGTCTGAATTCGGAAATCAGCCTAGATTTTCGGAAATCGGAAGGAAAAAAATCGGGAATCGGAATTCCGATCGACTTCTGCTGGGAACATGTGATATCTGAGAATGCAGAGATGAGCTGTAGACAATTGGGATAGATGGGATACCTAAAGGTCTAAAGAGTCTCTGACTTATCCCACCTCCTTTCATATCCCAAGTCGTTAGTTATTCCAATAATTAAAAGGTTGTTCCGTTCACCCTACTCTATAGTCCGAAGGGAACATCTCTCTCACCTTCGTCAGTAACCAACGGGTAAGATCTCAAATGAGGCGTAGCCAGCAGCAATTCTCTCAATTCTTTGTAGCTAGTTAATTTTGTAATGAAAACAACATCTCGAACCATAATCTTTTTGAAGCAAATTTTTTAAAATTAATTTCCTCTGTACCTGTTCAACTTTAAGTGTGTGTACACTAATACGAGAAGGTGGCAATTCTGCCAAATGAGGATATTTTCGAATGTTTATTATTGACCTGTGAAATTTTTTAATAATTTCTCAAATAATTAATTTACTCGTAAATAGAAGGCTGTAGAAAAGAACTGACAGCATTAGCTACCATTAGGGCTACCTGACACAAAAATTTTTATTAAAATTTGAAACAAGTTAAATTACTAAAACAGGTAATAAAGGACTCAGTTGTCCTGTAGTTTCGCATACAATAACGGCGATAGACAATGAATGGGTAACAGCACCTGTATAGGCTGCTGCTCCTTAAATTTGGTAATTTTTGAAAATTTCAAAAAATTTCCAGAATTCCTACCCACAACAGCATACAAGCCAGGATAAATTTGGGGACCATCAACACCTCTAATGCCTGCTGGAAACATAACAACCATCTAGGTAAGGAAAATTAGAAAGTTTGGAAAAAACGAATGACGCCTTAGGTATGTTCCTTACCGACTACCCATAGGGTGAAGGGAACATAAAAGTAATAAAGATGCCCCTAGCTTTTTTAGGAAAATTTAGAACTTGGAATGGTTAACTTGGAAAGGTTTAACGAAATATGGAAATAATAGAAAACAACATTGCCCATCATTACTTTTATGTTCCTTACCGACTACTCATAGGGTGAAGGGAACATAAAAATACTCTTAACGTTTTTGCAGATTAAAAAAGCCAAAAATAATAAATTCTGGAAGGGGTTGAGGATCTTGGAATATAAACAAGAAAAAAGTTAGGAGAGGGAATTTATTCTAATAGTAGCCCATTATTTTATTGTCATCTCTATTAAGCTAATCTCACCAATTCTCCAATAATTCTGCCCCCACAAGCACCAATCACAAAAGAGGGAACAAAAATTCCTGCTGGAAGGGCCAATGTTATGCAAATTGCAACAAGAAAAAACTTTAAAAATATTTCATAATTACTTCATTTACATACATACATTGACGAACAAATAGCCAATAAGTGCCGGGAATACATTTGGCCTTCAAAAAATATTTTTTTTTGAAATTTTCAGAATTTTTTTCATAAATTCTTTCACACCAGCTAACAAGTTCCGTTCACACTAATTATAGTCTGAAGGGAACATGTTCATAATCCATGCTCCTTTCTGATTAGTTGTAGTTCGAAGGGAACATGTTCATAGTCCATGTTCCTTTCAGATTAGTTATAGTCCGAAGGGAACATGTTCATAGTCTATGTTCCTTTCACACTACTTATAGTCCGAAGGGAACATGCTACTTTCACACTACTTATAGTCCGAAGGGAACTAGATTGAGGAACTTCATGAGGAACTTCATAGGGGAAAAAACATTAATTTTTTACATAAAAATAGTAGCATCCATTGATCCATCCAAAGCTGTAGATCTATCTGTTGGCCCTTCTCTTTCCCAATTATCTATAGTCCAACGTTGAATGATTTTAGCAGAACAACCCATAGAACTGCTAACATTATGCAAAGACATTGTACAGTTGGCAATAAAGTCTCCAAGAGTTTCGCGGAAGGTAAACTTAAAAGAGATTTAAACTCAAAACCTCATTTTATACCCGTCTGAACCTCGCTTTATATTCACTCAAGTTATAGTCTGAAGGGAACGTGTTCCGTTCACACTAGCGATAGTCCGTAGGGAACACTTTTTTAAAAATTTTGTTAGTCTCTGGGTGAGTGAGGATGTCTAAGCGATATACTCTATTTAGAGTACCCTTCATTATAGGTTCAGTCCTAAAAACTGAGTTCGGCACATTTTCTGCCTAAAACAAAAATAAAACACAAAAAAGGAAAAATTATTATTTTTGGGTGTGCGCCAAATTTATTTTTCAACACTCTAAAACGCCAAATTTTATTTTTGGCGTTCTCCTCCATTATGAGAAAAGATTTGCGCACAGCCGAAAATGTGATTTTCAACTAATCTCTTTTAAACTAAGGAAACTCGCCTTTCCCGCAAAAAAGTAACCAAAACCATCAGGATAAGTAATAATGCCAACAATAATGGCCATAAAAATTGTAAAAGAAAGGGAACTAGATGTTGAAAATATTTTTAATTTTTCTGTTAAAAAATTTACTTTCTCCCAAAAATTGCTTTGAATGTTCTATTCCTTTTTTTAAAGTAAGTAATTCGTCTATGGAGGAGAACAAAAAAGGCACCGAATAAACCACAAATCAAGCTTTAAAAATAAAATTTTTTAAATTTTTTTGAGGATTTTTTGAGTATTTTTTGAGAGAATCTGGAAGGAATAATTTTTGAAAAGGGAAGAGAGACTATTTCATAAAGCACTGGATTGATCTATTGTTGGATGACGACCTCAGTTGATTTAAATTGTTATAACTCTAGACTGGAGAATCCGATAAATTTGATTTAAAGATTATTAAATAGGGGAGAAAATTAGCTACTAAATTGATAAAAATAAAAATTTTGGAATGATAAATAAAGGAGTTATGGTAGAGAAAAGAACATAAGGTTGAAAATGGTGGAAGACAATAGGCAAGTTTAGCCTTTATAACTCAAGAGCGGATCGACCATTTTGAATATTTTAAGGACCATTTGATAGAGGAGAAAATTTGCTATAAAATAAGCTCAGTGAGAAAAATTTAAGAAAAAGACAAAAATGGTCATGGTCAAAAAATTTTAAAAATTTTTGTCAATAATACATGACCTTCGCATTGTTTTTTGGGCATAACTTTTCCCCAATAAATCCAAAATTTTTCATAATATATAATTTTAAATTACACATATGGCTCTATCAAACAATACCAAAATTTAATTTAAAGATAGCTTTATACGAAAGATATAGAAGCTGAAAGTCACCAGCCTCCTACAGTACCCCCAAAAATTAATTTAACTTTAAAAATTAAAAATTTACCCAATAATTACAAAACAAATAATTTCTTCAACTAAAAAGACTTCATTAGGAAAGCTAGTTTGATAATAAGCAGTTATTGTACCTTTAATTAAATTTTTAATTTAAATTTCCCCCATTTTACCAGCAATATGTGGGGGAATAATTGCAGCATTAGCAAAACGAAAAATCAAAGCACTACAAGTTGTAGCAAAGAAAGCTCGCCAATAATTTTTTACAGCAAAATATTTATGTGTACATTCAATTCCGTACAAAACTGCTGAAAAAATATTTTTTTGAAAATTATTTTTTAATTAAAATTATTTTAGGGCATTTGTCTGAGAGCGCCACATTTACGTAGAGGCTTATAAAAAATCCAAAAGTGAACCTAGCTTTATGAAATTTTGCATAGAGGTCTCTAATAGAGTTAACTACCTACTCTAGAAATTTCAGAATTTTTGGTTAAGTATTTCAGAAGTTCTGGTCAAAAAACTAACAAAAATCAACATTTTTCCTGAAAATTCTGAAATTTTTGACCAGAACTTTTTAAATACGAGACCAAAAATTCTGAAATTTTTACTCAAGGTAGATAGCACTATTTAGGAGGTCTATGCAAAATATCATTATTCTATATGCACTCTAAACTTTTTTGTAAATTAATGTCTAAACCACCCCTAACCTCCAGCAGGAGAACTAAAAGTACAAGCAATTCCAACAGAACAACCAGAAGCCAAAATTTCTATTTCTCTTCCCTCGTTCGAGAAAAATGCTGTGCTCTGCCATGCTTTTGTTAATTTACTTAACAAATGGCCTATTATAATTTTTAAATTTTTATTCGAATTTTTTAAATATTTTTTACCAACAATTGCCCCCATATGGACGAATGGTCCCTTAAAATAAAAATACATATTAAAAGGGAAAATGAACTTAGAATCGTAAAATTTTGCATAGAGGTCTCTAATACTGTTAGCTACCTCTCATAAAAATTTCAGAATTTTTGGTTTCGTATTTCAGAAGTTCTGGTCAAAAAACTACAAAAAATTGACATTTTTATCGAAAATTCTGACATTTTTGACCAGAACTTCTGAAATATGAAACCGAAAATTCTGAAATTTTTAAGTGAGGTAGAAAGCACTATTAGAGACCTCTATGCAAAATTTTAGATTTTTAGGTGCTCAATAGACAATTTTATAATCCTACGCAGAAACGTTATCTAACCCAAAACTTGCCTCTTTTCCAACAGGCAATCCACTCCCCAACGTTAACGTCAGAGAAAGCACTTTAGCTACTAATGTCCTCATAGTTAAATAATTGGGAAGAAAAAAGCCATTCATAATTACTTTCACTTCGGGAATTCCAGAACCTTCAATTTTTTTTAAAAATTCGAAAAAATTTTTTTCAAACTACCAATAGCTTGAGGAGAAATATATTTACATACGAGAGCTGCTGCTGTAACAAAAAATCCTAGATAACCAACCCAAGAAACAAAACCAAGCATTTTATCGTAATCTCGGGCAAAGTCGAAGAGGACAGCGCGATCTAAGGGGATTTTTAGAATTTTGATTTTACAAAAAATTCTGATTTTTTCAGAAAATTCTGATTTCTTAATTCTGATTTTTCAGAATAATTCTGATTTTCCAAAAAATTCTGATTTTTTAATTCTGATTTTTTTCAGAAAATTTCTGATTTTCCAAAAAATTCTGATTTTTTATTCTGATTTTTTTCAGAATTATTCTGATTTTTAGAATTTTTTAAATTTAGGTATATTATCAATTTTCAGAAAATCCCTCTCTTACAGTGATTCAAATATTCATAGCTAACATCTACAGATATAGAAAGTGCTGCAGTTATACAACCAAGTAAAGCAGAAATAAACCAATCTTCTACAAAGAAGTGTAGCTTTAATTAAAAAATTTTTGTTAATTAAATAGAGGAAATCCAGTAGTGGGGACTCGTTATATGCGACATTTCCCTTTGATTCATTTGAGTCGCTACTAACGAGAGTTGACTGTCTACAAAATAGAGGGTATTTAAAATATGTCTACTGTATAGAGAGTATCCACAATATGGAGGGTTTCTGCTATTAGGGTGAGTCAAAAGTTCGCGGTCACTTTGATTTTTACATTAAAAATTAAATAGCATTATTATGATCTATATATCAATCGAAAGCTTGATCAAAATCTAGCTTGACATGTTTCAGCATTTTTCTCAAAAATCAAAATTCGCCAAGATATTAGGGATATTAGGGATTTGGTCGGATATTGAAAATCCGTATTTTCGCGGATAAATTTTTTCGAGTAATACTCATAAAATATTCTGATTCTACACACTTTTATAACCTAAAATCAAAAAAAAGTGCATAAAAATCTTAATTTTCAACGAAGATATGAATTTTTGAAAATAGCAGTTTTTCAACAATTTATGGGAGAAAACATTAAAATATGAAAAAAATGAGAGTAAAAGTCCGTTTTTCAAAAATTCATATCTCCGTTGAAAATTAAGATTTTTATGCACTTTTTTTTTGATTTTAGGTTATAAAAGTGTGTAGAATCAGAATATTTTATGAGTATTACTCGAAAAAATTTATCCGCGAAAATACGGATTTTCAATATCCGACCAAATCCCTAATATCCCTAATATCTTGGCGAATTTTGATTTTTGAGAAAAATGCTGAAACATGTCAAGCTAGATTTTGATCAAGCTTTCGATTGATATATAGATCATAATAATGCTATTTAATTTTTAATGTAAAAATCAAAGTGACCGCGAACTTTTGACTCACCCTAATATATGGAGGTTGTCGACTAAAATAAGCTAAAAATCCACTACCAAATTAACAGCGTGCCTCTTCAAACCCTGCGCCATTGTTTCTTCTGGCCGTTTAAATTCATCAGAAGTACATTCTCTGAGCACTTCAGGGTCTTTGGAGAGTAGACAAGTTCCATCTCCAATGGGGGATGAAGGTTGGGAGGTACTGTAAATTTTTAAGTGAAAAAATTTATTCTGATTTTTTCAGAATAATTCTGATTTTCCAAAAAATTTATTCTGATTTTTCTCCAGAATAATTCTGATTTTACAATAATTTTATTCTGATTTTTTCAGAACGTGTCGACGCAGAAGACCCACAGACAGAAGACCCAAGGACAGAAGACCCACAGACAAAAGACCCACAGACAGAAGACCCACAAGGACAGAATACCCACAGACAAAAGACCCACAACTATTTTTTGTTTCCCTTTTATTATGCATAAATTTTGACGGAGGGATCTTGTTAGTTCTATTTGTTTTCCACAATAAGGGTTGATCCAACAGCGGGAAAGTTGTTTCAATATTAGGGAAGGTTGTTCCATCAATCTGGAGGGTTGTTCAAGCAGTGTGGGACGTTGTTCCAATAACAGGGAAGTTTGTTTCAACCATGGGCATGTTATTTTAACAATGGGAAATATTGCAACAACGGGTGAAGTTGTTCCAACGATGGGAATATTGTCCCAATTACCGGAGAGCTTGTTTAACGAAGATGGATCTTGATTTCCCGGATTATCGGGATTTTTATCCGGAAAATCCGGTACATGTCATGTCAAAAAATCTGGATCCGATCAGGTTCAGATATAAAAAATAGTATAAAAATAGCTAATTGGCCTTCCAAAATTTCCAAAATTCCTGTCTGTAACGATGAAAGGGAAAAGTAGATCAAAGGGATATTTAGAATCAAAGAGTATTTAGGATTAACTGAATTATAGCGAGAGTCAGTTAAGTCCACATGGAGGGATATAGAAGGATTTGAAGCGATCAAGGGCATTGGAGATATGCAATAATATCGGGGATCTTTGGAATAGTAGAGATTACTTATATTTCTGAGTAACATGGAGGGATATCTGTGGATAAAAGCGGATTAGTGGTAAAAGCTTAAAAGGTTTACATCCTTTGAAATTCCCAGACATATCCGATTTACTGTTAATTTCCTTCTCCTGGTTCCTGTTATATACAATTCACGGATAAGAATAGATATCGGCGGATTCGAGATTTTACCCCTATATTCTCTATATCCCATGCTATTCCTACATATCCTAATTAATCACCAGACTTTTCAAATCACTTTCTAATTAAGTGATCTAAATCGCACTCATCCATAAAATTTAACGCTAAAAATTCTTTTGATTAACCTTATAATAATTTTTTATATTTTAAAATTTATTAATCTTGTGCCTTGAGAAATTGGAAATCTTATTCAGAAATTTCAGAAAATTTCTTCTGAAGTTTTAGTTAAAAAATTTTTCTTGTGGGTCTTTTGTCTGTGGGTATTCTGTCCTTGTAGGTCTTCTGTCTGTGGGTCTTTTGTCTGTGGTTCTTCTGTCCTTGGGTCTTCTGTCTGTGGGTCTTCTGTCACTACGCCTTTTCAGAATATTTTTCAGAATTTTTTTAATCAACTAACAAGTTACGTTCACACTAGTTATAGTTCGAAGGGAACATGTTCATAGTCCATGTTCCGTTCACACTAGTTATAGTTCGAAGGGAACATGTTTCTTTTCGCAGGAGTTATAGCCCTACAGGAACATGTTTCTTTCACACTACTTATAGTCCGAAGGGAACTAAATAAATATTTCAGAATTTCTGCTCCCCCACGTTGATCTTTGTGGTTTTCGACTTTTGGGTTTACTCCCAATTAATTTTCTAAATTTATTTTTAACAATTATTTATTAACCTGTTAATTAGGCAATCAAACCCCATATTTAATTAATTAATTGACGGAAATAATTAATTAAAAAAAAAGAAAAATAAAATTTATTTTTAACTGTTCTCTCCCTCTCAACTTTAAAAACTTTGAAAAAATCAAACTCGTGAATGGATGAATCATTTTTGGTAAATTTGGTATCATTTGATAGAGGAGAGAATTTGCTATAAAATAAGCTGGAAAGCAGAATTTGAGAGAAAGGAGAAAAAATGTTGTGGACAAAAAATTGAAAAAGGGGTATATTCAAGAGACCAGCCTATTGCGTGTGACCTTGATCAACTTTTAGGCTTATATCTCAAGAATGGTTTAATATTTTAAATAACTTTTGGTACCATTCGAAAGAGGAGAAAATTTGCTACAAAATAAGCTGATAATTAATAATTTAGAAAATATTCAGAAAAAGTTATATTCTAAAAACTAGCCTTTAGAGAGAATATTATGTGTGACCTTGGTCAACTTTTAGGCTTATATCTCAAGAATGGATTAATATTTTAAATTGCTTTTAGTATCATTCGAAAGAGGAGAAAATTTGCTACAAAATAAGCGGATAGTTAATTATTTAGAAAATATTCAGAAAAAGTTGTGGTCGATAAAGTAATGTTGGAGCGAGAAAATAGAGGGTGACTTTGATCAAGTTTTAGTGGTATATCTCGAGAATGGATTAACCTTAAAAAGTCGTTTTAGTATCATTAAATAGAGGAGAAAATAAGCTACCAAAATAATTAAAATAAAAATTTTCGGCTGATAATTAAAAGAGTTATGGGCGAGAAAATAACATTGAGGTTGAAATCTGATGTACGACAATAGGTAAGTTTTAGCCTTATAACTCAAGAATGGATCGACCATTTTAAATAATTTAAAGATCATCTGATAGAGGAGAAAATGGGCTACAAAATAAGCTAAAGATCAGAAATTTAGGAAATCTAACAAAAAAGTTATGGTCAAAAAACTAGACTAAGTTAAATAAATTTAAAAATAATTTTTTTTAATTTTCAATTAAAAATTAGGTAAAATAGAAAAAATGCGCATTTTGTGTGGGAAAGAAGAAATGTTAAAAATATATAATTCTTTATTTAATTGATTACAATGCGTAGATAGAAAATAGAAGTAATCACAAAAAATAATTAAATTAAAAAAGGAGAAAAGTAGGTGGAGGGATGCGAAAAGATTTTGGTATATGTAGTAGCTAATTTATTTTTACCACTAAAATTTTTTTTTAGTTTTTTTGAGGGATGGAAAATGATAAATAAATTGAGGTAAAAATTATTAAAATGTATTTTTGTGTATTTCTGAATTTTCGTTTTTTTCTGTGTTTTTCTGAATTTTTCTGAATTTTTATGAAATTTTTTTGCCTTTTTTCTAAATCTCTTCGAAAATTGCCCTTTGATCGAGGGGCTATAACTTTACGAAAATAGCCCTTTGAACAAATAAATTTTTCGGAAATATTCTTAATAGTGATATCCTAGTTTGTGCCAAATTTAAAATTTTTTCGTTGAGAATTTCAAAAGTTATTGTTAAATTGGCTTATTTGAAAGGTGATCTTCTGGGTTGCTCATTTCATTATTTTTTAGCATAACTTGAGAAATTCTGATTCAAAAATTCTGAAATTTTTAGTGAAAATAGTCAATAATATTAATGATAATTAGACAAAATTTCAAGTTTCTAGGTAAAAAATTGACTGAGTTATGGGCGAAAGAATAGGTGTCACTTAGCTTATTTATGGTAAAAATTGAGTATTTTCCGGAAAAAAAAATTTTTTTTGAGAAAAGAAAAAGAAAAATTTTTTTACATTTTTTTTTCAATTTTTTGGCTTTTGATTTAAATAAAAATAAATTTTTTTGTGTTTGGTATTAAAAATATGATAAAATAATCTTTAATATTTCTTTAAATTCGATAATGATAATGGCGACATATTTTATTTAAATAAAAGAATGAAAAGAAAAAATTTAAAAGAGTAAATAATTAATAATTTTTTAATTTTGGGAATTAAAGCAATAAAGAATTTTAATTCAAAAAATTAAAAAAAAAATACATAAAAAATTAATAAAAAAATTTTGAAGAAATTTCGATAAAATGTATTTCTTGGTGTAGTGGGATATATTTTGTTTTTAGTGAGAAAAGGTTGAAGGTTCGAACCCTCTTGGGTGTAAAACTTTTTTTTTAGTTGGAAAAAAATATTTTTTAAAGTCTAATTTTATTTAGCATCAAATGAAGGCTTAAGAAAATTTTACGGACAAAAATTGCGGATTTTCAAAAATAAAAATTTAAATTAAAAAAAAGAGGGATAAACGAACCAACTCTTCAAATCCATGAAAACAAAATTTGGTAACTTAATTAAAAATATTGTTTAAGCTCGATATTGCGACTCCCTGTAAGCCTTCTTTTTCGTCACCGCTGTTTGTCCCCAGAGATACTTAGTAGTGATTCGGCCTTATTTGACACATCTCCTTCACTAAGTCTTCGTCTCTATTCGATCCCTAAACTGACGTATTATCGAGATTCGACTGTCCCAATTTTATTTTTTACTCTTTCCATCAATATTTTTACCAAAAAAATTTTTTTCAATTAAAATCTCTTTACCCATATTTTTTATTCAATTCATTATTCTCGTTAATGGGGGATCACCCCTAAATATCACCCCCCTAAATATCACCACCCTAAATATCACCACCCAAAATATCACCTGACCCTAAATATCACCACCCAAAATATCAAATGACCCAAAATATCACCACCCAAAATATCGTTGATTCGAACTATTATCCTCATCCCCATCACCGTAAACTTCTAAAAAAATACGAGCCAGTTGTGGAACCGATATACAGACCCCTGAAGTTTGAAAAAGAGATGTAATATGCTCCTTACATATGGTACATGTGGAGGTTTTTGCTGCTACGGAGGCCCCAAGTACGTCCAGAGCAAGGGAGATAGGAATAGGTTTATGTTACGAGCCCAGACCCAACGCCCGTAGACTCCCCGCGAGGCGCGTGCCGCAAAACCCCGCGCGAAGCGCGGGGTTTTGCACAAGCGCCTCGCCGACGCTCCATAGGTTTACGTTGACCATTTTGAACGATATTTTGTGTGGTGATATTTTGGGTCATTTGATATTTTGGGTGGTGATATTTAGGGCCAAGTGATATTTTGGGTGGTGATATTTAGGGGGGGTGATATTTAGGGGTGAAGTCGTTAATGGTTGCGCAATCAATTTTAATTAAAGGTTGTCGAAATGTTGAGTGTTTTCCTTTTGATGTTTTCATTTTTTTATTTTAATTTAAAAAATAATTAAATTATTGGCAAAAAATTTTAAAAAACTTAAAAACTTTTGAATTTAAAGAATAAAAATTTTACTTATACCCCCTGGGGCTGGAAAAAATTTGTGGCTCATAATGATGTTATTAAATTTTTAGACCTCCTCTTTCTCTATAGCCATCAGAGGTGGGTCGGAACAGTCAGAGGTGTCGGAAATCGGAAGTCGGAGATTGGAACTGGCTCAAAAGTCGGAACTGGAAATCAAGATTTTTTTTCGGAAATTGGAAGACCTCTACCTCTATAGCCATCCAGACGACCCACCTCTATAGCCAACCAAATTAAAAATAGTAACTTAACTTGCGAGGGGTGTTTTAAAGGGGTGAGATAAATGAGCCAAATCTATAAATGAGATGAGACTGAAAATAAAGTTCACAAAAATAGAAGGCTCAACGGAGAGGAGCAAATTTCGTCAACTGTTATTCTTAGTGTAGTCGGATATATTTTTGTTTTTAGTGAAAAAGGGTTAAGGGTTCGAACCCTCTTGGGTGTAAAACAATTTTAAAGAAGAGAATGAAATTAAAACAAAAGATTTTTTTTGATAAAAAAAATTTTTTAATGTTAAACATTGATCAAATTTAAAATTAATTAAATCATTTTAATAAAAAAAAGGGAAAGAATTTTATAAAAAAGAAAAATTAATTTTGTCCTTCTATTAAATTAAAAAAATTTTTTCTTGGGTCAAATTAAAACGGAAATAAATTAAAATCAATTTTTGTGTTTAGTGAACTGATGATAAAATAAAATAAAATTATTAACGAAGATTTTCTTTTTAAAATTTTAATTTATATTTGGGAGGGCAAATTTTTAGAAGAGAAATAAAAATAAAGAATTATGGTATCCTTACTTTTACTGGTCCCTAGAAAAAAATGCGAAGAAGTGACTTTTCGATATTTTGAGGGCTGCCGGTATCGAGTGTGCTGAGTCCGAATATGAGCTTTAAATTTGTTTATTTCGAACCCCGGACCCGAATTCGACCAAATCGAATTCGGGGTAAAACTTCAAAATTAGAAATCTGATGTCTATTCGAGCTGATGAGTCGGATAGTATCAAAATTATTATGTTTCGACAATTAGAGTGATAAAGGCAAATTTGTAATTGAGAGAGAGAGAGAGAAGAGACGAAATGCAATATTTTTCAGTGGTTGACATTTTAAAGTTAGATATTTTGTAATAATTCGCTGCTATGAAAAATCAAAATGTCAAATGTCCGGGCTTCGACTTTTTCAAAATCTGGGCTCAGATTTGTAGCATATAAAAACATCATTTTTCCTACGAGCGTTAGGACGCGCTTCGCGCGTCCTAACGCTCGTACAACACCTTTTAATTCTTCCTAGATCAACCTTTCACTTTGACGGACTCAAACCCCAACATCTCACTCGTTTCTGGAATCTTCTCATCAATTGATGGGAAGAGTCTAATCTTTAAAAATATCTTTTAATCATACATCACAACTATCATCCTTTATCTTCAAAAATCTGCAATATACCTCTTAACCACCATCCTGTTAATCCCCTCTCTAATGTTCTGATATCTCTCTTAACCACCCCCCCCCAAACACAGATATTACCATTTATCCCCAAAAACCAGATATTATTTTTTTGGGCCCAAGTCATCTATATTTTTACTTTGCACCCCAAAATCTCGGATAGTACCCTTTAGCCCCGAAATCCTTTGATATCCTTCATAATCACCCTAAATCCCGTGATATATCACCATACGAATTCACTTTTCATACTTCCCAGTTATCACTCTGTATCTCTCAAAACCTAGATATTAACAAAAGTCCCTAAATCCTCTGGCATCCCTCTTAACCCCTAATATCCCAAAATCACGTTATCACTCTTAATCCTCTGTTATTCTTCTCAATCCCCTATTATCTGAAAACGCATTTTATCCACCAAAATACATAACGCCCATTATCCTCACAAAACATACAAAACTCTATTTCCAAACTCAGAGACATCACCATTAACACTTGTTCCATCTTATTCATACTCAAAACCCCCTATATCACTCATTATTTTCCAATACGCAAATATTCCTCTTTATTTTTCAAAATCCAAGATATCACCATTTAAATCCCAGATATAAACTACTCTATATCACTTTTAGTCTCCCAAATCCTCCGATATCATCTTTTAACCCTCCATTTTCCCCAAATCCACCTATATCACTCAATTTCCATATCCCCAAATACATAATTTTATCCATAATGCAACGATATCTTCCTAAATTCCTTGATATACATGTAACCAAAAATACTCTTTAATCTTATAATCATATAAGATTAAAGATACTCTTTAATATATATTTTTATTTTTAATATATATTTTTATCTTTAAAATATATCCGCGACATCCCTCAAGTTAAACTAATCTAACCCTCACATTTTATTCGCCCAAACTCACGATATATCACTTTTTATCAAATACCCGATATCCCTCTTAATCAGATCAAATCCAGGATATCCCTCTTAATTACCAAATCCTTCTCTTTATTTCCCGAAATCCTTCCAATAACTCCCCTTATTTGCTTCTTAATCCCTTAGTCTCTGATGATTAGGTTTCATAGGCTTTCACTCATTTTTCTTATTTTTGTGTTGCGTATCACTCTAATCCTCAAAAGCATTCTTAATTACCCTAATCCCCGTTATCTATATTATTCTTTGATACTTCTCTTTTCCTAATATCCCCAAAATCATATCTTAATCCACATCCCTCAATATCAATATTAAGCCCACAAAACTTTTGATATTCCCCAGTCACTCATCAGAGTCACTTACAAACACTAATACCTTTCTTGTATTTCCTAAATACATATTACTATACCCCAGATAATAAAAATTAATAGTTTCCCAATATCCGTCTTAATGTTCGGAATCCTCAAAATCCCTTCATTAAATCTGAATTTATCGTTTGTAACTAAAAGATCCCTTATATATCCCACTTTATATCTCAAATCCTCCATATCTTCACAGAACTTATGTTTTTAATATAAATCCCCCGATATCAATTCAAAGTACCGATATTCTCTTTAACACTCTCACTCGTAAGTTTCCAAAATAGTCTATATCAGAGATGGGCGAAAATAGAATTTTGCCCTCAGCGAAACGAAAGCGAAAAAAATAAAATCATCTGTGTGCGTAAAAAACGAAACGAAAAAATAACGGCATATGAATACCCGCCGAACTCCCTCCCAATATCTGCCAAAATTCCCTGATATCTTTTTAATTCTCTGTTATCTATTTGCAATTACTACATTTTGATTCATAATTTAAAAAAATTATGAATCAAAGAACTATGTTGGGCAATTTATTTGCCGTAGGCAAATTTTTTCTCTTAATTAGCGGGGTACGTCGCGAAAATATAGAAAATTCGTTATATTTGTCCGCGAAAATAACGAAAAACGAAATGAAAATTTTCGCCCATCTCTGGTCCATATCTCTATTAACTCTTCTTTATTTCTCTTTTTTTCTTCCAATCTCTGATATCCCTATTAATCCTCAAAATCCGTCACAATATTCCCTTAATTTCCCGCAATCCACAATATCCGCTTTATCACTATCTTTTACCCTCTTAATACGTACATAAATCTCCGATATTCTTTACTATCCTCAAACCCCCAAACATCATTCTGCATAAACTCTCCCGAATCACAGTTCACCTCCGATATTTACTTAACCCCCTACAAATCTACCGTTAACTTTATTATCCTAATTCACCTTCATCTCTTCAAATACTTAGTATTCAATTAATCACCAAACACCCTTTAATAATTTTTAATCCTAAAATCCTCGATATCCCTATTTGGCTCTAATAGTGTTCGCGGTTAAAAGGCTGCGATTTATTTTAAAAATTACTGCTTGCGAATAGAAGGCAGACGGCTGGTAACTGCCGCGTCTAAATGGCAGATGGCTGGTTGTTTTTGTTTACACTTAACTTTACCATTAAAAATTAGAGAAAAACAAATTTTTCTCTCTTATTTTTTAAAAAGAAAATTTTTCGTGTCAAAACAAAATCTTGTTTTCTTTTTAAAAAACGGCAAAAAGCGTGACGGAAAGTGTGAAATTATATAGTTAATGTTTAAACTTTTTTATCGCACGGACCCCAATTCTATCCGGGATTGCCAAAGCTTCCCTTTAACTGTACGATTCCTTTCATTTTTGCTGATTTTTCCATTTGTTTTTGTCTCCACTTTTTTTTGTCTTTTTATGAATAATTTGTTTTTAAAGGTCTTTCAACAAATAAAAAAATATTAAAAATTAGAATGGACGGTGAAGATGAGGCAACTGAACCACAAATTTTTCCACCAGAAGACGGAGAAGAAGAAAACGAACATCAACTCAGCTACAAAAAGATTAAAAAGGAAGCTTTAGCCCCCGTTTTTGGTTCGGAGGGGGCTGTTGGTGCAGATTTACATAGTGCTGAGGAATGTGTTGTTCCGGCTAAAGGTTTATTTTTTGGAAGTTCAGAATTTGTTTTGTTGATTTTAGGCAAGTATTTGGTGTCGACTGGACTTCAAATTGCTCTGCCTAAGGGGTACTATGGAAGGTTATACTTTTTTATTTTTATTAATTTTGTTATTTGTCTCTCGGGCATACTTGAGCGATTTTTAATTTTTGGGTCTGAAATAAGTTCTTTTGTAGTTCTGGTTTTGTTAGCCTACAGAATTGGAGAGACACTTTGACTATTTTGAGCCTCTTTATTTCGGCTCAATGTAAAGATTGAGGGATTCTAATTTTTCCCCTTTCCCCCATTTCGGGAGAGGGGGAGGGGGCCCTCAGCCCCCCTCCCCCCCGGCTACGCCAATGCTAACTGGCAAACCTTAAAGATAATGAAAAGCGCTTCCTCCACATTTTTTCTAGTGACCAGTAAACTATAAAATTGCCGAAAGCGTTGATTTTTTAATTTCAGAATCGCTCCATGTTCTGGACTTGCTTCAAAAAACTTTGTTGATGTGAGTGCTGGTGTAATTGATACGGATTTTCGTGGAGAACTTAAAGTTTTGCTTTTCAACTTTTCGGATTCTGATTTTAAGGTTAATTTTGAGATTTTATTTTTTTAAATTATTTTTGGTAATACCAAGGTTGGCCTCCCGTTTTTTTCCTCCCTTAAGAATCACATAAATGGTCATTTTTCCTTCTCAATTTCACTCTTTCCCTGTGGTCTTAAGTAAGAAAAAAAGCGGGGAGCAGCCTTACATGGGAAGGTTGCGAGGTGTCCGACCTAAAAACGGTCAGCTCATTCGATAGAGAATGTGCCCTTTCTAGCAAGGATTTTGAGCCGTTTATGCACGTTTTTTGATCTGGCCAAGATATGGCCTTCCAAAGTCCCAAAATTTGGCATAATTTTTCCCCTTCCAAATATAAACTTTAAGAAAAAACTTCTCCCTTATTTTTTTAAAGATTTCTGTTGGTGATCGTATTGCTCAACTTGTTTGCACGTCATATATAAAGTATTTTTTTAAATTTAAATATAAAATCTAAGATTTAACTGTACTTGTGTAGTTTCCCCCACCCTCCCCATTTTTTTCTACTTTATAAAGAACGGGAAAAATGTGCATTCAGGGAATAATCAATTCCCTTGGTAATACTTCAGCTGACGCCCCCACCCTTCTCTCCCTGTTTCTCTGACCATTTTGAGCTTTTTGGCTTGACATATAATTTATTATATATCCTTAGCAAGAGCTCAGAGCTGGGTAGACAATTTCCAATTTTTTAAAATAAATTTTAACTTTTTAATATTTAGACCAGCTCTTGTTGAAGTAACCGATTTTGATGAAAATGACGATGAAGATATAGAGAATATTGTTTTGTATGCATGAAAGCTTGTTGAGATGTCTTTCAAAGTGGGAATAGTTGGGAATAAATTTGTTATAATTAAATTATTTTTTGAGCTTAATTTTTGTTATATTTCTTTTCAATGAATATTTTGAATAAATGGATTTCAGTCAACTGTCTTTCTTGGTGTATTCGGATATATTTTTGTTTTAGCAAAGAAAGGATTAAGGGTTCGAACCCTCTTGGGTGTAAAAATATTTTCTAGAAGAGATACTTAAATTAAAACAGAAGATTAATTTTTAAAAATTATTTTCTGATAAAAAAATTTTTTTAATGTTAAAAATTGATCAAATTTAAAATTAATTCAATCATTTTAATAAAAAAAGGAAAGAATTTTATTAAAAAAAATTAATTTTGTCCTTCTATTAAATTAAGAAATCTCTTTCATGGGTCAAATTAAAACGGAAATAAATTAAAATCAATTTTTGTGTTTAGTGAAATGATGATAAAAATAGAATATTATAAACGAAGAGATTCTTTTTAAATTTTTAATTAAAATTTGAGGGGAAATTATACAAGAGAAATAACGACGAATTGAGTATTTTACAAAATGGTTTAGTATTTTTCCTATGTTGGACATTTTGAGATGAAACGTTTTCATGGTAGGACATTTTGGGTTGGGACGTTTTGTGGGTTGGGCTGGATTTCCATTTTGTCATTTCACAATATTTATTTTTAAAAAATTGCACCATTTCTGTTAAAAAATGATTCAATATGACAAATAAATGGCAAAATGGTTTAAAAAATTGTTTATAATTCAAAAACTGACGAATGATGGTTTTTTTTGTTTTGAAACACGGTATACACACAAAATTTAATATAAAAATAAGACTTTTCCACACGGATTTATCAAAATAGATTAAAATATAAAAACACTATTTTAAAGAAAAACCAATTTGGAATATTTGCTCATACTTTTTAACAAAAACTGCAATAAATCCGTTAGTTTTTTTTGTAACTTATCCCATGTGCCCTTCAGACGCTTGGACAGTATAATATATTTCATACTTATCCTTCTTGCACATGACATTTTTGAAATAATACCACAAACAGGGTGATGGTCCCTGTATAGTCAATTTCTCCTATTATTGCAGTGTCAAAAAATTTTGAGAAATTATACGAAACTTTAAGAAATGTTTTTCATAAAATCAATTTTAAGACTAATTAGAAACTTTTTAAAATTCAATTTAAAATTTTTTTAAATTCCTTTGAATTTATCAAAAAATTTTTTGTCAAATAATTAAAAGACACCGTTAATGGTGCAACACACATAATCCTTGATAACATCCTTAATTAAAATAGGAATATAGGTCCTCAGAGGTGGACTAAATTTAATAACAACTCTCCATTTAGTTATCATCTTCAACCAAAATGGGGGATTACTTTAATTATCTTATTATCTTTATTATGATTTTTATTTTTTGTGCTGCAATGTTTATGTTTTGTGGGAAAAAACAAAAAAATCGAGAACAAACGTAAAGTGCCAAAAGTATGTCGTTCCACCGGAAAGACCCCTTTAAAATTATTTTTTAAATTTCAGAAGAAGTCTAGTAACAAAAGAAAGAAGAACAAAAAATCGAAAAGAAGCAAGCGTTCCGGAAAAAAGAAAATTCAAGCAAAAACAAGAAAAAAGGTACTATTTTATCCTTTAAGTACATTTTTTGTATTTTTTGTACATCTTTGTACTTAAAGGATAAAATAGTACCTTTTTTCTTGTTTTTGCTTGAATTTTCTTTTTTCCGGAACGCTTGCTGAACAAGAAAGAAGAACAAAAAATCGAAAAGAAGCAAGCGTTCCGGAAAAAAGAAAATTCAAGCAAAAACAAGAAAAAAGGTACTATTTTATCCTTTAAGTACATTTTTTGTATTTTTTGTACATCTTTGTACTTAAAGGATAAAATAGTACCTTTTTTCTTGTTTTTGCTTGAATTTTCTTTTTTCCGGAACGCTTGCTTCTTTTCGATTTTTTGTTCTTCTTTCTTTTGTTACTAGACTTCTTCTGAAATTTAAAAAATAATTTTAAAGGGGTCTTTCCGGTGGAACGACATACTTTTGGCACTTTACGTTTGTTCTCGATTTTTTTGTTTTTTCCCACAAAACATAAACATTGCAGCACAAAAAATAAAAATCATAATAAAGATAATAAGATAATTAAAGTAATCCCCCATTTTGGTTGAAGATGATAACTAAATGGAGAGTTGTTATTAAATTTAGTCCACCTCTGAGGACCTATATTCCTATTTTAATTAAGGATGTTATCAAGGATTATGTGTGTTGCACCATTAACGGTGTCTTTTAATTATTTGACAAAAAATTTTTTGATAAATTCAAAGGAATTTAAAAAAATTTTAAATTGAATTTTAAAAAGTTTCTAATTAGTCTTAAAATTGATTTTATGAAAAACATTTCTTAAAGTTTCGTATAATTTCTCAAAATTTTTTGACACTGCAATAATAGGAGAAATTGACTATACAGGGACCATCACCCTGTTTGTGGTATTATTTCAAAAATGTCATGTGCAAGAAGGATAAGTATGAAATATATTATACTGTCCAAGCGTCTGAAGGGCAAATGGGATAAATTACAAAAAAATACTAACGGATTTAAATGCTGTTTTTGTTAAAAAGTAACAGGAAACATATTAAAATTTTAAAATGATTTTTCAAAATTTTGACACCAATTAGTGAGTATGTTTACGGCCAAATTGTGAAAAAATTTTAAAACGTAAAGAACTTTGAAAAGTAAAAAAAGTGGTAAATGTAAAGATTACTGGTCCCGAAGATGCAGGAGAGCATTTATGTTGCTTGGACTTTTGTTACACAATTTATCAAGGAAAACAAATTGGGCGATGTTAGTAAATCGCACATTGCTGTTCACATTGTGCCTTTATGTTTCCTATTTTTTGTAAAAAACTTAGAAAATAAGTTTTTTTCTGATCAGGGGACAAGGGTTTTTTCCGAGCTTGTTTTTTAGTTTATGATCAAACATAAACATAATTATAAATTCCTAGAAACTTTAAAAAAAATTTTTTACTCAATTACAGGCAGCTTTTGAAAAGTCTGGACCAAGCGGAGGAGCTGCTATAGCAACAAGTATGTTGTCAAGAATTATCGGCCTTGCTCCGATCAGTGGTTACTTTTTTTTTAATTAACAACAAAAATATTGCCACAATAATTAGACAGAGAAACGTTTAATCGGTTTTCTTTCCCCCCATTTTATGAAACTAAAAAATATTTTTTAAATTAATATAAAATAATTTTTTAACTTTTTAGACACAGCGATCGTTGGAGAAATCGACCAACTTGGTACTCTGCTCGCAGTTGGGGGTTTGCCTTCTAAAGTAAATGTTGCAAGACGAGTAGGAATACGCAATATAATTATGCCAAGAAAGATGGAGAATGCTTGGAAAAGGTTGGACAAGAAGGACAAAATTGGAGTTAATGCAATTTATGTTGAGACCTATCCTGAGGCTTTTAAACTAGTCTTCCCCAGCTATAAAAATAACACTACGCTTACCCATAAATAATTTTCATTAACAAAATTCTTTTGGTAGTTATTTCTAAAAGGTTGTCGTGCTTTTAGAAATAACTACCAAAAAAATTTTGTTAATGAAAATTATTTATGGCGAAGCGTAGTGTTATTTTTATAGCTGAAGAAGACTAGTTTAAAAGCCTCAGGATAGGTCTCAACATAAATTGCATTAACTCCAATTTTGTCCTTCTTGTCCAACCTTTTCCAAGCATTCTCCATCTTTCTTGGCATAATTATATTGCGTATTCCTACTCGTCTTGCAACATTTACTTTAGAAGGCAAACCCCCAACTGCGAGCAGAGTACCAAGTTGGTCGATTTCTCCAACGATCGCTGTGTCTAAAAAGTTAAAAAATTATTTTATATTAATTTAAAAAATATTTTTCAGTTTCATAAAATGGGGGGAAAGAAAACCGATTAAACGTTTCTCTGTCTAATTATTGTGGCAATATTTTTGTTGTTAATTTAAAAAAAGTAACCACTGATCGGAGCAAGGCCGATAATTCTTGACAACATACTTGTTGCTATAGCAGCTCCTCCGCTTGGTCCAGACTTTTGGAAAGCTGCCTGTAATTGAGTAAAAAATTTTTTTTTAAGTTTCTAGTAATTTATAATTATGTTTATGTTCGATCATAAACTAAAAAAACAAGCTCGGAAAAAGCCCTTGTCCCCTGATCAGAAAAAAACTAATTTTCTAAGTTTTTACAAAAAAAGAAACATACAGGCATAATGTGAACAGCAATGTGCGATCAATGAAAAAAAAACAATGAAATCCTTTCAGATTTTTGGAAAACGAAAACAAAATTTAACAAAACCAGGAATCGCCTCTTTAATAGAATCTGCATTGTTAACATTAGAAAATTTCGTTATAAAAATATTATTGTAAACATAATCTAATTTGGAATTATTCACAATTTGGCCCCCCCCCCCTCAAAAAAACTACTCACTAATTTTAGTCTTAGAAGTCTTTGTTTTCAACAGTTAAAACAAGTTTGAGGTAGAAAAGAAAGGGGAAAAATTAACAATAATGAGGATCAATTAAATTTGGAAAAATGTCAAGATTCATTAAATTACAAATTTTTAAGTATATTTTTTAATTATTTATTCTAAATTCACCTCAAAATCATATTCATCCACGTCTCCTTCTTGCTCTTCATTTTGACTCTTCATTGAAGTCTCCATCATCCATTTTGGCATTGTTGGTTGTTCTTCTCTTTCTTCTTCTTCTCCTTCAGGCACTTCTTTTACAATTTTTTTCCTTGTCATTTCTTTTTCTTCTTCAATTTCTTTCCTTATTCGTTTTCTTGTTCTTACTTCTAATTTTAATTCTTCCAATTTTGTTGCAGTGAAATTTTCTACTTCATTTTCCATACTTCCATTTAAATTTATTATTTTTGTATCTTCATCGTTTTTGTCAAATATTGGTTGATTTTGTTGATTTTTTGAAGCAGTGAAGGTTTTTGTCCAAATTTTATCAATATGTGAAGAAAACTTTAAAAAAATTTTTTTAAAGAGAAAGCTGAGAAAATACAAAAGGGTACGGACGGGTTATCCAAAAATTGAAAATTTCCCAGGAAGAGGAAAATGTCAATTCCCCTTCAAGAGGAAAATGTCAATTCCTCAGTCATTCCTCAGACACCCTGAGGAATTGACTCGAACGTCGAATTGACTCAACAATGTCAACCTCTATTTAATATTATAAACAATTTACCATATTTTTTTCATCAGTCGAACTAGTTTCCATAAACGCAAAATCGCATTGAAGAGAAACTTCTGGCTCATCGAAAATTTGGTAACCAGATAAAACTTCATCAAATTCTTCAAGATGAAAATGTTCAGATACATTTAGATGTTGTTGTTCATCATTTGTTATTAAAGTAGATGCATCCAATAACTTAAAATAAAATTAAGAGGTAAATTAAAGTAAAGAAAAAATATCTGGTCCTATTTAGTCCTAATATTTGGTCCTATCGCTTCTTCACAACGAGATGGCTGGAAAGCTTCTAGCACCATCTCACTTACTTTAAACTAAATATTTCACTTTTAAAGCAAGCTCGCCCAAACGTTGTTCAATTAATATGCGTACTTTCGATAAAGATTTACTTTGTCGGAGGTTTTGTAATTTTTAAATCCCCGATAAAATACATCAAGCAAAACAACTGCTTTTTTGATTACGAGTCAAAATAAATTTAAAAAAAGCTACAGCTCCTTATTTTTAAATTTAGAAAAATTGTTTAATTCCCCCCAGATTATTTATTCCCCAAAAAAATATTCAAAAAACAACCTCAATTTCATTACTAGCAATTAATTGTTCATCAACATCATTAAAGAATTCATTTTCATCTTGAATATTTGAAATAAATTCAAAACAATTTTTATTAATTGAAGAGATTGAAATTGGTTTTTGTGTAAAAGATCCATCATAATTTCCCTAAAAAAATAAACAATTTTTTTTTAAAACCAAACACCATTTTCCCTACATTTTCCTCACATAATATATCAAATTCTTCATCTTGCTTTAATTTTGGTAAAGGATCAAAAAATACATTTTCATACAAAATTTTGCCACCTTCCATTTGACGAAAAAGTAAAGCTCGACGTGAAGAGATTGACAAATTCTAAAATTGAGATTTCAAAAGATTATTTAAAGTATATTAGGATATATTGTAAATACTCTAATTGAAGCCCTAGGCATTATTGTAAAATAAGTCCCTTAGAATGGGTTTATGATTAGTTATAGATATCGGCTTGGATCTGGATCAAGGTCTGGGTTTTCCCTGTACCCAGAGTTCAGGCCCGGGGATTTTTTTACCATCCTGGGTTTTTCGAGAGCCTGCGTTTTCCTGGACTACAGGCAGAGGCTTTTCAAAATTTCCAATCTTTAGTTAGTTATGAGGTTCTATTAGAGAGGGTTTATTTCAAGATTACAGACGGACTCAAATTAAAGATAGCTTCCATAAAAATATTTACGGCAATTATGAAAGCCAATCAATAAAAATTTTATTGGAAACAAAAAATTCTTGAAAACAAACTTACAGAAATAAGAGGTTGAAAATGAACTGCTCTTGTAATTGATGGAAGTTGAGATACATCAAAATCAAAAGATTCATTATCAATAAAACGAGCAAAAACTTCTCTAGGAGAATCCAAATTACTTTTGGAGCATAATGAAGACCAAAGACACTCATTAGGATGAAAAGCAAAAGAACATTGTGAAAGAGCTTAAAGTTAAAAATAAAATTATTTTTAAAGCAAAAAATAAACCAGGCTTTTTGATGTGAATTAAAGAATAAAATGAATAAATTCTGCTGTCAGTAATTGGATCAACAAATTGAGGAGTCTAAAAATAAAATTCATTTTGATTAAAAAGGTAAAAAAATATTTTAGTGACCCCATTTGTTTAACAGCCTAACTTTAATAACAGAATTTTTTGAGACTATATATTTGGAAAAAATGTGGAGAAATAACTAAAAGAATTAAATCTTCCCCTCCCACAGTTTAATTCTTATAGTTCTCCTCTAAAAAAGATCAAAAAGGCTAGGAGAAAATTTAGGCCAGGTATGAGATTATTTGTTTTAAAAGAAACTCATAAGAAGATACAGCGGAGGTGTGACATTTAATGCATTTTAATAATAGTAGCAAAGTTCGCCCTATAGCTTAAACCCTGTGAGTCTTATACCCAATTCCAGTTTTGGAAATTTTTTAAATATTTTTCATTTAACAAAAAAATTTCACTAACCGTAAAGCAATAATCACCGCCTTCAATATCTGCATGATCCATTGTTAAAAGTGAAATATTAGGCATCCTTCTATCAATTAAAATATGATGTCTTGTTGTTGTTAGTAAAAAACATTCCAATTTTGTGTCAATTTGGTTAATATGCCATAAACGATTCCTTGCACTCAAATGTTCTGTTAAATTACTGCTAAATGGTCCTTTCGTTTGTAGTTGAAAAAATATTGAATGATCAAAAAGTAAACGGCCAGTACACGAAATTGGTTCACGGAGATCAACTTCTTTTAATTGTTGTTCAGTTAAAGACATTAAAATTCGAGGACAATCAGTTGGACAAATTTCCTGTTTTTTTTGAGGGAATATATTATTATAGAAAGAAATTTGAAGTCTTATATAAAAACTTATAAAGTAGACTAGATCCCGTAGTCAGGAAAAATTTTCAGAGGAAAAATTCTTTAAAAATCTATAAAATAACCCAGTCTCCCACAAATCAACCAAAAAAGTAAGATACTATAAATAAAATCTAAAAAACTAACCAAGATTGGTTCAGGATTTTTTAAACGAGCAAAAGATGTAGAATTGTTGTTGTTAATATTTCCCCAATAAAGTATTCCTCTACTATCCACAACAGCAATTTCATCGTTCATATAAGGAATTTGTGCGAAGGAGTGAACAAAAGATTTGAATAAAGTTGAAAGTGACTTCTAAAAAATATGAAAATAATAAAAATTCTTTTTAATGAAATAATAATTGTGGGAATAAGAAAAATTGAAACTCAATTCCAAACCCACCCCCAACAAAAAATCGACTGATTTCCTGTTATTTGGAAAAATTTTCAGAAGAAAATTATCCTGATTGACAAATTCGCTCCTACTAACTAAATTCCTCACTCTCAAAAATCAACCCAACAACACTATTGTGCCAGAAAAAAGATAAAAACCATCCTGAAAGCTTAAGGAGGCTTATACTATTGATCATGTCAACTCCTTATAATTAATAAAATCAGATCCTTATAACCCTAAAATCAAACCTCAAAAGGACTAGCCAATTCCAACGATCTTTTTGTACGCAAAAATACTTTTCCTTCAACACCCTCAAAAGCTTGTAGTTGTAACACTTCGTTAGGTAAATCCATTGAAATAAAAGGGCACTCCTCGTTTGGTTTAACAAGTAAAGGTTTCCTTCTTTGTCTAGATTGTTGTTCAATTTTAAGATTAAATTGCACAAGTTGTTTATGGTCAGAATTATCATTAATTGACCAAATACGGATTGTCTCTTCGTCATCCTAAAATTAGAAATTTCAAAAAATTTTAGAAAAAACAAGAAAAAACCTCAACATTTTGACCAGCCAACAAATTTCTTCCTCTATGCCTGAGAGGTGGGCAATCTGCACGAATATGCCCTGGTGGTCTATTGCGCAATCCATTTTGATTTGAAGGCCATGAGATTGGAAGAGGCATGAATCCGCCTGGGCGAGGGTAGAGGCCTGGACGTCGCCAGAAAAGTGACAAGCTTAAGAAGAAAGTTATAAAGGAAATTAGAAACTTAAAAAATGTTTAAATGCGTGAAAGAAAAGCGATTCTTGATAAGGCGACAATAAGACATAGCGACATTTCCGACACCCTCAGTAAATAGGACGAAGAAGTATAGGACTTTCTTACTTAGTGTTAGTTAAATGGACAGTCAATGCCATGAGTAACCCGCTCTAGCAATTAGACTGTCGCAATCGTTGAGCCAGTACATACGGGGCCAGCTCAAGCAATTAATACTGTTGCAATCGTTGAGCCAGTACATAAGGGGCCGGTATAACCAGAGGCTGGTTATCTCCAGAAGTAGAGGTTTGGAGACAGACTACTATTGACTAGTTTAAAAGGCAAACGTTTAAAAATGGATCCTAAGTCCCACTAAACTGAAGAAAAATAACCAAAAAATACTTGTGTTCTGTGATGAAACGTTTTGTTGGGTCATAAACAATTGTCTCGTCTTCAAAAGACCCAAGTCTATAGGCAAAACCACCATAGGAATTGGTCCCATACTGAAGCAGTCCATTGTCATTTGGCCGTATTGAGCAGTAAGACATATCTGCATATTGCGAGTGAAGATAAAAATAATAAGTAAGTTGTTGGAATTAAAGTTTCTGTTTAAAGAACTAAATAAAATAAAGTTAAATTGTGTAAACGAATAAGAGGCCAGAAGCGTTTGGCACTCCCTAAAAGAGAAAGTGAAAGCAGAGAATGAAAGGTAGCTCTGTCGGTAGAGCATTCGTACGCGGTGAGCGATAGTAACTAGCAAGAACTATCAATAGGTAAAAGTCCATACCTGCCTGAAGCGAAACTTTAAACAGTCCATTTTGGTCAGACTTAACCCGAGGACAAACTTTAAACTTTCACTTCTTATCATAACGAATAGAACATTCTGCGTGAGGCGTTACATGAACTCTTGAGCTTGATTTATGAACGTAAACTGGATAAAGTTATCCAAAATCAAGACTAACTTAAGAATTAAAAAATTTTAAACGCGCGAAAATACTCTAACTGTAAGCGTCTCTCATCAAATCACATAATCTATAACATAAAGAGACAATATGGCATGCGACAAAACGGTACACCGGGTAAAGGAATAAAAAAGGGTAACCAACAATTGGTACTGTTGGGAAAAGTGTTGTCTTTCGCCTCACCTCATTGTTAGATAACACTAAACAATGAGAGACGCAGACATAAAAAGGTAAAATAAAGAAAAATTTCAAAATATCTAATGAATATCAAAAATCATATTGACAAAAGACAAAAGGCTAAAATAAGAGTTTTATTCACAATAACCACAATTACAGATGCCTAGTGTATTTTTCCTCAAATTTCTTCTTGCTTCTATTCCGCCTCACCAATAGTATCAAGACCAGAGATAACATATTCATCCCCTCAAATTTTACAAAAAAAATTTTTTCAAGTTAAATTTAAAAAACCTGTCAAGTGAATATCTCTCAAATACGTCATACTTTTATCGTGCCCAGAAAAGAATCTTCTATTCCAGCGACTGTAAAAAAGAGGGGAATTTTATAAAATTTATAAGAAATTCCAAGGATCCCAGAATAGGATTAAGTTCCAAACGGTCGAACGGGACGGAAAGTCCAGCGGGATTAATCCCGTTTGCCGCGTAAAACTTGAGGTGCTACCAAGGCTGAACGCAATTGCCGGATTTTAAAAATAAAATTGTGGACTGCGGCTGCGGAAAATTTTCTAGCAATGGCGGTCAGCCCTGGGTAACACATTGATATATCCTTCTCAATACATATTCTCCTCTCCTATTTTTTCTCCCCTCAATTCCCTCTCAGTGCCTTTGTTTGAAAAAGAAATTTAATTCAAAATGTTGAAAAGTAAATATATTTTGTTTGTCAATTTTTAACCCAAAAGCCTGGACATCCAAACCAAAACTTTTTGATAGAACAGTCAAAGACTTTAGGACATGATTCGACATTTATATAGTTCTGGGAGAAACTCAAAGAAAATTTCTTAAAATTCCACTCAAAATACGAGTGTCCCTCACACACCCATAAAACCTTTTTACTCCTTCCCCTACCCCCCTTCAGTTCTTAAAAAAACCTTAAGTTCCAAAGAAAAAAAGAAACTTACTCAACTTCCAACTTATTAATCGGTCCACTGGAATATATAGTAGCCCAAAACAGACCAGTAGTAAGAGCTGGACACCAAAGTTTTTTCCACCACATTTTCTTTTATTAAATTTAGAAAAACTAATTAAAATGAAAAAAATTAATTTTAAAAATAATTATTTAATTTCTTCAAATAAATTCAAAAAAAATTAAAAAAAACAAAAAAATTTTATTTTTCCCTTTCATTTATATAAAATTAAACCAATAAATTTTTTTGCTGTTTCTAAATTAAGTTCTTCAACATTTAACAAATTTTGATGCATAGGCTTAGTTTTGTATAGAGGACAAGCTTTAAAAGTAATAAAAATTAAAGATCAAGGATAAAAAAAATTAGAGGGAAAAGAATGTTTCTCTTATACCAGGCCCATAACCAGGGGGAATTCCCCCCACACTTCCCGAAATGGGGAAAAGGAAACTTCTAGGAGGACTTACTTCTAGGACTTCTATACCAAAAAATTTTTTTAAACTTATAGACCCCTCTAAAATTGGTCTATACTATAAAAATGCATTTTGACACCCAATTAGAGACCAAGATTTTTGAAGCCTGTTCATATACTCGGGGTTTGATTAATTGATCTGGGCCGGATCCTGAGACTGTAGTTCAAGAAAAACCCCAGAAGGTCAAAATATGCCTGGGCCTGTACTCAGAGTATAGGAAAAACCCCAGGCCTTGGTTCAGACCCAGCTCGATCTCTATACCCAATTCCTAAAAAAATAATAAATTCAAACCTTTATCTATCCAAACCAAATTTTTAATTCCTTCCAAATTAGCCAAATTTAAAGTATTTAATTGGACAATAACAAAATCCATTCTTCCATCAACTAATTGAATTGCTTTTGTAATTATTGGCCTTTTTAAAATTTTATCTTCTTCTGATGAAGTTTTTTCAAATTCTAATAAATTTTTTAATCGAAGAGCTTGAGCTAATGCTGCACCAAAACAATGACAAATTGCATTTCCTGCGTTTTCTTCTCTGTGAGGAAAAAGGAAAGAAAATTTTCTAATAAATTAATAAAAACTCGAAGATGAGAAAGAAATGAAAAAGAGGTGAAAAAATATTTAGGTTAGGAATCTAATGGCTCAAGAAACAAAGATGTCATCTTTGATTACTTCTCGATCCAAGAAAGAAACTTTCGAAACCCTAATCCGAAACAAGACTTTTCAACAACCCAATCCAGATTTTACTCAAATTGTGACATCCTGCTCAAAAATCCCTAAATCTTCAAGTTTCTAAATTTGTCGAGAGTACAGGAATAAACAAAAGACCATTTTTGGTTGCTGGTATGGTTATATCGTTTCTTAGAAAATCTTACATTTAGGATACAAGGAATCGAAACGAATGACCGACTCGAAAAATCCGGTTCACATTCCAACTGACAGTCCTTTAATCGTTAAAAGTCGAAATTCTTATCAAAGAAGTATTTCCTAAAATCCCAAACGAGATGAAAAAATAGGAGTTGTCCATTATAGAAGTTATACCTTAGCCAACAAACAAAAAGACCCATAAAAAAGGAAAAATCTCATAATTTTTTTTAAATTAACCTCGTCCACGGATATTTTTGATCTTGTTCTCTAGCCCATAAAATTGTATTTAAAACATATTTTTGATCAGAAACAATTCCTGGAACAACAGCTGTATCGTTGTAAATATTAGAGCTTTGCAAATCAATAAAAGGAGAAATTGGGAAAATATTTGGAATTTCTTTTTGCCTTAAAAATTAAAAACAAAAAATTTTTGAAAATTTAAAAAAACCCAACTTTGTTTCCAAAATTTGTTTTTCTGTTGCCAATTGAGAAAGAAAATCTTCAGATTGAATAACAACATGAGGTTGTTGGCGAAAAACCATTGGAGTATTGACACATGTTAAATTAGCTGGAATAATCGAACTTATGGGATCGTCAAAAGAATATCTAAAAAATAATATTTTAAAGTAAAATGGCTAAACCCAGAAAATAGCAAAAAATGGGTGGGTGATCCTGAAGAGAAGCATGATTTTTAACCACCTAAATATTTAACCACCTAATGCAAAAATTTTTAAAAAAAAAATGAGAAAATCTTGAAAAAATATGGAAAGCAAAGTCAGATCAAAATTTTGGCGTAGCTCTACCCACAGGCTGGTAGCTTTCATTTTCAACTAGTCAATAAAAACATTTATTCATTATAGACTAGCCGGTAGCCAATTCCTCCAGTACTACATTACTCAAAATTAGTCAGCATAAATAACACTACTCAAGTCGTAATTCAAATAAAATTTTAGAGGGATACTTAAAATCTTCAGAAATATTCTAAAAAAAGATTCCCAAAATCAGAAGCTAGTCCCTCAAGTAAATACTCAACGCAATTAAATCAAAAAATTACTATAAATTTAACAACAACCTGTATTTTTCAAAATTCAATTTTTCATTGTGCATAGCAAGCAGAAAAACTTTTCTAACCAAATTCTCCAAAATTATATTACTTTAAAAAAATTCTTTAAAAAACTCAAAAAAACCCCTTACTTTCTTTTCATTACCGGCGTTCCATAATGGTTTACTTGATACGTCCAAAAAAGTATTGGATCAAATTTTTTGGGTAATTTGTCCATAGAAGGGTCGTATCTTTCACCTGCCATAATTGAATCGATTAAATGATTTTCAAAATCTTTTGGAAGAAAATTGTTTGGAATTGAAGAATAGACAGAAGACGGAATTGGAGAAGGCTCACAAGAATTGATTAAATTACAAGCTTGATCGACCCCGTCAGTTAAACTTTCTGTTCCGTCAAATAATAAACAATTTTGAGTTTTGTAGAGTGGATGGTCCTTTGAAAAAAAATTTTTTTAAATGGTTGTTGTTTGGGTTTGTGTCCCCCTCTTTTCGGAAGGTTTTAACCCAAAAAAATGAATTCTCAAAACCAAACTAGATCTCTGAAAAGATAGGCTTATTTGTACCCCGTCCCAATAAGTTAGGGAATTAGAAGCACTCTAAATTCAGCATCCCATCCCTTAGCAGTTAACTAAAATTAAAAGCCATAGATTTTTAAGTATCAAAGACATTGCCGAAAAGCTTCTCATCAGTTGGAGGTGAATTCTAATCAAAACCACGATTTTAGAAATCTTAAACACCCCAATCTAAAATCCCCAGTTTAATTCCCAACATTCCCCAAATCCGTCTAGAGAATTAAATATAAAAAAATAAAACCTTTAACGTTTTCTTTCTCAAATGTAAAGGAAAAGCACCATTTTCATTCTTCTTTTCAAATTGTTTAAAGAAATCTTTACTTAAAGGGTTTTGAATTTTAATTTTTGCTTGTTTAATTTCTGGATCAATTTGAAGAACATGCGCGTCTTTTAAATTATTTCTTCTGTTAAAATCTCTAAACATTAAAGTATTATATCTTCCAAATTGCTTTATTGGCCTGAATTTTTGGAAAGGCATTCTTGGATTTTTCTAAAATCTGAAATTATGTTTTTTTAAAAAAATTGGGCTAGTCAAGAAAATTGCTCGTCCATCATGAGTGAGTTAAAAATGTTCAGTCAAGATTTTTAGTTGATTGAGGGGAGTCGGAGAGAGCAAAGAAAAAGGTATAGGCGCGAGATATAAAATTCCCCAACACTTTATTTTAATGGCGGGGGCCACAAAGTAGACTAAAGACGAAAAAAGTATTAAATAAGAAAATATTGGCCTACTTTTAGTGTTCGGCCCGATTACTTCTCGGTACTACCGGCAAGATATTAGAATTTCCTAGTGACCGGGCCGGATTCGGTCGGATTTTTCCCGAGTCCGGGCCCCAAATCTGTGTTTTGGAACCATGTTGACTGCCAATTCACCTTCTACGTTAGTGTTCGGCACGATTACTTCCCTATACCTACAGGCCAGATATTGGAATTTTCGTATTGGTCCCCTATCGATACCGGAGAAAGCGCCTCTTGCCTACTTTAATACCAATCTAATTAAATAAAGAATGTACTTCTCTAAGGACAACGTTTCAGGTTAAACCACTCTTGACGGAACCCATTCTCTATTAAATTAAATGTCATTTAATTACAAATATAAAGTCAAAATAACTTTTTTCTCACAACAAAAAATATTTTCCCAATCAAGTTTATCGTCTAAATAATTTATAAAAAAACAATCAAGTCACAAAAATTTTTCTTTAAAACGAAGCTGTATATAAGCATATTGTTTTTTTTTCTGGCATAAATAAGGTTAAGCGAGGAATTATTTCGGAAATATGCGGTTAAAAGCAAAATAATATAAAAAAAATACGTGGTAAGTCAAAACAAACTTCTCTTCTTTTATTCTTGTTCAACAGTTGCTTGATTGGTATCTTCCCCTTCAAATTCCCCTTCGTCTTCAACAGTCGCATCTTGATATTGCTGGTACTCAGAAATCAGGTCGTTCATGTTGGACTCGGCTTCAGTGAATTCCATCTCATCCATACCCTCGCCAGTGTACCAGTGAAGGAAGGCTTTGCGACGGAACATGGCTAAACGAGAAAAATGTTTTTTAAACAAGCAAAAAATTGTTTACCCGTGAATTGCTCAGAGATGCGTTTGAACAGTTCCTGAATGGCCGTGGAGTTGCCAATGAAGGTAGCAGACATCTTGAGACCACGTGGAGGAATGTCACAAACCGCAGTCTTAACGTTGTTTGGAATCCATTCAACAAAGTATGACGAATTCTTGTTTTGAACTGACATCATTTGATCGTCCACTTCACGCATTGACATGCGTCCACGGAAGATGGCAGCAACAGTCAAATAACGTCCATGGCGAGGATCACAAGCAGCCATCATATTCTTGGCATCGAACATTTGCTTGGTAAGTTCAGCAACATTTTGGGCCTGGTAGGCAGCTGCGCCCTTAGCCGAAAGTGGAGCGAAACCAGGCATGAAGAAGTGGAGACGTGGGAATGGTACCATGTTGACAGCCAACTTGCGAAGATCGGCGTTCAATTGGCCTGGGAAGCGAAGACATGTAGTTACTCCAGACATGGTTACGGATACTAAAATAAACGGAATGTTTTGGAAATGGAGAATATAAATTAACCGAGATGATTCAAATCTCCATAAGTTGGATTTTGGAGCTTCAGAGTACGGAAGCAGATATCGTACAGAGCCTCATTGTCGATGCAGTAAGTCTCGTCAGTGTTCTCAACAAGTTGATGAACAGAAAGAGTTGCGTTGTAGGGCTCCACAACCGTGTCAGAGACCTGAAAGAATGGAAAATGGGAGGCTAGAAAGTTAAAAAAGAACCTTGGGTGACGGAACAACAGAGAAGGAGGACATAATTCGGTCCGGATACTCCTCACGAATCTTTGAAATGAGCAAAGTTCCCATTCCAGAACCAGTTCCACCACCAAGCGAGTGAGTCAATTGAAAGCCTTGAAGACAATCACAACCCTCAGCCTCTTTTCGAACAACATCCAAAACATTGTCGACCAACTCAGCTCCCTCAGTGTAATGTCCTTTGGCCCAATTGTTTCCTGCACCGCTCTGGCCAAAGACAAAGTTGTCTGGACGGAAGAGTTCTCCATATGGTCCAGCTCTAATCGAGTCCATCGTTCCAGGCTCCAAATCAACAAGAACAGCTCTTGGGACATACTTTCCACCTTGAAAATAAGCAAGTCTGTTAGTTACTTTTAATTGGAAGAAGATCCCAAACAGATCCAGAGACCTCAGAAAAACTGTATTGGGAAGTCGACACAAGAACACAAAGAACTGGTCATGTTTTGGTATTAAACTCGACCAGTCTTGCCCCAATACTAATAACAATCCTCTAGAGACCCAAAAAAAAAGTAGGGTAGTCGACAAGAAGACAGAAAACCTATCATGCTTTAATGAAAAACTTTAACGAGTAATCACCCAATCCGGTCTCTAATCCTACTAACAACACAACTATAATTCCCAGTTAAACTTAAAAAATATACCATGTGCCTCATTGTAGTAAACATTGATTCGCTCCAATTGCAAGTCGGATTCTCCCTTGTATGATCCATCAGGTTGAATTCCATGTTCATCCGAAATAACTTCCCAGAACTTAAAATTCGACAGTACCAAACAAATCATAAAAAACAACCTTGGAACCAATCTGGTTACCACATTGTCCAGCCTGGATATGGACGATTTCACGCATTTTTTGAGATCTTTTGTTAGATAAATTAAATAGTAAAACTAGAAAAGGAAAAATTTTTTTATTAAAACTTAAAAATTAGGGTTCGACATTTTCGACTTGCAGGACCCGACATATGGGGTTCTCTATTCAAACTTACTCGGGCCGAGTTTTACGGGCTAAAATCCCGAACCCCAGGATTATAGATCGAGCTGGACCTGGACCAAGGCCTGGGTTTTTCCTGTACACAGAGTCCAGGTCCAGGCATTTTTTGACCTTCCTGGGTTTTTCCTAGGCCTGGTTTTTCCTGGACTACAGGCCCAGGATCCAGTCAAGGTCAAGAAATCAAACCCAGAGTACAGGAACAGATCCGGGCTTTTAAAAAATCTCGAACTCTACCCAGGATTTTATCGGAACACCCGGTTCCGAGCTACCGACCCGGAAAATCCTAGTCTCTTTTCCGGTGTCGAACCCTACTAAAAAATTTCAAAATTAAAAAACAGCAAAAAAGCCCAAAAACGAAATTATTTTTTCACTACATTTTCACCCAAAAACATTAATTTTGATGAAACCCTTTTCATAAAAATAAAAGAAAAATGCATGCACAGTATTTAGTAAAAATAATAGGGATGCATTGAGTGGACACGCCAACAAGGCTAAAATCAATAATAGCAATTATAAGTCTACCCAGGAGATCAACAAAAAAGGATAAAAAGAGAAATGATAGATTGGGTCTTCCGGAAAAGGAAAAATTTTTAAAGTCGATTTTCTGGGTGGTAAAAAATAATTTGGCATTGAGGGTCAGAAAGGGGGGAAGAAAGTCAACTGATGCTCAGAAGATCAACAGATGATTAATGAAAGAAGGAAGAGAGAAAGGAAGGAAGAGAAAGGAGTGGAAAAAATTTTTTAAATTTATTTTGATCTTCCATAACCCAATTAAACAAAGAAAAGATCATTCCGGATAAGAGCAAGTCATTCTTTTATCTTTTCAAATCAGCGCGTTGGATTGTTATTTGGTGAATTTCTTTAATAACGTATTTATTTTCTAAAAGCAATTCCATTATTAATTATTTTCCGTTTATTTCGTTTTCTAGAAATCAGTTCCACTTTTACGGAAATTTAGAGAAATATTCTTGAAAAATCCGGAAGACATTCTAACTAGAGATCGGACCGTACCGTACTACGGCCGTATTTTTCGGTATTTATCGGTATTCCGTATCGGTAGTACGGCACGGAATACGGTACGGCAAAATTTTGAAGTTGATCGGTATTTTTCGGTATCGGTATTTTTCGGTATTCCGTACCGTTTACGGAACGGAAACAAAACAAAATACCGATAATACCGATCGATAAAAATTTTATTTTATTTTAAGCGAAAAAAGGCTCTCGGCCTTTGATAATTTTCAAAATTTTCGCCTGCGGCGCTAAAAAAGAAGAAATCTTGCTTATTGGACTTACATCTCCTCAAAATTTTCGTCTGCGTGTGTTTATCCCCACAATTTATAAATAAAAATAATTATTTTTTAACTAAATTATTTTTTTAAATACGGTACGGAATACCGATAAATTTTTATCGGTATTTATCGGTATCGGTATTTTTCGGTATTCCGTACCGTTTTACGGAACGGTAAAATTTTGAATTTTATCGGTATTTATCGGTATTATACGGTAGTACGGTACGGAATACGGTACGGAACAAAATTCCGATCTCTAATTCTAACTTTTCCGGAAACAACTTAAAATAATAATTTTTCCAGAGAAAACAAAATTATCTTTACCGGAAAGAGAGTGAGAGATATTTTTTCTTTCAGGAAAACAATTCTCTAATATTTATGTAACTATAAATTCCGGAAAACATTTACACATGTGTTTTCCGGAAATACTTGAAAATACATACATATTTACTGCGAAACACAAGTCTATTTTTTTCCGGAAAGAGCGTAAATACAAAATACTTTCCCTAAACTTTCCGGAAAACACATGAAATACATAATCCTAAAACACAACACAGTTCTTTCCGGAAAAGGCATACATACAAATTATTTTCTCTAACCTTTCCGGAAAACAATTAAACAGAAACTTTTCAGAGAAACATTTCCGGAAACTAATTATTCAACTTTTCCGGAAGTCTTTTCTCTTCCCCAATGGAAAAAGGAGACAATAACAGTCATTATTATGAAGGCTCTCTACTCGCACAAAAAACAAACTGCAAATCCTTTAACAGCGAAATAAATTCAGAAAATAGTTCCTCAATTTATTACAATAGAAACAATTCAAGAATGATTTCTGCTTATGCTATGGAAGAACAAAAACAGCAACTTTTTGGAATTTGTGAATTAATACAGACAAATATTAAAGCTTTACTTGAACAAATTGAGAAGATTATAAGGGGGATAGCTAAAAGAGAAAGTGATATTAGTTATGAAGAGATGAGATCAAGATTGTTGGATATACTTGAGGAATATAGAGTTTAGTATCTGATTTTAACTCTAACCTCTTTTTTAGATACCTCCTCTAGAGGGAGAAATTGTGCCTTATAATGAGTGTATGTTAAATAGAGGGGTATTAGTTAGACAGCTCCCTTAGCAGAAATCGTGCCTTATAATGAGGTGTGTGTTAAATAGAGGGGTATTAGTTAGACAGTCCCTTTATTGAGAGTATGTTAAATAGAGGTATCCAGTATCGAAAGTATATTAAATTGAGGTGTACCTAATATTGAGTATATTGAAACGAGGTTCGACTATATAATAATGGTTGGACCTCTATTTTGTAGATTCCATAAATATCTCCTTAAAGGCTTCCGGAGGACTTTATAAATTGCTAGAGGAATCCACTAAATAGACTAAAAATTTAATTTTTTAAAAGCTAGGGGCATGGCCAGTATTAGTGGATGTTGACTCACAAGTTAAATTGCTCTCCAAAACAGTTCGGCAGACAATAGACTCATGCAATATAAGCGAACCTCGCTTAGCTTGGCTTCTTGCAATCAATAAATTTCAGGTAATGAGCGTTGAGTAAAGGGGAATAGTTTTTCTTTGAAAAAGAAATGTAGTAAAAGATTTTCTTTAAAAAACGGAGAGGAGGAATCTTTCTTTCTAATTTTCAAAATTTGGGTAGGTTGATCAGAGTTCTAAGGAAAATCCTCAAATATTCAAAAACCAAAGAACAAAAGGTTCTTCGGAAAGAATACTTTGAAAGGCTTCATAAATTAAAGAAAAAGAATCCTCGGTTCCTCTGTCAATCCTTGGCTCTTTTATCCCAGGTTCTTCTGTTCTGTTCGATACATAACTGCCAACCCAAGTTCAAGCCTAAAACCCTTCAAAATGAAAATTCCTTATTTTTCTTCAGGTTAATATGGAAAAAATGGTTGACAGATTAGTAAATGAAGTAACTGCAGATATTGAAAGAGTTATAAAATTAAATGTAAGATGTGATATTAATGGGCTTGAATTGAAAAAAGAGACGATTGAAATAATAAAAGAAATGAAAGAAGAAATTAACAAATCACAACAAAAAAGAGAATAAAAATTTAAAAATTAAAAAAGTATAGAACCTTTAGTTTAAACTTTCTTCTATAATCATACAAAAATTTTATTCACATAAAAATTTATTTTTTAAAGTTAATTTTCTACCAATTCAAAATCAATATCTTCAATTTCATCAATATTTGAAACTTGTAGTAGATCATTTTCTAAAAAAAAATTTTTTTTAAGCTTTTATGAGGGAAGGGATCCCTTTTGGTCTTGAAAATCCTTTTCTCAAAAAGCTTTTTAGTAGGGAGCCAGACCGCCTTCTAACTACAATCCATCTTATCGGTCGAAGCTGATCGACTAGTAAAATTCATCTCATCTTGAGAACTTGACTTCCTACAAAATTCACTATTGCTTCAGATGATGCATTTTACTAGTCGATCAGCTTCGACAGAGAAGATGGATTCTAGTTAGAAGGATAGAACATAATGGAATGAGCCTAGACCACCCAGCCCTATTACTACAAAAATTTTTAAGCTTTTATGAGGGAGAGGGATGATTGAGGGAGAGGGACATGGATCGACCAGTAAAATCCCTCCTCTTCTCCCTCTTCTCTTTCTTGTTTATCTTCTTTATTCGGAAAAACTAAGCCACTATCAAGAACAACCCCCATTATAATTTAGAATCATCACCTTCCAAAATCACTCCATTTTTTAAATTAGAAGAATATGATGGGGAAGATATAATTAAATGAGTTTCTTCTTTCTCATGGTTTTCTTCTTCATTCACATTTTTATCCTCCTCCTCTTCTCCCTCTTCCCTTCCAATTTCATTAATTATAAGCGATGTTGAAGGTGAAGGGGGTAATATACAAACAATTCTTTGCTCAAAACTTTCGTCTTTTTCTGAATAATTTTGGGATGAATTGTCATCATCGTCTTCTTCAGAATCCTCTTCTGGGTATTTGTCAGAAAGTGAACCACAATCAACTATAAAATATAAAAATTAATTTAAATGAAGAGTAAGATTCTTTTAGGGTCATGGCTAGAAATCGGAGAAATGTAGAAATAAAATCCGAAAAAACGAATGTGAAAATTATTCGATTTTACCAAAAATGTCGGTCGAATTTCGTAAATTATTCGATTGAATATTCGATTATGGCAAAGAAACAAAAAAAAAGATGGATGATTTCCTATTATTATTTTTTTTCTGAAATGGCCTTCAAAATACACTAAAAACTACCACAAACTTATAGTAAGAGGTATGACTTGAAGTAAACTTTCCTATAAAAATCAACTCTCTAATAGAAAGAATGAAGAGGACTCATTGTCGGCAGCTCCAAGAATCCGAAATCGGCCATACTTTTCGATTTGGGGGTGAGAACCGAAAAAGCCAAAAGATTGGCAACAGGTCAAGACCATGCTTTACACAGGGGTCTAAGTTTTATTTGAAAATTTTTACTGACAATTCGAAAGATTCACCCCTTGTGAGATAATCACACCCCTTTTCAAAAATCAAAACTATAAAATTATAAAAATCAAACCAGAAACAATAAAAGTAGGCTCTATTTTGATTTTATTGGGTTGAACGTCCTTTTCCTTCCTCTTCTCTTCAACTCTCTTCTTCTTCTCTTCAACAACACCAACACAATTTTCAACCTTCTTTTTAGCTTCCACAACTTTTTCCTCTTCAAAATCGTCACTATTAGTTATTGTTTCCATCAATTCTTCTTCTTCTTGTTCCTCTTCAGAAATGCTCATTTTTGAACGAATTTCCCCCTCTTCTAAATCATCATTTTTATTCTTTTTCTTCTTTTTTCTAATTATTTTTATTGAAATTTGTTCTTCATTTTCTTCTTTATTTTCAATTATTTTATTGCTTTCAACAGTTGATTGACTTGATTGGCTTTTTGGAGTTTGTTCACTTTCACTACTTAAAGATTGATTTAATTCTTCATTGTCTTCTTGATTTGAACTTAAATCTTCGTCTTCGGATTCTGATGAACTTTCAGGTAATTCTTCTCCTAAAAAGAAGTTAACAAGGAAACATTTTGAACTATAGTCAAAGATTTTTAAATTATTTTTGCACCATCGTGTAGGCAGGGCCAAAAAAGCCTAAAACTGGCAATAGGTTATCGACCCTGCTCTACACGCTGGTATAAAAATAATTAAAAAATTCTTGACTACAGTTAAAAATGTTCGCTCTTGTAGGATCTCTATTTATTTCTTCAACTCCTTGGGGTTGAACAAATCATATCTTATTATGCCTCCAACAAGAGGCAATTCTCCACCCAGTAAGTTTGGCGGTTCTGAACACCTGAAAAGTCCGAGTATCCGAAATTTTAGGTTCGTTCTGAATACCTGATGATTTCATAAATACCCATACTTACTACCACCCAGGGACCAACCAAAATTTAAAAGAAATGTACGTTAAACTGAAAGTGTACGTGAAATCAGAATTTGACTATATTAGTTTCTTTTCAACAACACCAACACAATTTTCAACCTTCATTTTTCTTTGAAGGTTGAAAATTGTATCGTGGGGAAAAAATTTTTTTTTGGGCGACACTTTGTCCCATAAAAAACTTTTTGAAAAATAAAATAAATTTAAAAGAAAAAAACCGTTCAAATCAGCCAATATTCTTGCTTTAGACATTCCACAAAGTATATCATAAACAATTTTGTGTGCTTCAACTTCTGTTTTTTCCTAAAAAATTTTATTTAAAAATTCCTCGATTCAGAAAAAAACCTCAAGTTCAGGAAATATTTCATAAAGTGTTTCCAAATCAACACTGTCCATCAATTCTGTTGCAAGCTTTCTTCTATTATTAATAAATTTTTTTAGAGGGCGAAAATGATCTGAAAAAAAGAAATTATAAGAAGGAGTTTTTTAAGTTTATCTGATAGGCGCATGAATTTATAGAGAAATCAACAACAAGACAACTTGCAGAGATAAACTTTCAAAATTTAGACTAAAAATTAATCTCAAGGTAGCTACAAATTTTAGAATTTTTGGCTGATAGAGATTGACCTCTTTATAAAAAAAAGATATCTAATCTAAAGATACCAAATCTTAAGTGAAGTCGAATACTAAAAATAGTATTAACGGAAATCTCTGGACAGTTTCAAGTCAAAGTTACGTCTAATTTTCAGAAAAACCCCAAGTTCAGGGAATCGTTGTCAACAGCAAGACGTGGACTCTACAAGTCCACACCTAACCAGTCTTATGTTCGCCTATTTCACGTCTAACCAGTCTTTTGTTAGCCCCCCAAAAAATAGAAAAATAAAAACCTCCATCCCTATGAGCTTCATTCACCATTTCCTTCCTTCTTTTCCCTTTAGTCTTTTTCTTCTTCAACTTTTTGGCTTTTTTGGATTCTCGTAATGATTCAAATCTTCTCCTTTCCTCTCCAGACGAAATTGGTTCCCAGCGAGACTTTTTAATATTTATTTGATAAGTTGCTTTCTTCTCTGGAACAATTTTTGATCTTTTCGGAAATGCTCTAGGGGGCGAAGATAGATCGGTGGAAGAGGAAGAAATTGAATGAAGAGAAATGTCATCAGGAGATTTTGAACGAGGAATTGAATTTTGAGGTTTTGGTCGCTTTTTGGTCGTTTCAGGATTTATTATTCGTGGACCATATAAGAGTTGATTGGGGCTTACATCTTCTGTTGGTTCTTTTGTTCCATCCTTATCTCTGTAAATTCAATTAATTTGAAAGTCTAAATATTTTTAGAAAAAAACAAGGTAAAGTGGAAGCTTAAATGAGTAGAATACGATTCAAGTTATCTTTAAGTAGGTAGATACCGATATGAAGAACCGAGGATTCTTCAGTTCCATTATCTGAAGACTTTCCCAAAAACGATAACCCTAGGCAAGAGTAAAGGATCCCAAAATTAATTCTAGTCAAGAAATAGGCCTTTTACAAAATATATTAACCAGTGTCGGTGTTGAACACAAAATAAACCTTAGGCAGCGCTAACCCTAGTCTAAAACCAAGTTATCACCTATCCCTATCAATGTCCTCTTAAAATAAAAAAGAACCTGGAATCCTATTAAACTTTAAAAATAAACTAAACTCATTCATAACCATCATCTTGAAGACATAATGTTTTGCCATTATTATTATTCTAATTAGTAGCCTGTTTCTAAAAAAATATATAATCAAAAAATTTTTTTAAAAATAGATATAAAATTTAAAAAAAATAAATATAACAAAAAATAATATTTGAAAAATAAAGCTTTATTAACCCAAAAAAAGAAAAGTAAAATTATCAAATATATATCAACAACAAAATATTTAAGATGATAGCCAAAAAAGAATTTTTATAAGTTAAAGATAAACACAAAAATTTAACAATTTTTTAAAAAAAGGAAAGGTTTCAAGGGGAGAGGGTTACCCTCAAAGCTGATAGTTGAAAAATGGATTTCCATTAAAAATACAAGAATGCGCAAAAAATGAAGAACGGGATCAACAATCAAACAACATTTGCACTAACAATGTTTTATCTCATCTTTTAAACTCATGTGCTGATCATTTTAAAGAATAGTTTCTGATATTCTGCCTGCTGGTGTCTTTCAGGTTCTTTTCAAGACAAAAAATAATTAAAAATTCAAGAAAAAAAAATTTAAAAAAATTTTTCAGCAAAAAAATCCAAAAAATCGAAGGCAAGGAAGAACAGAATTTTGAAAAATCGTGAAGAAATGGAAGAATTTTTCGAAGGCATTGCAATGACCTGCACTAATATTGAAGAAAACACTTGGGAGGCTGTTGCTGATCAGGTCCGGATTGCTTGTTAACTTTAAAAGAGAAAATTTCATTTTTTTGGAGGCTGTTGCTGATTTTTAACTTCAAAAATAGAATTTTTAAATTCAAAAAATCCCTTTCCAAAAAAATAAAATAAAATTTTCTCTTTTAAAGTTAACAAGCAATCCGGACCTGATCAGCAACAGCCTCCCAAGTGTTTTCTTCAATATTAGTGCAGGTCATTGCAATGCCTTCGAAAAATTCTTCCATTTCTTCACGATTTTTCAAAATTCTGTTCTTCCTTGCCTTCGATTTTTTGGATTTTTTTGCTGAAAAATTTTTTTAAATTTTTTTTTCTTGAATTTTTAATTATTTTTTGTCTTGAAAAGAACCTGAAAGACACCAGCAGGCAGAATATCAGAAACTATTCTTTAAAATGATCAGCACATGAGTTTAAAAGATGAGATAAAACATTGTTAGTGCAAACGTTGTTTGATTGTTGATCCCGTTCTTCATTTTTTGGGCATTCTTGTATTTTTAATAAATCTCATTCTTATAATATATATGAATGGACAACAACACCCTCTAAATAAGTTCAAAATTTTTCGGTTAGGAGGGAAATTTCTTGGATGCAAACCATAATTTTGGCATACCCTAAACCTTTCCTTTACATAATAAACAAACTTTACACTTAAAACTATTTAAGAGGTCTTTGCTTTTTGTCCCTGACCAGATTTTGTAGTTGTCGTTTGTGAAATAGCATCCTTCGGCTCTTTGTAATAGAGAAAAACAAAACTGAAGAGTATAAGCTAAAAAATAAATTTTTAAAAATAAACCCAAATTTAACAAAGAAATACCCCAATCATCATTGAAAAAGCAGAAACGTAATAAGGATAAGCACAACGACTGAATCTTTCATATTGAGTGTGTTTGAGTGGACGAACCGACACCTAAAAATTTAAAAAATAAAAATTCAATCAAGTTTGAAAAAAAAACCTGCTGAACATCATATAAATGTGTGTAGCCAATACGATGATAGTCAACCAAAAATTTAAAAACACCATAAACATCAGGCACTTTAAAAGTTGTAGAAAGGCGTCCATCTAGAATAACTTTAATTAATTAAAGTTAATTTTTAAATTAGGGTTCAACACCCATCCATTGAGAAAGAAATTCACCGAGGAACAAAAGAAAAAGTTTCCACACAAATCAGCATGATAAGTTACCCGAAACCCAAACTTTTTTCGGGATTCCAAAACACGACGCGAATTTTCACCTCTTAATCCCCTATAACTGCCCGATCGACCCGAAATCAGATACAAAAAAAATTTTTTAAATTTTTCCCTCTAGGTCAGTCACTTTAAAAGTTGTAGAAAGGCGGACATCTAGAAAACCCCGAATTTTCAACTGGATTTTTCCCTATAGGAAAAAATATTTAAAAAATTACTATTGTTCTTCAAAGTAGTTCTAACAAAAGGATCAATACGCACAAATTCAAGTTGAACATCATCCCCTTTGAAAGGAAGCCATTTGCCTGATTTTAACTCCTCAATATTGATTTCATAGTGCTTTAATATTTTTTTGATTATTTTTGTCAAATTACCCCAAAAAACTAACCACATTGTCCATAATTGTGTATTCAGTTGGAGGTGTTGTTTGTCCAACTACATGGTGTTTAACTGTCTTAATACGCAAAACTCCTTCTTCTTTGAGTACCCACATACTTAAAGCTTTTGCCAGTTCGGAATTTCCGCTTTTTCCCCTAAAATTTTTGTAGGAACTAAAAATTTTAAAAAATCAAACTTTTCAGTAGTTCCAGCCTTTTGTGCATTCGCATTGAAAAATTCATTGGAAAAGAAATCGATAGAACCACTGACCAAAACTCGAGCATTATTTCTAGCTTGCATTGCGCCAATTAAAATTGTGGACTTTCCAACGGCTCCAGGAGTCTGAAAACATAAGGAAATTTAAGCAAAAATGGTAGTCTTTAATTTTATGAAATCTCTAGTTTGTTCAAAATCCAATAACTAATGTAAGGAAACGAAGCTCAACCAAAGGCCAAGAAATAAAAACCATCTGACCCAAGGGAGGATGAGTTCAATTGAAGTTCAAGCTTATTTTCGAAAATCGTCTCTAATACAAAGTTATAAGCCTAGTGCTTAGTTTGAAGAAAACTTCCCGACCAGGGTTGTCGTTTTACCCTATTTATAGGGGATTTTCCCTATTTTTGGCCTTTTCGCCCTATTTTTTCCCTATTTTATACATTTGCCATATTTTGCCCTATTTTTAACATTTTGTAATATTTAAAATTTTCGGCCATTTTGTAAATAAAATGCGAAAAAACAAAGAAATCTAACTCTTGGACATAAAAATTCCCAAAATTTTCGCCTGCGGCGCTGAAAAAAAAAGAGAAATCTCTTCTACTGGTCTTATTAATTTCTCAAAATTTTCGCATTCGGCGCTATAAAGGAAGAAATCTGGCTTCTTAACCTCGCAAAATTGTCAAAATTTTGCTAAAAATGGAAGAAATCTATTGATTCCAAAAATCTTGATGAAAAACTTGATTATCGATATCGAGAGAGACATCTCTCGCAATAGTCGTACGATAAAAATTTAAGTTGTTCGAGATATCTCGTACGATTCTGTACGACATTCCCAGTCTGGTCTCTAACCCGAACTTTTCTGTTTTTTAAAAATTTAGTTAAAACTAGTGGAGAACATGCGGAATAAGGCTTTTTATTTGAAATTTCAATAAATTTTAAGCTTTTGAAATATTGCCCTATTTTTTGCCATATTTTTTACCAATTTCGCCCTATTTTTTCCCCATTTTTGAGTGGCTGCGCCCCATTTTAGTGGTTTGGAAACGACAACCCTGTTCCCGACATAAAAATTAAATTCCTGAATTCTGGCATTCCCGAGAAAATTGTCACTCTTAGGAAACGGGACGGAAAGTTACCCTACAAGGAAACATCGTATATTTTAAGTGCGAATTTGATATATTTTCTGATGCCATTCAAAAGAGGACCATCGGCTTCCTATTGTGAAAGTGATGACAGTTTTCTTGCAAAATGACTTTGATCAGTCATGGCCCATCCTAAAGCCCTAAATCTTTCAAAATATCAAAAATTACCTCTTCAACAGGATTTTTAGGGTTGAAAGAAAATGCAGTAGATGACGCAGTCATAATCACAAAACGCAAAGGATTTGAACCTTCAGCAATTAGAGAAACGCCTCTGTAAAGAAGAGGTCCCAATTTTGAATTACCAACGCCAGTAATTAAAGGAGCGTTGACCAATTGAGTGTTTGGGACGATTATTGTAGTGTGGTTGCCATTATCCTAGAATGAAAAGTTAAAAAAATTTGGAAGGGGAAAAACAAACCAAATTTGCATCATAACTAAAATGGTCAATAACAGAAGTTTTGTCGTCATCAAATTCAAAGCCAACTTCTGCTGCAAGATCTTTAATAGCATCGCCCATGTTGTAACCTCCAGTGAAGAAAACATTTCCGCCTTTGTCGATAAAGTTTGAAATTTCAGAAACGCTTATGGCCCCTCCAAATTCTTTAAAAAGAAATTTGTTAATAGAGTATTCAGGTTGATGAGCATTTTTCCTAATCGTAAAAAACCGCAACTATAGGTCTCGATATTGTGTTAGATAAAGTAAAGAGGCCGAATCCATACCAGAAAATACTAAAAGAAGATGGGGCTTGATCCTGTAAAATCTTCGATGCAAAGCTCAGCCAACAACGATAAATCGTTCATTTTTGCTTTATTTACTATAGGGATAAGGACATATCTCTTTAGCCATATTTTGAAGAATCATCTAATTTTTTTTAGGAAAAGAGTGAGGACTTAGGTTTATTGAAATAAAAAAATAGATTTTACAGAAAAAACCGGAAATAGATGCTCCAGAAATGGTTCCAGATGACTAAAACCATAAATAAAAAGTGGTTTTTTTATTCTTTTTTGGTTCAAAAAAGAATTTTCTCTATGTGGTTAAAGAATAATTAAAAATGGAAAGAGAAAATAGGTAAAAAATAAAAATAATTAAGCAAACTAACCATCAACAGAAGGAGCAAGTATAATCAAATGTTCAAACAACAATTCTCCAAATTTAATCAAAGCCAAATCGGAGCTATCTGCCTGACTTGTTTTAATTGTATGTCCTCTTCCTTCGATTGATTTGATGAACTCAGAATGAGTTTTAACAATTTCCGAATTGTCTACCAGCAAAAGAATTCTGTCCGCAATTGTGGAACTCAATAGAAGAAAGAATATTAAAGTTTTGAACATTTTTTTTCTGAAAAATAGGTAGAACTGTAAACATTTTAAAAGTAAAATAAATGAAAAAATTTGTCACATAAAGGTTAAATTCCCCTCCCCCCTACCCCGAAATGGGGAAAAGGAAAAAAATTGGGGAAGGGCTGGGTCCCCCGAAAAAAATCCTGGCTACGGGCCTGATAAGAAGAAAGTGAACCGATTAAAAATAGTTATGGACACATACTAGTGTTTCACCAGAACCGCAAATCTGGCCGGAACTGGAACTGAAATTTTGACCGAAACAGGAACTTTACAAGCAAACCGTAACAGGATCCGAAAAATCCCGGAACTTCCGGTCTACCGGAACCGAAAGTTCCGGCGAAATACTAACACACACGCAACTTTGGCCCAAGTTTTAGCAAAAGCGTACGGCATGGATTTTCTTAGTTTTCCTGTCCCTTTAAAGGGAATTCACAAAAGTACCCAAAACTCCACGTCACTAAAAAATAGCGAAAAAATAAATAATCTCAAAAACCCTAAAAAATATCAAAGGGATTTGGTTAAGTAATCAAAATGGCATTAAATAGATTGGACATTTTGAAAATGGACATATTAAACGAAAACATGGGACGAAAAGACAATTAGCCACAAACTAAAGGTAATCCTGAAAAGTTTTCATTGCATTAAAAATAATTTCAGTCAAAAAGGTTCGAACCTTCCTCAATCTTCCCCCAGAAACCAAACATTATCCCAATGGACCAAGAAATTTTCTTTTGAGCGGGGAAGATGACCAAGTTCCAGTGACGAAATGTAATTTGGGCAAACGTATTTTCGACTTTTCGAAACGAAAGCGCGCCCAAAAAATTTTAAATTCTGTTTAAAAGTTCTATAAAAGGGCACTTTCCCATCCAAAAGGTTCATTTTAAATTAGTTTGTCGAGTTAGGAATTGATGGAGATGGCGTATATTTAATTTGTTTTTTCGTTTTTAGAGTACTTTTTTTAAGTATAAATTTTTTCTATTTAATAAACGAAGGGAATCAATAATGCGTGAAATCGTTCACATTCAAGCTGGACAGTGCGGAAACCAGATTGGTTCCAAGGTTTTGATTCAAGCTTTATAGAACTTCCTCAATTTTTAAAATTTTTAAGTTCTGGGAGGTCATCTCTGATGAGCATGGAATTCAACCTGACGGCTCTTACCAAGGCGACTCTCCTTTGCAGCTTGAGCGGATGGATGTCTACTACAATGAGGCTTATGGTTTTTTTTATTTTTGGCTTTTGATCACAGTTTTCACTTTTTAGGAGGAAAGTATGTCCCGCGCGCTATTCTTGTTGACTTGGAGCCGGGGACAATGGACGCTATCAAGGCTGGACCATATGGACGTCTCTTCCGTCCTGACAACTTTGTCTTTGGCCAGAGCGGTGCAGGCAACAATTGGGCCAAAGGACATTACACTGAGGGAGCTGAGTTGGTCGACAATGTTTTGGATGTTGTTCGCAAAGAGGCTGAGGGTTGTGATTGTCTTCAAGGTTTTCAATTGACTCACTCGCTTGGTGGTGGAACTGGCTCTGGAATGGGAACTTTGCTTATTTCAAAGATTCGTGAGGAGTATCCGGACCGCATTATGTCTTCCTTCTCTGTTGTTCCTTCGCCTAAGGTTCCTTTTTGACTTTCTAAACCTTTCATCGTTCAATCTTTCAGGTCTCTGACACTGTTGTGGAGCCGTATAATGCAACTCTCTCGGTGCATCAACTTGTTGAGAACACTGATGAGACTTATTGTATCGACAACGAGGCTCTGTATGATATTTGCTTCCGCACGCTTAAACTTCCAAACCCAACATATAGCGACTTGAACCATCTTGGTTTGTTTTTGTCGGCTAGACTAATGTAAAGGGTTTTTATTTTAGTTTCTTATACAATGTCGGGAGTTACTACTTGCCTTCGTTTTCCTGGCCAATTGAATGCAGACCTTCGCAAGTTGGCTGTCAATATGGTGCCTTTTCCTCGACTTCACTTTTTCATGCCTGGATTTGCTCCACTCGCAGCCAAAGGTTCTGTTGCTTTCCAAGCTCAAAATGTTGCGGAATTGACCAAGCAAATGTTCGATGCCAAGAATATGATGGCTGCTTGTAATCCGTGCCATGGACGTTATTTGACTGTTGCTGCCATCTTCCGTGGACATATGTCAATGCGTGAAGTGGACGATCAAATGATGTCAGTTCAAAACAAGAATTCGTCTTATTTTGTTGAATGGATTCCAAACAACGTTAAGACTGCGGTTTGTGACATTCCTCCACGCGGTCTCAAGATGTCGGCAACCTTCATTGGCAACTCCACCGCCATTCAGGAACTGTTCAAACGCATCTCTGAGCAATTCACGGGTTAGCGATTTTTTCTTGTTAAAAAACAATTTTCTCGTTTAGCCATGTTCCGTCGCAAAGCCTTCCTTCACTGGTACACTGGCGAGGGTATGGATGAGATGGAATTCACTGAAGCCGAGTCCAACATGAACGACTTGATTTCTGAGTACCAGCAATATCAAGATGCGACAGTCGACGACGAGCTTGAATATGATGCTGAAGTTACCTCTCAAGTTGTTGAACAGGAATAAGAACATATTTATTTTTGACGATAATCTTCGTTTGTTTGACTTTATCATATATTCCTGAAGATATGCTTTAATAAAAAAATTTTTTGTCTTCTTTGATTTGACTGTTGAATTGTTGGATTTTCAATTTATATTTTTTGATTTTTCTATGCTTTTAACGATTTTTCTTCCCTTTTAGTATTTACTAACTTATCAAGCTTTCGTCAAATTAAAATGGTTATGCAACGTCGTGGACCGCCTCGTGGAATTAACAAATCTGATCAGAATCAATCGTTTAATGGTAGTCAAGGCCGTGGATTTAATGGACGTGGTCGTGGAGGAGGTCGAGGGGATTCAAATGGACAGGGCAGGGGAGGATCTCGTCCTCAGGTTGAGACTGCTGTTAGTCATTTTAACTACAGGTTATTTTATCTTTTTAAGTCATTAAAGTATTGGGACTGAGTTTCAATGATTGGGTACTTTAATTGTTGTTGGTATAATTTCGGAATACTGAACAGAAAGCAAATGGGTCAAGTTATATGTCATTCGAAAGAGCTCGCCGAGTTGAGTCGAATGGTGAAAAAATTTTTGTGCGGACTCATACGGGGGCTGAGATATAGGCCCCCGAAAATCGAAAAACCATAGGGGGGACCAAGCACTTTTTTGGGGTCAAAAATCCGAATATGCAAATGATAGCTCATTCGAAAGAGCTCCTCGAGCTGAGTCGAATGACACCAAAATCAACGAAATCCGACTTGATTGGACAAAGTTATGCTCTTTTATTTTCGCTCCTTACCTATGTCATCTGTGGAGATTTTTGCTGCTACGGAGGCCCCAAATAAGTCCAGAGCAAGGGAGATAGGAATAGGTTTATGTTACGAGCCCAGACCCATCGCCCGTAGACTCCCCGCGAGGCGCGTGCCGCAAAACCCCGCGCGAAGCGCGGGGTTTTGCACAAGCGCCTCGCCGACGCTCCATAGGTGTAGGTTTTTTTGTCGTAACTTTGTCTAATCTTGTTTAATCACGGTGATTTTGGTATCATTCGACTCAGCTCGTCGAGCCCTTTCGAATGAGGTATAATTTACATATTCGAATTTTTTTGACCCCAAAAATTTCCAAATTTCGGGGGTCTGTAACTCGGCCATATGAAGTCGGATTTCGTTGATTTTGGCGTCATTCGACTCAGCTCGACGAGCTCTTTCAAATGAGGTATAATTTACATATTCGAATTTTTCACCCCCAAAAACAGCTTGGTCCCCCTTATGGTTTTTCGATTTTCGGGGACCTGTATCTCAGCCCCTGTATGAGTCCGCACGAAAATTTTTTCACCGTTCGACTCAACTCGACGAGCTCTTTCGAATGACATATGGTTTGACCCATTTGCGTTCTGTTCAGTATTCCGAAATTTTTCCATTGTTGTTTGTTTTATGGAACTTATGCAGTTTAAGTATACACCCCATTTATTCGCGAAGAAAGTTTATTACAAAATGGTCAGTGAACTCAAAATGGTCGGCTCATCGAGCTGAATCGAATGGCGAATTATCGGTACCTGGGAACATCTATGAGCTGAGTAACAGAGTTCCAAAAAATCTAGAGAAACGGGCAACAAGGACCAATATTTTGATAAAAATCTGATTCTAAAACACGCAAAAAACCCGGAAATACACAAAAAGAGGACCATTAGTTATAAAAATGCAGATCTGGGTACTTTATTGCCATTTAAATAGCTGAAATAGATAAAAATAAGAATATTGATTCAAATGTTAATTTTTATTTTGGTAAAATTGGGAAGAAAAATTAATCTTTTCTTTGTTAATGTCTCTATTTGAGCATGTGTAACAGAGAAATTGAATGAAATCGAGGAAGAAAGACCATTTTGTAATAAACTTTCTTCGCGAATAAATGGGGTGTGTACTTAAACTGCATAAGTTCCGTTTTAATTACTCTACCATTTGCGGTTCTTTATACTAGTCCTGAATTCCCATTGTTTTTTATTTCTGAAAAAATTACCCACATTATTTAATCATTCTTTTCATTTAAGCGGTGGACGTGGTGGTTTGTCTCAAACAATCCAGGTTAAACGTTTGCCTTCTTACGTGCCTCCACAGCCAAAAGGTTTTTATTTTTAACTTATCGACACCTTTCTCAATTAATTTTTCAGTTCCGTCTGAAGCTTTGCCTGAAGTTGGCTTTGATTCGTCTGCGCGAATGGACACCACCGCTCCATGGATTACCAAGACTGACAACATTCCAATAAAATCTCCAGTGGAGAATAAGCCTGTTCCGTTTGGAGGTAATGCTGCTGTGGCTTTTCAAACTCAACCGGATATTGTTCATGAACCGACATCAAAGACCATTGTCGAGTGTTCTGCGTCTGTTATGAGTGGAGGGACGGCTACTTCGGGTATCAACAGTGGAAGTGTTGCTCCGACAAATCTTTGTTTGTTATTTTTTCTTAATTATTGTTACATTTATTTGTTTCCCACGACGGACAAATCTCTTTTATGACCCCGGGTTTAAGGTTTGTGGGTCCTGTGAAATCCCTGAATATTGTTTCCTGACCCGTACTATACTCATTGTCAGAATTGGATACTTCACATTAAAGATATGTTTCTCAAAAGTTGGTTGGCCACTGGGTGATGGCTCCCTAAGCGATTCACCCTATTTAATTCCTCCCTAATGTTGTGCCTACATAAATAGCGTCTTCCGGAAGAAAATAGCATTTATGTAGAATGAGGAAACGTGATTTTGCTGTCCTTCTTTTGAATGTTGTTTTCTTCTGCAAGACGCTTTTTATGTAAGCACAACATCAGTTCCTCCTCTCCTATTTAATTCCTATGTGATTCCCCCCTACCTCATTATATGATGGGATTTTTCTATCCCAACTCCATATCTAAAAGTTGAGTCTACTTTTATTATTTTTCATTTTCAGCCACTTCGCAATGTCAAGGATGTACTCTTCTTCATCAGCGTGTGGCCACTATGCTTCGAACTGCGGCAACCACGTTTATTGAGATGGCGGATGCTTTCCAGGAGATTCAACAGGGGAAGAACAACAACAATTGAATTTAAAATGAAAGAAAAGTAATTTAAAAATTAAAAAAAAATTTTTTTCGAAAAACTCAAAAAATTTAAATCTTCCAATTATTTTATTTTTTCTCTTTAAAAATATGCTCAAAAAATGTTATATTTTCCGGTTTCTGGTTTTAAAAAATTGAATCACAAAAAATTAATTTACTTGAAACTATGGTTGTTGGCGACCGGTTTTAAAACCGGAATTCTTTAAATTTTTTGTCAAAAATTAGCTGTTTTTCGGAAATTTTAAAAACAGGAAATTTGTGAATTTGAGTGATTTTATTTAAAATTCCCCCAAAATTAAACCGGTATTTGCCTAAAACTCAAACCGAAAACCGAGTTTCTAAAATTTTGATTAACCGAAAACCGGGGGTACCGGTTAATAACCGGTCGCCAACAACCCTACTTGAAACGATCTCTCTCTTTGATTTTTGATTGAGAATTCTTATTTATTTTTGCGACAATAAAAAATTTTTTTCTGTTTATTCTTGTGTATATTTTAAAAAAAATCACAAATTTTGTCCCTCGTTGTTGGAACATTATTTTTTGGTTCAACACCTCTCGTAATAGTAACAGATTAAATATGCTGTTATTTTTCCACAGTTTGGTATTTCTCTTGTATTATGTCGATACCAGTCTCCGTCTGCTTTACTGTTAATTTTTGCCTTTCATGCCGAATATCGTAAATAGTATTTTTTAGTTTTTAAAGAAGTTTCTTTTATTTTTTATTAATTTTTAAGATGCTCTTTCGCAAAACTAAACTTACCAATTTTATTAATTCTACAAGATTTTTTACTCAACCAATTCAACAATTAATTTATCGAGAACATGGGAATCCTACAGAAGTATTTTTTTATTTTTTTTTTTAAAATTTATTTTGAAGGTTTTGACTTTATCCAATAAAGAATTGGAATTTGACAAACTCGAAAAACAACAAGTTTTGGTTAAATGGTTAGCTGCACCTATAAATCCTGCTGATATTAATCAAGTACAAGGAGGTTGGAATTTTTTTAATTAGTAGAAAAATGGATGGGAGGTTTTTGATTGGAGCTGCACGCAATTGCGGATTGCATTTGCGGATTTTTTAAAAATTGCGAGTTGCGGAATTTTTTTCAATTGCGTGCAGCCCTGTACCCGGTCGGAACTGATAAAAATAAAATTTTGTTTTTCGAAAGGAAGTTCGAAGCTTTCGGTTAGCGTTTTCTATCTGGATATACCAAAGTGTTATTTTTTCAGGGGATCAATTTTCCTTTGACCAATCCTTATTTAATTCTGATTTTGGTTTTTAGTGAAAAGAGATTATTCCAAATTTTTGTGGTTATTTTGAACATTTATTTTAGTTTATCCAATTAAGCCAAATCTTCCTGCAGTTGGAGGAAATGAAGGATGCGCTCAAGTTATCAGGGTTATAATTTTAAAACTTTAAAAATCTAAAATTTTAAAATGATTTTTTTCGGCCTTGTTTTGGGGTAAAATTGTACTTTCCCCTCTTCCCAAGAGGGGAAATACAGTGGGGCTTCTGGGGCTAAAGCCCCTCTCGAAATGGGGAAAACGGAAAAATTTTAGAAGGGGATTGATTACATGGTACATGATAAATTCTACATGGGTCTAGGGCCATCTTCTAATTTTGTTTAGTTTTTGTTATTAAAATATGAGGTTCCTGAATGTTTTTCATTGAGTATATTAAATTTAATCATAAGCAAATTAATTTTCCATAACGAACATAAAATAAGGAAATTTTTGGCTAGGGGAAGGAGAGGGAAAGTCAACAATTACCAAAAAATTTTTTGTAATTTTTTTAAATTTAAGGTGGGAAGCGACGTCGCTGAATTTAAAGAAAATGACCTTATAGTCCCAGCAATTTCTGGTATTGGAACTTGGTGTTCTCACGGAATTTATGATTCTAAAGAACTTTTTTTGGTTGAGGGAGATGTTAAAGATTTTATATTTTTGTCAATGTTACAGGTTTTTTGGAATTTTTTAATATATTTTTTTAAATTTTTGTGTTAAGGTAAATCCTTCAACTGCTTATAGAATGCTTAAAGATTTTGTGAATTTATCTTATGGCGATATAGTTGTTCAAAATGGGGCGAATTCTTCTGTTGGGCATTTTGTAATTCAGGTTTTTAATTTTTGAAGCTTTAAAGAGGCCAAAAATTTTTTTGAAATAATTTTGAGGCTTGAAGGGGAAAATTTTGAATATTTCGTTATTATTAGATATGTAGTCCCCCAAAACTATTTTTAAATTATGAAAGGTGCTTTCCTCAATCTAGGGAAGCCCTAAACCATCAACCGTGTCACAAAATAATCTAGAATAGGAACCGCCCTTTTTTAAACTGGGACAACGTCGGAATAGTAAACTAAGCCAGAGCTATATGAAAAATTTCTTTTTTAGTCTGAAGGAAAATAGGAAAAGGGTCTCCTTTTTCTTTTCTCTCCTCTTCCTAAAGCAGTTTCGAAACTAAATTTTTGTGAGCTTTGATTCTAATAATAATTTAAAATTCAGATTTGTCGTATATTGGGAGTAAACACTATAAATGTTGTTAGAGACCGGCCACAAATTGAAATATTAAAAAATCAACTGAAAAAATCTGGAGCAGATGAAGTGTACACAGAAGAAGAGGTTCAAAATTTTTAAAATTCTTTCTTATTTTAGAATTTTTAGTTTTCAACTTTAATTCGTTCCAAAAAACTCAGAGCAAAATTGGCTTTAAATTGTGTTGGAGGAAAGAGTGGAATGATTTTGAGCCGTGCTCTCGAGCTTGGAGGTACTATGGTGACGTATGGAGGAATGTCTCAAAATCCAGTGAATGTTACAACCTCTTCCTTAATTTTTTCAAATATAAAGTCTGTTGGGTTTTGGATGTCTAGATGGTATGGAATGAGGCAAAATATTGAGGTTATTTAGTTATTGAAATTAACGTGAGAGGTTTTCGCTGCTATCTGGGGCAAGGGGATTTTTTAGGAGATGATTGGAAGTCCAGTTTCTGAGTTTTTTCCGCATCTTTCAGCAGCTTTTTCAGCATAACTAAAAAAATCTTTAACCTGGAAGGGTTTACATTAATGCTGGGCTCGGGCGGGGTCCTTTCCTTGAATGCCTGGTTTAAAAAAATGTCTTAAACCTGGAAGGGTCTACATTACTGTGGAGCTCGGACGGGATCAGGGGTGAGCGCATTGCGTTTTGCGTTATTTGCGTTAAATTTTGGCCTTGCGTTGCGTTTTGCGTTTTGCGTTTTTTTCGATGAAATTAACGCAAAAATACGCAAAAAATATACCCAATCTGAGGACAAAATTGGAGAAATCTAGCTTCTTATCTTTCCAAATTTCTCAAAATTTTCGCCTGCGGCGCAGAAAAAGGAAGAAATCTGGCTACTTAGCCTTCCAAAATTTTTAAAATTTTTGCCTGCGGCGCTAAAATAAAGAAGTATAATGAGTGGTTAATTGAAAGATCAGTTGTCTAGCATCATTTTAATTTAGTAAACCTGCACCAATTTTATTTATATCCTCTTAATCCTCTTATATCTCTTCAACCCCTGATACCTACTTTATGCCAAAATCCCTGTTATTTTTTTAATCTGAGGGCAAAAATTGGAAGAAATCTAGCTTCTGGATTTCCAAATTTCTCAAAATTTTTGCCTGCGGCGCCAAAAATAGGGGATTAATTACCATGTTTCCATCATGGAGCAGCTCAAAAAATATCTGTTCAGTATCCGGAACTCAGATCTCACGTTTTCTCCAAATCCCCTGATTCCCCGGCATCAATTCATAACTACAGTAGCCCCTTATCCTTCGATATATCCCCAACTTAACCGACATCCTTCGGTAATCACATGGATTTTTTCAAATATATTGATCCCTCCAAAATACATCCGTACTAACCAGCTACTTTGTTAAACCCCTTGATCCCTGTAAATCGTCTGATATCCTTCATAATCCCTTATACCCCCTATATTACTCCAAATCATTACCCATTCAACTTACATGTATCATAAAATCGAGTAGGACTCCCCAACTTATAGTAATACTTCGATTTTTAACTGAAAATATGGCTAATACTTGATAAAAAAATTTTTTCCCAATTTTTCGTTCTTGCGTTTTGCGTTATTTGCGTTAAATTTTGGCCTTGCGTTGCGTTTTGCGTTTTTTGAGATTGGCTCTTGCGCTCATCCCTGGACGGGATCCTTTTCTTGTTTTAAGTGACAATCGGGATTACTGGGACCCGCTCCATTCAATCTTCCGAAAAATTCCCTTTCAGGATCACGGATTTGCGACTTTTCTACACTCTGGTCTAATAGAATAGGCGAAACCGAATTAAAATCCTGATTAAAATAATCTATAGTTAAAGAATAATATTAGGAAGGGATTATTCGTTTTCTTAAAAGAATTTTACTAATTTAGGAAAGGAAGAATATGTATAAAGAATTAATTGGTTGGTATAAAAATGGAGAATTGACACTTCCAAAATATCAAAGGAAAAATTTGGAGGAATATAAGGATGCAATAAATCAATCAACTCAATCAGACTCGTCGTCGATTAAGTCAAAACAAATTTTTACAAAGAAAGGGAATGACCATTATTTTGATTAATTTTGAGGTTCTTTTCTGAAAATTATATTTTTTGAGAATTATGTTACTAAAACGGGCGTACAAAAGTAATACATTTTGACAAGCAAGCCCCACCGGTCCCATTAGGTTGGCGCACTGATGGGTGCTTTGTTAGATTATTTTCAATGCTTATGTTCTTAACGCAAGTTTCTCCATTTCCAACCCAAACATAACCCAATTATTATTGAAGGAAATATGCACAACATTTTTCTCCTTAATTAATTGTGACAGGCTATTGGGAAAATAAATGTTGAGTTTTATAACTTTACAATCTTCTTGAAAAGATTAACTATTCTCTACCCCGAAAGTTCCCATTATTTTATTTTGTATGCCCTTTTTTTCACTTTATTTGTTTTCCGAAAGAGACTTTAAAGATTTTTATTATTTTTAAAAATAATTTATTTTTGTAAAATTACAAGAGAAAATAGTTTTACAGCAAAAATAAAATTAAACAAATTATTCAAGTCCCATGTATGTGTTAATAAAATGAACAATCATTACAATAATAGGCTGCCAAGCGACCTAATATTAAAAAATATTTTTAATAAAAATTTGATAGAAAACTAACCAAATAGCGTACCCAATCAAGCAATTGTCCATAAAATAAATGAGGTTTTTCCCATCTAAAAAAAGAAATGGAAATATTTAATTATATGTAAAAATGATTTAAGAAATTTTAAAAATAGGAGGATAACTAGGGGTTCACAAAGCTGTCTAGGTTCACAAAGCGAAGTGAGAAGATGTCTTAAGTAACAAGTCCAGAAACGGTGTCATTACGTTGATCCGAAATTCTAGGACCCGGTTTTAATGCGTATATTTGCATATTTCGCCCCCTCCCCTCGTATATATTTCAGGAAATTTTGCATATTCTTGTAGATGTTTTTCCGAGATGTTCCGTTTATTTTGTGAGAACCTAAGGACAAGCCCAAGTGTCTGAAAAATCCCTTGAGGTATTTCCTCATAAAAATCTTCCTTAAATTTTTTCTAATTTGAAAAAGGCTCCTCTCCCGTTAAAGAAACCATGAAACCTATACCTCTATTTTTCAATCTAAATGAACGACAAAAAAATTAATTTTTTAATATTAAAATTCTTACGGATTTTTGAACATTCTCTTCAAATCAACTTTTTCTTTGCAATAAGGACATGTTTGTAATTTTCCTACCACACACCAACCTCTAATACAAAATTCATGGAATACATGATTACAGGAAAGTGTATAGATCTAGAGAAATTTAGAAAGAAAATTAATCAAAGTTTTCGAAAAAGTGCTTTTTGGTGTAGTGGAAAAAGGTTGAGGGTCAAAACGAGGAATTACAAAACACGGAACAGACAAAACGCGGTCTACCAAAAGTACGGGAACGACAAAAATAAGAAATATTTTTAAAAACAGAAATTCTCAGAATTTTTTAAAAATTCTGATTTTAGAAATGTTCCGAGTTTTGGGAGGGGGCTACAAAATTTCTATCAATAAATATTGATAAAAAAAATTAAAGAGAAATACCCCAAAGTCATTAAATCGTTTTCCAAAATATTTTTTCCTATTTTTTAATTTAATAAGAGAAACCTTTTCTTCTTCAACTTCCATAGCTTCAGAAAGCACCGTTGGAGTATGCCCATTTTGTAAATTTAAATGACTTCCATTTTCTGATAAAGAATGTAATGGATTACCACAAACAGCACAAACACCATTTTCTAATATTCTTTTGGGTAAACCATCATGAGTAAAATACTTTAAAAAGAATTTTTTTTAATTAAAAATACAGCGAGTAATGAAGGAAGAGGAAAAATATTTTGGGAGGAGAAAATCAAAAAAAATAAAAATTTTTTTAACTGTGACGCTGAAAAATGAGTGGATTCCGGCTTCTTGACCTTCTAGGAAAAATGTCTTGTTTTTGAAATTTTTCCTAGGAAAAAGCCAAATGGGCTTTAGACTAGTTTACGAGTCCAAAGGACCTTTTTGGACTTATAAATCTTCATCGGACTCATAATAGATAAGGGCGGGGCTTATGGGAGGGAAACTACACAACCACTCAATTTTCTTAGCCTTCCTTAAAATTCCCCTCAAAAAGAGTCCAAAGGACTTTTTTGGACTTATAAATATCCATTGGACTCACAAAAAATAAAAGGAAGACGGAAAAAAGAGGCGGGGTTTATGGGAGGGAAACTACACAAACACCACATTTTCCTAGCCTTCTTTAAAATTCCCCTAAAAAAAGAGTCCAAAGGACTTTTTTGGACTTATAAATATCCATTGGACTCACAAAAAATAAAAGGAAGACGGAAAAAAGAGGCGGGGCTTATGGGAGGGAAACTACACAAATACTAAAATTTCTTAACCTCTCCTAAATTTCCCCAAATAAAATTCAAAAAAATACCCCAATTTTGCAGGCAAGTCTGTCAGTCAAAATATGTGCCAAATCTCTACTTAACACTCCATAATAAAGTCCATAAAACAAAAAATGAATTCCAAAATCCAAAGATGTATTTGGTCTGATTCCAAAAATTAAATTTATTCCAATTAAAGTAAAAAGTAAAGCAAAATAGCCAATAATTCCAAAAATATAACTCATTTTGTGAAGAAAAAGAAAATATTTGTAGACTAGTCTAAAAAATTGGAAAAAAAATTTTTGGAAAAAGAATTAAAATTGGAGGAAAGATTTTTGTTTTATTTTTAAAAAATATTAAAAGGAAATTTGTGAAATTCAAGAAAAAAATCTTTTCGAGAGTTGATTTTCTATTTTCTTATTTAAGTGTAAGTATATAAAAATGAATAAAAAATATTTATTCGAAAAATTCAAGAAGCTTTCATTTAATTGGATGGAATAATGATTGGGTTTCGTGTCGGAAATAGGTTGGATTTCAGATATTGGGTAACCCAGCCCATCCCGAATGATCCACCCCATTTTTTGAGTAAACACCTCATCTTTGATAAGAAAATTATTCTAAAAATAACTCTTCTAATTTTTCATTCATATCAAGGATGTGCTGGTTTAGTCAAAAAATGGGCAGGATTACTTGGGATGGTTTGAGCTACCCGATATCTGAAATCCAAACTTTTTCCGATCCAAAAACCACAATCGGAAGAAAAAAATTTGGAACTCCAACCCAAACCCAGACATTTTTCCCAACCCGTCTCATCCCTATTTTCAAAAAAAAACCAACAAACCTTGGAGTACTTCCCATAATAACAGTTTGATTAACTCTCCACCAAATATACCAACTTGCAGAAGTAAACAAAACCCAACTTAACAAAAATCGCCACCAAAATTTTTGTATACAAATAATTAGTGGAATTAGCCATAAACCGAGAAGGGTTGCAATCTGTGAGAAGAAAAAAATTTTTTTGAAACTTTTTAAAAAATAAACCTGATAGGACCGAACATGTTTTCTTCTCCAAATCATTAAACAAATTTGGGCAATGACCATTGAAACAATAAATACAATAAACATTTCGGCATGCATTGCATCGTGACCCTTAATTTAAATTTTAAGGGATTTTAACCTAAAAATAAAAATTTTTGTCTGTCAAGGAATGTCTCTCTTATGTTAATACACAGAATTGCACACTATCTCGTTTTTTGTCTAACACTTTAAATTAGTTACTTTTTCCGTAAAGTCCTCTGATAAAACATTTTCCGGAAAGTCCCTTCCAGTCTTTGGTTAGACAAAAGACGAGATAGTCCACAAATACGTAGACTGTATATGAGAGACAATATACACCTGAGAAAAAATTTTTTAAATAATTTTTTTGTCTGTCAGGGAATGTCTCTCTTATAAAATACACATGATTGCACACTATCTCGTTTTTGTCTAACATTATTTTCCGTGTCGGGCTAAAACGCGGAACGGACAAAACGAGGAACGACAGAACACGGAACGACAAAACGAGGAATTACCAAAACACGGAACGACCAAAATACGGACCATACCAAAACGAGGAACAGACAAAACACGGAATTACCAAAACACGGAACAGCCAAAAGGCGGAACGACCAAAACACGGTCCAGAGAAATAATAATTCCTAAAAAATATTGGAGGAAAAATAAAAATACTCTCACTAATTTTTTCGATATTAGGAGGGTTAAGGGAATAAAGGAAGATAACGATGAGTAAAGGGGAGGAGGGATTATGAGGATATAACGATTAAGGGAAATAAGGAATTGTATCCACCTCATTTGAATCCACATGGTGAGATAGACTGATTAAAATGATCAAGGAGTATTGAAGTTTATTGTTAGCAAAGATATCAAGGGATTTTTGGGATTAACAGAGGTTAGGTCTATTAATTTATCAGTGATAAAAGTGGATTTCGAAGCCTCAAGATGAATATCGGGGATTTATCGGTGACTGAATAAATTGACCCATCTGATTTTTATAAAATTTTATATAAATAAGAAATAGGTATTCTAATTTTAAAAAATTCTAATTTTGAGATTATTTCTGATTTAAAAAATCAGTATTTAAAAATTTTTTTTAATATTAAATACTATTTAAAATATTTTAAAATCATAAAGAATTATTATTTCTCTGGACCGTGTTTTGGTCGTTCCGCCTTTTGGCTGTTCCGTGTTTTGGTAAGACCGCCTTTTGTCTGTTCCTCGTTTTGGTATGGTCCGTATTTTGGTCGTTCCGTGTTTTGGTAATTCCTCGTTTTGTCGTTCCGTGTTCTGTCTGTTCCGTGTTTTGGAATTCCTCGTTTTACCCCTCACCCTTATTTTCCGGAACGTATTATATTAAATTTTCCAGAAAGTTCTCATTTAATATTCAGGAAAAAACTTCCTTTTTGGTTAGACAAAAGACGAGATAGTGCAAGGACACATAGACTTGTATAAGAGAGACAATACACACTAGAGAAAAATTTTCAAATAATTTCCTCAAATGCCCTCTATTTTCCTTAGAAAATTCCAAAAATTCAACCTGATGTTTTCTGTGCAATTCCTCATGTTCTCGTTGCCATTTAATCTCTTCTTGAAGCTATGAGTAATTTAAAATAAATGACTAATTTAAAAAACCCCAAAAAACCTCTTCATCTGTCATTTGAGAATTTCCAAACATTTCCTTCCTTCTTTAAATAAAATAAAAAAATAAATTTTCTAAGCTAAATTAACAACAGAAAATAAATATTTGAGAATCATTCTTTCTTCCACAATTTATTTCTTTATTTTATTTTAGTTGTGTGTGAAAATAGTGTGTAAAAATAAGAGAGACACTTAAAAATTAGAGAAATAAATTAATTAAACATTTCGCCAAAATTAAAATTTGCCCGTTAATTTTCAAATTGAAAATTATATTGCTTTTACGAGTCCTTATTTTGGCCATAACTTACTTTATTCTTAACCGATTTAAATAATTTTTATATCAATCGAAAGCTAAGGATGTGGGGATTATTTTATCTAGTAGGAATGTTTTGTTCAAAAAATTCTTTTAAAAGTTATAGTTGTCTAAGTGTGCGCAATCGTGATTTTTACTATTTATTTAGCTGTAACTTTTAGTAAGGTGATCTGATAAAATCAATTTTAATAAGTAAAATAATCCTCAAATCAAGAGCTTTCGATTGATATAAGAATTATTTAAATCGGTTAAGAAGCAAAAAAAGTTATGCCCCAAATATGGCCTCATTACTGAACTTGAGCCTTGGACTAAACCTAAAAAGGGGATTTTTTTTAATTTTAATTTTTTTTTTGGGGAATTAATTTTTCTAAATTAATTTTTAATCTTTTAAAATAAAATAGAGAAAATAAAATACAAAATAAAATTAAAATTACAAGAAAAAAAGTACATTTTTAGGTCATAACCTAAATTTATATTCTCTCCCATAATCAACTTTGAATAATTTTTTTTATTAAATCTTTTCCCTTTTTCTTGTCTGAACTGTCTATAAATATTATTCTCAAAAATTATTCTGATCCCCTTCTAATTAAATTAATTAATAATTAAGGAAAATAAATTAGAGTCTGAGTTTTGTGGGGAGACACTTCTCCCTCCCCCTATTTTCCAGACTTTAATGGACTTTGCTAAAATAATTTTCTGTTTAATTGTTTTTTAATTGTCGAAGATTTTTTTACGTGATTGGATTAAAAAACTGGTATATCTAAATAAAAAAACAAGAATTTCCTCTAATTCCAATAAACAATTCAAGAATTTTTTTTCTAAATTGGATAAAGCTGGACAATTAAATGGTTAACGCAAATTAGTTAAAACACATCTTTATTTGGTCTTTTTGTTATTTTTATTTTAAAAGGTATTTGAGAGAGCGAGTTTTTACTTCTTAGATTTTTAAAAATTATTTTGGACCTGGGAAAAATTCAGTAGGAACGTAAAAAAATTTTTTTCCAAGCGTCTGACGCACGACGCAAAAAATAAAATTTTTACTCAAATAAATCGCAAACGAGGACGCAATTAATAAACGCAAATCGCTATGATTTTTCTAGTCCAAAAATAAGCCAGAAAACACTAAATAAAAAAATTATTTAAATTTAACTGTGCGCCAAAAATATTTTATAAGGTATAAAAACGCCAATCTAATATTTTGGCGTTTTCACCCCCCGTAAAATCAATTTTGCGCACACCTAGCCAAGTTTTATTTCAATCCTTCCAGTCTATTCTCGATTTTTACCTCTCAAGAAAATTGTAAAAAAGGATTTGTTTCAAAGACGTGATGACCTTGTGCCAGACATATATTTGAAGGTCTTGAGCGGCGATTGCGATAATTTTTATACAAAAATATTTTGTTGATCGGACAGCGGATAACGGAGGAATTAATAAGTTATTTTGATAGAAGGCGACCGTTGTCTTCCCCAAAATAAAACAAAAATCCATCCAATTCATTTTATTTAATTTCTTATACTCTCGTTTCTGCGCTAAAATGATCTAATTTTATTTTTGAATAGACAAAATATTTATTTTTAATTTATTTTGATAATTTATGGAAGGATTGTTTGGAGGGGGGGGGGGTTGATGACGTTTAAGCGGAAGGTTGTAAAATAGCCAAATGATAACCTAGAGGTATGAAATTTTCTGTGTTTATGCTTAATGGTGTTAGCTAGCAATTCTGAAAATTTCAGAATTTTTGAATAAATATTTCAGAAGTTATGGTCAAAAAACTAACAAAAATCATCATTTCTTGCCGAATGGGTAAGTTTTTTGCTATAACTTCTGAAATATAAAACCAAAAATTCTGAAATTTTTAGAGAGTCTGTCTAATGCTATTATCTAGTAATTCTGAAAATTTCAGAATTTTCGAATAAAAATTTCAGAAGTTATGGTCAAAAAACTAACGAAAATCGACATTTTCCACGAAAATTTTGCTATTTTTAACCAGAAATTCTGAAATTAAAGACCAAAAATTCTGAAATTTTCAGAATTATTAGCTGTCAATATTAGACATATCCACGCAAAATTTCAAGTTTCTAGGCCCTCATTTGTTGATTTTATACAAAAACAAGTTCATCAAAACCTAATTGTCTACCTCCCCAAAACCACCCAATTATACCCTTTTAAAGATTAAATTTTTATTTAAAAAGAATTCTGCGCAATCCTTGTCCTAACAAAAGAATCTTATTTTCTTTTTTCTTTAGTATTTATTTTGTAAGGAAAAAGAAAATTTTTTGGAGTCATGCCGAGTTGGCCACAATTATTTATTTATTTTTTATTGCATCGCTTTCCTTCCCCAATAAATTTATATTTTTTATTTATTCATTTTTAATTGTTCTATTTTTATTTAAGCTTTATTCAATTAGGAAGGGATCAGAAGTGGTATTTAAAGTATTTTACGTCAATAAAAGCCCCCTCTCTAATAGTCGCCCACTCAAAAGAATATTCTCTCTAATAAAAAGGGCTAGCTACTATTAGAGAGTACCACCTTTTAGAGAGGGCGACTATTAGAGAGGACTATATAGTGGGGTATTAGAATATTTCACTTCAATAATATCCCCCCTCTCTAATAGTCGCCCATCCTCAGAAAAAATCCTCTATAATAGAAAAGGGCTATTATTAGAGAGAGGGCGTCTATCAGAAGGAAACGAACTTTTAAAAGAACAAATCCAATTGTTTATTTAACCAAAAATAGCGGAGAAACAATTTTTTGAAAAGCCTTTAAACCTTTAGTTAGCAAAATAAATGCGCAATTAACTGCATTCAATTCAATTCAATTCAATTTATACGCATAAAACGTGACATTCAGATAAAATAAAGTAAAGTAAACGTGACAATAATTTAAATTTAAATCACTAAAGGTCTGGAGACATTTGAATGGAATGTGGCTTTGATAAAATATTGTTTAGGTTAATATTGTTTAGGAGCTTTGGAAACAATTCGATTGACGATTTTTGTAATTCTGTTGGGAGTTTTCTGTAAATGTTTGGGATGTCTATAAAGAATGAGTTTTTCCGAATGGTGCTTGAACAAAAGGGTATAAATAAATTATGCGGATTTCCTCTAGTAGTGGTAGGGAGAATGCTAAATGAATTATCATGTTTTAATTTAATTTTACCTAAAATAATATTATGGAAAAGGATAAGGTTTGATTTTAGACGTCTATGCGATAGAGATTCAAGTTTGAATAGGTCGAGAAGTTCTTTATAATCAGGTAATGTTGGACTGTTATTTTGTTTCCTAGAGCGTAAGTATATTATTTTTAAGAATTTATGTTGAACATTTTCTAGAGCGTTTATGTCTTTATTTAGATAAGGGTTAATTATAGGGGATCCAAATTCGAGGATAGGTAAGACATATATTTTGAATAGAGTAATTAGGAATTGGGTGTTATTAGTTTTAAGAGATCTTATAAGAGTATAATAAATTCTGGTTGCTTTATTTGTTGCAATTTTAATGTGAGAATCCCATTTTAGGTTGGATGTAAAATAAATGCCCACCCTCCCACATATCCCAATGCTTTGGTTATCACAGATGGGCAAACTCCATCCTTAGTTAGAGAAAATTCTCTTCTTTTTGCGTTATCTCTCGTTTATTTTTTAAATAAATTAAAAAATCAGGAAAATTTTTTTTTAATTTTCATAAATTTTTTAAAATTTTTCTAAGGTAATTTAGTTAAAAAGGAACAAGAAAAAAATTAATTTTAAATAGTCTTCTCCAAAATTCTTTCATCTTTCCATTAAAAATGGGTGTTAACTCCTCTTGGTCAACAACTACCAAAATCCCCTTAAACTACAAAAAATCCCAATTAATTTTATTTTTATTTATTTTTGTATTTTCAACACAAAAATTAGTTTATTCACAACAAAAACACCAACCAAGTATTAAATTAGTAGAGCCAATAGCTAGATTATTGGAAAATGGACCTGTAGCACAACGACTGCCGGAGACTACATGTCCTACTCCGAGCACCGAAAAAGGTGAAAATATTAATTTTTATTGAAGGGAATGGTTGAAAATAAATGAAAAACTAATTAAAAATTTTTTAAAAATTATTTTTTAATTGTAAAAAGCCAAGAAATCAGCTTTATTTCCCTCTCTATAATGTGTAGGACGTTTCGGCGCAGACTCATAAAATAGCCTAAAAGTCTCCTAAATTCATAAAATTTTGCAAGGATATATTTAAAGGTATCAACTATATTCCCTGAAAATTTCAGAATTTTTGGTTCAGTATTTAAAAAGTTATGGTCAAAAAACTTCAAAAAGAGGACATTTTTTAAAGAAATTCTGACATTTTTGATCAGAAATTCTGATATACTTTTCCAAAAATTTTGAAATTTTTAGAGTAATTGGCTAGAACTATAAATGATTTTTATACAAAATTTTAGGCCTAAAGGTTCTCACTTTCCAAAGTTATGTTAATTTAAATTGAGTTATTCCATACAATTACTGTAACCTTCATTAATTAATGAATAAATGAGAGCTTTTTTTAATTAACTTTGAGTTAAGAAAAGTTTGGTGTAGTGGGAAAGTTTCAAATTTTGTGTGTAAAGGTATGAGGTTCGATTCCTCGTGTCGTTTTTTGAATAGATAATAATGAAAAAAATTGTCGGTTTTTATTTATAAAAAACTTTTATACCCTAAGAATTTTTTGAAATTTTTTCAGAGATTTTTTGAAATTTTTTTTCTCGATTTTTTCCAATTTTTAAATTAAAAAAGACTTATTTTCCATTTAATTTACTCTAAAACCGCCTTAGGCATTTAATTAATAATTTTATTTTTAAATTTTTTGTGATGTCATAAATCTAGTTTTTCCCTTTTTAAAACAAAAAAATATCCCCATTAATTCACACATTTTTGTTTAAAATAATTTATATATTTTTGAGTGGGTTAATTGGCTTTGTTTTTGTGTGTGTGTTGGGTTGCCGATGACCTAATTGGAAAAGAAATGACCAAAATCACCACAGGGGATATTTTTCTTGTTTTTATAGAAAACGAAAAAGATATTTGAAATATTAATTATTTGGAATTTGTAAAAGAAATTGGAAAATTATTAAAGAATTTTGAGAGATTGGGGCAATAAAAGAAATGATAGAGTAATGAGTAGGTTTCACCAGAAACTTTCGGTTAGCCGAAACCGAGCCGAAAATCTTCGGGTTTCGGTTTGAGACTGACAACGATAGTAATGAGTCGCCTCGGCCTCGGCGAGGCCTCGACCTCGTGCAACCCTAGTTTGAGCTAGTCCCTCACCTGTGGGGTGAAATTTTTCTGAGAAAATGACGTCTAATATTATGTCAGGGATCGGGGAATGGCCTAAAAATTCGTCGTCGGATGGAAATGGAAATTAAGGAATATTTTGCTAATCCTAGACCAAAATCTGGCCCTAATTAAAATACACCATTTTAAAAAAATTTAATTTTCTTTTATTTTCAATAGACCCAATAAACAATGTTTTCTCTGGCATTCAATTTCGAATTCGTTGGCATGATCCTGGACATTTACCTGTTGAACTTGCAAAGTTGGAATTATTTTCAAGTGACTCTGGAGGGCATTTACTCACTCGACTAGATATAATTAAAGACGAAAAGAGGGGAATGATTGATAAAAACAGGTAGTGAAGACTAGAAAGTCTAACTTATCACAGTTAGGGATGAATTAAAGTGGGATATGGTAGATATTAAAAGAACTGGAATAAGTATGGGATTTAATTTAAGAAGGAAATGTGGAATCTATCCCACTCATTTGGGATAAAATAAAGACGAGTGTGATTCAAACCGGATATCTATAAGCTAGGGATATCTGGGAATTGGGATTTTTGGGATTGCTGAGGAAGAGATAGCCTTTCATTTTAGCTTTAATCAGTTTCGGTACGGTTGGGGTCAGTTGAGCGTGGCCGGTTGAGCGTGAGCCGACCTTTGAACCTTGTTGCTGCTTGATCCAATACGAATGAATCATATATCATTCGAAAGCCCTCGATGAGTCCAATCTTTATCCCAACTGGATGGATCAAGTCTGATCCCGGTTAAAAGGTTATAAGTCGATAAGTGCAGAAAATCATTGTTTTTCACACTTATCGACTTGTAACTTTTTAAATAGCGATCAATCATGATCCATCCAATTGAAACAAATATAGCGCTTAACGAGGGCTTTCGAATGATATATGATTAATTAGTGTTGAATCAAGCGGAAAAAAGTTATAGCCGATCAAAGTTGGCTGACGCTCAACCGGCCACGCTCAACTGGCCCGTTCCGGTTTCGGTACACCCCTGATAAACAACCTCACCGTATGAGAGAGACAACAGGAAAATAAGAGATTTTCTCTAACTGCCAAAGAAAAATATTAAACAAAATACTTTTTAAGTTCAATCGTTTCAATGATGGCACAAATACCCGAAGGGCTTCGTTGTAATCTTTGTACACTCCGTTTAAGTGTAGAATTGGATGAACGAATTCAACTAGTTAGTTGTGCCCAAGTTAGTGTAAAACCTGCAGAAAAAGGAGTAGAGGAGGTGGTTGAAGAGGAGGAGAAAGAATGTAAAGAACATAAAGAATGTTTATTTGGAGGAAATTGTTTGGGTGGAAATTGTTTTTGTTTAAATGGAAGGTTTGGAGAATATTGCAAAAATGGAGGTAAGGGAAGGGTCTTTTTTGAATTAATTTAATTTTGGGGATTTTTTTGTGCTAAGAGAGGGGTTGTTTCTCAGGTTGACTCGGTTTTAAAAAAATCGAGCAGTTCCGATTTCAGCTTGTATTAAACGTCCCACGGTTTCGAGCGTGTAATTACTCCTTCGATATTCCAAATATATAGAAAAATCAAAAGGAGTAAAGGTTTAAGAGGAGGAGGAATCAAAATCCAGTAAGATCTCATTCAGAACCTGACCAAGGTTAAGAAGCTATTTCTCCTTCAACTAACAGGGCGGCTGATATTTGGGCGTCTGGTTTAGGAATTAGGAATTATGCTTTACAATACCCCTCAGGGCAATAACGAGGGGTACCTTAAATGGGGGTGAGTAGGGATTAGAGCTTCTCCGGAAGTTCCGGTTCCGGTTCCAGTAAGCCGGAAGTTCCGGGATTTTTTGGTTCCGGTTCTGGCCAAATTTGCGATTCCGGCGAAGTAGGTGGCCCCTCAAGTTGTATCTCAAGGTGTATTTTTAATTTTAAAATACTGTAGGAAAATTACAGAACGCCAAAAAAATTTTTTTAATTTCAGAAAATCCCCCAACAATACCTTCTTTAATTCAAAATTCTGATTCACTCCAATCAATTAAATTTCCTGAAAGCGGAACAGAATTAAAATGGCTAGCTAATATTGATAAAAATATTATTAATTTGGGGCTTGTTTTCGATGAGGAAAATAAGAAGAATGAAGCTGCGAGATGGTTTATTTTGGGAATACAATCAACTGAATCTGATAAAAATTGTCGTGTGGCTATGGAAAAATGGCAAAAAGAAAGTCTGAAAGTTGAAAAAAATTTTTAGAATGTTTTTGAAATTTTCTAAAAATTTTCGAAAATTTTCAAAATTTTTAAAAATTTTGAAATTTTTTTGAAAAATTTTTGGAAAATTTCGGAAAATTTTTTTGAAAAAAATTTTTTTCAAAAATTTTGAAATTTTGAAATTTTTAAAAATTTTCGAATTTTGAAAATCCCCAAAAATTTAAAAAAAAATTTCAGAAAAAATGGAACGAAGCAAAATCCGAGCAAAAGCAGGAGGAGGACCCTTAGTTAGGGTAGAACAAGAGAAAGGCGAGAATTCCTTGACAGTCGACTCAACAGACTCGAATAATTTAAATCAAATTCCTTCAATAAATAAATCTTCGACTTCATTAAATATTAGAAAATTAATTGAGGAAAATACAAATAAATCAGAAACAGAAAAAATTTTGTCTGGAATAGCTATAGAAGGTGCTTAATTAATTTTTTAAAATGTGAGAAATGAGAGGGAATTTTGAGGGGAATTTTGAGGGGGAAGGTGAGAGGAATTTCCTCTTAATGAAAAAATGATGTTTTGGCGCAGGCTTGTAAAATTAACAAAAAAGCATCTAAAATCGTGAAATTTTGTGGAGATATCTCTAATAGTGTTAGCTAACAATTCTGAAAATTTCAGAATTGTTGGTTAAGTATCTCAGGAGTTCTGGCCAAAACACAGCCAAAAATTGACATTTTTCACGAAAATTCTGATATTTTCAACCAGAAATTCTGAAATACTGAACCAAAAATTCTGAAATTTTCAGAAATGTCAGAAGACACTATTAGATGTATCTCCACAAAATTTTACAATTTTAGGTGCTTTATTGTTAATTTTATAAGCCGCGCAGAAACGCTTATAAGCTAGGATTTTTCCGGCCTCAAGCGAGGTTGGGGTGAAAGGGGTATTTTATAATAAGGTTCTACTATATCAAAAAATTTTTTTCTAACAGAATGTGACACAAATCAAAGATGGGAACAATGTCCAGACTCGGAAAGGGAGTGTGAACCAAGCTGTGAATGGACAGCTTTCCCCGAGTCTATACCTGTTTGTCCATCACGCACTTCCGAACAAAAATGTGGGAAGCCAAGATGTGTTTGTGTTGAAGGCTTTGTTCGTTTGGGAAAGAATTTGAATGAATGCAAACCTTTCAGTTTTTGTCAGGCACCGGAAGTGAGGAAAAAAATTTTTTTTTAATTTTTTAAAATAATAAAATTGGCTAGGGGGCCAGGGTGTTTCTCCATAATTCTCCATTTTTGTCCGGAGACCAAGTCTCAAATCCGGATTAAACCAGAAAAATCTGACCGGATTCGGTCTGAATCTAGTGGTTGCAAAGATGGCCCCAATCCGGCAAATTTGTTTGAGATCTCATTTTTCCTCTATTTTCGGGTTGAGGTCATAAGGGCGCGGGGCCATTAGGGCGCCAGCACTAGAAACTGACACTTAGGCGAAACCGAAATTTATCAAAATTTTCTCAAATTTCTTTAACATCATTGACTATCTCCTCCAGAAATTTCAGAATTTTTCATCAAATATTTCTGAAGTTATAGTCGATAAACCGCGAAAAATTAGTGTTTTTTCGGAAAATCAACATTTTTGGCCACAATTTCCTAAATTCTTGATCAAAAATTCTGAAATTTTTGCAGAACGTAGATAAAGGCATTAGAGTTATTATTGCAAAATTTTATCTTTCTTGATAAGCAACTCGCTGTTTTATAAGCTCGCGCCCTAATGGCCACGCGCCCTGATGGCCCGTCCCCTATTTTCTGCTTGTTACAGAAAGGTAGATTCGATTGTAAATTCAAAGCAGATAGATTAGTTTCTGTAAAAGGAACGATTGACCTCAAAGTATAATAGAAAAACCCGGATTTGGAAATTAAAAAATCGCCTCGGATATTTATAAAATATCAGTGCCGAAACTTCCGAGTCTCCTTCTAAATTTAATTTTATTTAAAAAGGCAACGCCAGAATTAATTCAAGAAGAAATTAAAAATAAAGAGCAAGTAAAACAACAAAAATGCCCAAAAAACGAAATTTGGGAAAAATGTGGGAATGCTTGTGAACCTACCTGTCAGAGTATGTATAGTGAAGAACCTTGTAGTTCTGTTTGTGAAATGCCGGGGTGTACTTGTACTGATAATTTTGTTCGGTTATCGGTTGGAGGTCCTTGTATTGAATGGACAGAATGCCCAAGTTGGTTAATTTTTTGACTTTTTGAGTGGGCGTTTATTAGAGAGAGAGTGTGAGGGTATTGGATTATTAACGTAGGCTACTATTGGAGAGGTGGTATTATGTATTAGCTATTTATGGAGGTCTATCATAAGAGACCCCTCTTTCTAATAAACGCCCTCTTAGGGAGCGTCCATTAGAAAGAAACTTGTTTAAAAATACTTTTTTATTTTTATTCAGATTTAAAAGAACGAAATGAACCAAAAAATGCCTCGGTTTCAGCAACTGTTAAAACCCCTCAAATTGGAAGACTTCAATGCGGGGCTAATGAAACGTAAGGATTTAAAATTATGACTGGAAATAAATTCGAGATAACTGGGGGATTGTGATATTTAATAATGTGGGACATACCTATTAGAGATTTTGATTGTGTTATGTCGGATATTGGAGAGATTTGAATGAAAGAGTAAGAAAAAATAACACCCCGATTTAACAGCGAGAGACGATGGTAAGAAGAGAGATTTTCTCTGACTGCCAGAGAAAAGGAGAGAAAATACCGTAACCTTTCCTATTTTGAAAAATTTTTAATTTAACGATGCTGAGCTTCCATTTTTGATAAAAAAATAATTTTTAAAAATTAAAGTATAAACGAATGTGGAGCTGTATGTGAAGCAGATTGTTTATCAATTTTTGAACGTGAAGAGTGCCATAATTGTGGAAAGCCATCCTGTGCCTGTAGACAAGGATATGCTCGATCTGGAGGAAAGTGTATTTATTGGGGCGACTGTCCTGCTGGTAAATTGACAGAAAAAAATTTTTTAATAAGGAAATTTGGGTGAAAAAATTAAAAATTAAATTTTTGCTTCAATTAACTGATGATGATCTCTAGTTGAATTTTGCCGTGTAACTCGAGAATGGCTTGACATTTCTCAGAGATTTTAATATTGTTTGATAGCGAATTAAATTTGCTACAAAAATTCCTTAAAATCAGAATTTTTGATTATTTTCTGAAAAAAAGTTCTGGTCAAAAAACTGACTGCAACACGTCAAAATACCCTATTTTTCTGAGTTTTTCGACTACAACTTTTTTGTTTGTCAATAAAAAATTCTGATTTTTGGATATTTTATAGCTTATTTAATTCTCTATCGAATGACACCAAAATCTTTGAAAAAAGTTTCAATCTGAAAGAAATATAAATGAAAGAATTCGCGTGGTTCATGACTTTGGATGAACATGCCATTTTCCCCTAAAAAATTTTTCCCTCTAAAATTTTTTTCTAAATTCATCAAAAAAATATTTTTTTAAAGTAAATTCACTCTCGACAACAACAATTCAACCCGAAATAAAAACTAATAAAAAATCAACAAATATTCAAGAATTAAAAGAATCTTCGCCCCACAAACATAGCGGACAAGTTTCAACAACAGAAAAAATAACCACAATAGAACCCTCAATGGATATTTGTAAAGGTGAATGGAAATGGCCTAAAGGATGTGGATTTGGAGATAAAAAATGCCATTATAGTATAGAATGGTTTTTAGACCAAAATAGTGTGGGTTTTTGTTTTTAGTAGAAATTTGAGAAGGAAATAAGGGGGCAAAAACATGTATGAAGGATAGAAATGTGGGGGATCTCCTTAGTTCTGAAATATATAATCCCCTCTCCCATATAAGTTTTAACAAAGTTGTCCCGCTTAGGATTGACCAAGAATTAAATAAAATTCTCAATACCCTTACATACACGAAGCTCCAAACTTTTTTCAGACGAAGCGAGACAGAGTAACATTTTTAATTTTCTAAAAACGATATGTTTTCTCGATTATTCTATCTTAAACACGTTAATTGGCCAAATACATATTGTCCAAAAATGATTCTATAGCTTTGTGGGACAAATATTCAAGAATTAAAAGATTAATCTCTTAAACTAAATTAAATCGGATACTTCAAGAGGGATACGGAACAAAAAAATAACGAAATGTTTTTTGTATGTCTGTTCAGGATATTCGAAAATCTTCAGAATCCACCAACTCGAGAAAAATTTTTTTAATTTAAAATTTATTAATTTTCAGGATTTTCTTATCTTTCAATTAGAAACAATTCCAGCAGTTTACAGAAAAATTCAAAAAGAAGAGCAACAACCGATTTGGTCTGGAATAGGATTTTCCCCTTCTGGAACATTATTGGATGCTGATATGATTGTTATTGGGACTTTGGAAAGGAATTCAGAAGAAATTGGAAAATTGGAAGTTGTAGACATGCATGTGGATGAAAAATTGGGTGGCTACTTTTTTCCTTTCTTTCTTTTATCTAGGGTGGTAGGAAGGTATCAGAATCTGACGGGATTATCAGTACAGATTTATGAATCCTGTTCAGCGCTGTCCGCAATTGAAAAAAATTTTCCGCTGCCGCAATTTTTATTTTAAAATCCGCAAACGCGATCCGCAAGTCAAAAATTTTTCACGCCTTGATCCTGATGTAGACTTGATTGTGTTAAAAAATTAGAAGGGGGTTCTGTACACAAACCCCCCAACCCAAAAATTAATCTAAAAAATTATTTTATAAAATATTATTAAATGACTGACAAACAAAAAAATTTAAATAATTAAAATCTGAATTTTTATATATTAAGTAAAAATAAAATGCTTTAATCTCATGCAGACAAACCTCATTTTTAGATGACCCCTAAATATTAAATATACCTCCAAGTTAAGAGATGTTTTAAATTTTAGTTTACCTTTGGTAGGGGCTTTGTCCAAGCGATACCTTTTATTTAAGATACCCCATGTTATAAGGTACGATTTTTTTCAGCCCTGAGGGGTTGCAACTAACTAAGGAGAGGCTTTTGGGTATCCGTAGGACTTCGGGATGAAATTTGGTAGACAGATAGAGTATACCCTTTCTATTGTGAAATTTGAACCATTTTGGCCCCCCCCCCCCCCAAAGTTTCTGTGAAAGCCTTTAATAATTATTTTTATTATTTTCCCTTCAATTTTGCAGAACAATTCCGCCCAGATTCCCAACAAGATATTCAGTTACACGAAGGAACATTTAATTACACAGATGGAGTATTCAAAGCAAAATTTTCTAGAAAACGCAGAACGGGTGATTCTGCTGGGGAAGATTTAGATTTTGGTGAAGAAGATGGAAATTGTGTTAGATTTTTGTTCCCAATATCTGGTGGACGTTTTGAAAAGAGTGGAAATATTTCTGTTCCGGTAGCTGATTCTTTGTATGCTTCTGATGCTGAAATTTGTATTAGAACATGCAAAGGTAATTTAAAAAGCATTTTAATTAATTAAATGGGGTCTTTTCACCGAACTTTTTTTCACCGAATTTATTTTCAATGGTCTTTGGGGGAAATTTAGCACGCTGGGGGAAGTGAGGACGTTACTTACGGGACTATAAAATATTCTAAAGTTCACCTAAAATCGTGAAAATTTGCATGGATATTTTTAAATGCCTTATCTTTATCTGATAAAAATTTCAGAATTTTGGATTAAATATTTCAAAAATTCTGACCGAAAATGTCAGAATTATAGTGAAAAATGCCTATTTTTGGTGGTATTTTGGCCATAAGTTTTGAAATATGTAACCAAAAATTCTGAAATTTTTAGGGAAGGTATAAGACACATTTATGGATATCTATGCAAAATTTTAAAATTTTAAGAGATTATTTGGCTAATTTACAAGCACTGAAATAACATTACTCCAACCTTAAAAATACTCCCTTAATTTACTTTTTAAAAATTTTTTAGATAAAAATATTAAAGAATCATCCTCTTCAAATCTTCCAACACCTCATAGTTGCCTTAAAGAATTTAAATGGCCAGCAAATTGCAAATCGGATAAATGTGAATATCGTGCAAGCTGGGAATGGGAAAAAGAGGATGACACTGTCCTTGTAAACAAAATTTCATTTTTTAATTAAAAAAGTGGCCATAAATTTTACCTTGATAATCCTAATAGCGTTATCTAACATTTCTCAAAATTTCAGAATTTTTGGTTTTGTATTTCAGAAGTTATGGCCAAAAAACTTACATATTCTGGCGAAAAATTTCGATTTTTGTAGTTTTTTGACCAGAACTTCTGAAATTTCAAACCAAAAATTCTGAAATTTTCAGAATTGTTAGCTAATACTAATAAATATATCTGGACAAAATTTCATGGTTATATCTATAAATTGGCCTGTATTATAAGCGTAAGCATGGTCAATCAACAGAAAATGCTTTAGATTTTTTTAGATTTTTTGTTTTAAAAGGAAAATTTTGACATCTCACTTTTTAAATTTAAATTTTAATTCGGAATTAACAAACATTCTGGAATTTAATTCAGAGATTAGAAAAATTCACAAAAATTTTAAATTTAATTTTACTTAATATTAAGTATTTTGTTTCCTCAAAATTTCCATAAAAATTAAAAAAATTAAATTTAACTTAATTAAAATTAAATTAAAAATTAATTTCAAATTAAAGTTTAACATTTCTTCTCGCGGTATCGGTCGCTGGACGGGCATTGGATTTTCAAAAGATGGAAAAATGGCTGGTTCTGATATTATTACTGGATGGTTTTATGACCAAAAAGTTTAGAAAAAAATTAATTTTAATTAAAAAAATTAAATTTTAAAGCCATATTTAACCGATCGTTTTGCTTTTGCTCAACAACAACCAGCTATTGACCCTGTTGACAGACAAGATATTTTTGATATTGGAGGGGCTTTAATTGATGATATACAGGTGAATAAACAGAAAATTATTTTGGTCCATTAACAGAAGACTTTATGAAGTCTGCCCTCTTTTCGATGAATTTATGAGTGTTAATTACCAATAGAAATATCCGATTGAAATTATAAAATCGAAAAATTAACAAGAAATAAAAATTTTTATTCCAAGACAATATCCTTCCGTCGCAAAGTTGTCAGTCCAGACAAAAGCACCGATTTAAGTTTGGCACAATGTGCTCATTTTCTGTTCCCTGTGCAAGGTGGAAGGGTGATGGCACATTCTAGTCGGGATTTTCAACAGGTGATTTTAAATTTTAAATGATTTTTAATGAAAAATTGATAGAAAAATAAACAGGGAGCAGAATTGTGTATTAAGGGAGGTTTTCGCACGGGGTTATAAATTATCACAATTTATACCTAAAAACTTGAAAATTTGCATACCTATCCTTAATGGTGTTATCTAACTAATCCCAAAATTTCAGAATTTTTGGTTCATTATTTCAGAAGTTCTGGTCAAAAGACTCCAGAAAATCGCCATTTTCCATAAAAATTCTGATATTTTCAACCAGAAGTTCTGAAATACTTAACTAAAAATTCTGAAATTTTCAATGAAGGTGAATAACACTTTTATTAATCTCTATGCAAAATTTTATGCCTCAAAATTGTCATTGGGATATTTTTTGAGGCTCCGACTAACTCATGTCCCAGATGTCAATTACCACTTGTTACACCGAAAAAAAAATTTTTTTTTAATTTCTAAATTTATTTAAAAAATATTTTTATTTCAAATAAATATTCAAAGGCACGTACCCCAATCGGTTTTCACGACCAACAACAGCCAATTTCTTCACCCACCCAAATCTGCCTTTGTGATAGGCCCACAAACTTTAAAAATTCTGAAAAGGAACAAATTGGAAGGAGAAGAGTTAGAAATGTAGAGACTGAGGATGAAGAAGAGAAACAATCAGGATTACCCTTTCAATGTGCTGATGTTGCTATAATACAGGTAAAAATCTGGAAACTTTCCCTTCTCCAAAATTTTATTTTTTATGCCTTGACTCTCCAAAAAAATTATTTAATAAAAAATATTTTCTTTCAGATAGCCGAAAATCAAAATAAATTATTTATAAGAGCAATTGATGCCTTTGGTCTTTCCAATGATTCTCTAAGAAGAGATGAACATTGGGGAGGACAACAATCTTTTAATGGAGTTGAATTAATTAATAAGTCTGGCAAAAATACTTTTTGGTTAACAAAAATGTTAAAAGGTGTTTTTTATTCTGATTATTCGATTAATTTTTAATTACATTCTGATTTAATTCTGATATTTTTCTGATTTTCCCCGATAATTTATAATTAATTTCTGATTTTATTCTGGGGTTTTCTCTGCATTTTCTGACTTTTTCTGGTTTTTTTCTGATTTTTTACCTTTTCTGAACATATTCTGGCGTTTTTCTGATGCTTTTCTGTTTTTCTTTTTCTGATTTTTATTCTGACTTGTTAAATTCTGATTTAAATTATTTTATTATTATTTTAAAAAATTATTTTAAAAAATTATTTTTAGACCCAACCAATTCAAACGGCGATTTGACCATCCAACAAGGCCAAACCCAAGTTTTTCTTTTTTCTGGGCATGGAATAAAACCAGAAATTTCACAAGCAGAAAAATTGGAATTTGCTTTGATTGATTTGATGGCTGGAGCTGGTAAAGGTGAATAAATTCTGATTTTTTATTTATTAAATTCTGATTTTGAGTAGTTCTGATTTATCAAATTCTGATTTTATTAAATTCTGATTTAAAAAATTCTGATTTTAAAAATTCTGATTTTATTAAATTCTGATTTATTAAATTCTGATTTATTAAATTCTGATTTTAAATTCTGACTTAAATTCTGATTTTAATAATTCTGATTTTAAAAATTCTGATTTTATTAAATTCTGATTTTATTAAATTCTGATTTTAAAAATTCTGATTTTAATAATTCTGATTTTATTAAATTTTGATTTTATTTATTTTCAAAATATTTCAGAAATTACTCAAAACACAACAATAAAACATACAACCACTACTTCCCCAACAACAACAACTACAATAACAAACATACCAGAAAATATTACAGAAACAATAAAAACAGTTTCTTCTGTTTCTCCAAAACAAACAAAAGTAAAAGAAGCGAGTTCTGAAATGGAAAATTCTGAAGAAAATGTTGAAGGGGAGAAGGAAGTTGAGAAGGAAGTTGAGAAGGAGGTAATAGAGAAAGAAGAGGAACCAACTGAAGAACAAACAAATAAAGAAGAGGATGAAGAAGAGGTGAAGACTTTTAATTAATTAATTTAAAAAATATTTTTGGGGGCAGAAAAAAATGAAATTAATTATTTTTAATAAAAACCCTTACGAGTGAAGAGGGTGTTTGGCTAAAGTATAGTCTGCGCAATCTTTTCTAAAACAGCCAAATTATATTATAAAATTCTGAAATTTTGCATAAGCATCCTTAATAGTGTTATCTACCATCCTTATAAATTTCAAAATTTTTGGATTTATATTGTACAAGTTATAGTCAAAAAGGTCCAAACTTCCTTGAAAAACATCTATTCTGTTGCGTTTCTGTCCATAATTTGAGAAATACTAGACAAAAAATTCTAAAATTTTTAGAGATGTTAGTTAACCCCTTGAGAATATTTTAGCAAAATTTCATGACTAGAAGTTTTATTAGCTTCAAGTAAATAATAATAAACGAACACATAAACCTCCATCGCTTAGGCTTTCTTCCCTTAAAATAAATTTGAAGTAAAATTAAATTTATTTTTTTCAAGTCTGCCTCCTCGTCGCCTTCCGAAATACCCAGAACCTCCATTTTAACCGATGAAAACTGCTTTGGCGGTTTTGCATATCCAGAGGATTGTATGCAGTTAACAGCTAATGGGAATATAAAACAATGTCAATATATGGTGCAATGGATAGTTACGCCTGAATTGGGAAAAGTTAATTTCCAATTAAATGTCAGAATGCCTTCTAATCATTGGACTGGTGTTGGGTTTTCTAATGATGGTAGTATGGTGGGTTTATATTTTTAATTAAATTTTGTTATTTTTAATAAAATTTGTTAAACTTGAAAAATTCTCAAGTTTATATAAACTTAAGTTTTCAAGTTTATAAACTTAAGACTTAAGTTGGTAAACTTAAACTCATAAATACAATCTTGCTAACTCAAATTATTAATTTATAGACTTAAGTTTTTAGGTTCAAGTGCTTTTACAAACTTAAGTCTATAAATTAATAGTTTGAGTTTGCAAGATTAGATTTATGAATTTAAGTTTACAACTTAGGTATTAAGTTTATAAACTTGAAAACATTCTTTTACAAACAGGTCCCCGATTTTTAAATTTAATTCCTCTACCTTGAAAATTTTATATCTAATTGAGAGCTTAACTAAAAGATGAAAAAAATCGAAATTTTCTCATATGTATAAAAACTATACTTAAATTAAATAAAAAAATATACTTAATTAAATAAAAACTTAAATTAAATAAAAACTATACTTAAATTATAATAAATTAACAAATATTCTTATATATTTTTTAAATTTAATTTTAAATATTTTTTAGACCAATTCTGATGCGATAATTGCAATTTTGGGTAAAGATGGAAGGATAACATTACAAGACCGTTTTTCGCCTAGCTATGATAAACCTTTACTTGATACAAAGCAAAATATAGAAGAAATTAGTAGCCAATCAGTCGATGGCCTCTGGGCTTTAAATTTCTCTCGTTCTCTATATACCCAAGATGATTTACAAGATGCTGATTTAAGACAATGCCAACATTTTATTTTCTTACATACAGCAAATCCTTTGACTTCTGAAAGTGATGAAATGAAAAAACATATTAAGACACCTATAATTTCTGAAAACATGGTGAACATAGGATTTTTATGATTAAAAGCTAAAAATTTAACGAAAGACTCAGGTTCGATGCCTGACGGCAGTTAGAGAAATCTGCGTTAGTATATCCTTGTATAGCACTAAACAGATGGCACGCCCCGAGGGAATAGAAGTGGCTGAAAGCTTATGCCAAAATTTGTACTCGAACTCGTACCTGGTTCGACGTACAAGTATGAGCAAATTCGAAATTCACAATTGATGGTGGGTTTAGGCGGCTGTAAACCCCCCCCCCTCGAGGCAGTTATTGACCTAACAAACAAAAACCTTTAACTTATCCTCCACATCCAAAAAACATTTTTTTAGATTTGTTTGGGTAAATGCGGACAAAAATTGTCTTCTACAACCGCCGATGTTTCTGTTGATGTTACAAGTGAAGTGCCGACAACAGAAAAACAACAAGAAACACCATCTACACAAACAACATTACCAACAACAAAAGAAACTGAAAAAACAACACAAACAACAGAAATACAGCAAACAGTTGTTATAACAGAAACAACAGAGAAACAAACAACAGAGAAAACAAAAACAACTACTTCAACATTGTCCCGACAACAAGAGAAACCCGAAGACGAACAAATGAATAAAAACTTGGTTGAAGAAACACCTGAGATTGTAAAACAACAACAAAATGTTGTAGACGAAAAATACAAAAAGAAAGTATTTAATGTTGCAATTAAACTTCCCAATGAAAAATGGGATGAAAAATTGGGAGAGCCTGAATCTGAAGAATTTTCTTTAATGTCTCAAAAGTTGAGCAATTCGGTTGGGGATTTACAAACATTGTTTAAGAAAATAATGTTAATCTTAAGTTACAATCACTCATCTCTATTAGATGGCCCTCACTTCAAATGATTAACATACAGAAATTTGCGTAAGTTTTAAGTTCATAAACTTAGGAAATGTAAACTTAAGCCTCGAAACTTAAGTGTCAAGTTTACCAACTTGTTCATAGACTTAAATTTTCAAGTTTATAAACTTAACTTTTCTAAACTTAGGGATCAAGTTTACAAGCTTAAGTTCATAAACTTGTTTTTATTTTTACAAACTTAAGATTTAAGTTTATAAACTTAAGTACACAAAACCTTTTTATGTCAAGTTTAAATACTCTATTTTAAAATTTGATAGTCTATAAACTTGAAAGTTGGTAAACTTAAGTTTGTAAATTGTTTTAATATCACTAAACTTAATAGGGAGGGAAGTGTTCTTGCATTACTTAAAATGACTTTTAACACAACACTAAAAAATAATGAAGAATTACCAACTACCAAACAATTAAAACATTTCCTGAAAGAAGCTGCTGCTCAAAAAATGCCTGCAGAATTAGTTTTAGATTCAGAAATGTTGGAAGTCCAAGAAAATGAAGAGGAGGGGGGAGAAATTAATGACACAAACGAAATTGGGGAAGAAAAGGAAAAAGTAGCTTCAATGGGGGGACAATGGCAAGGATGGCTTTTGGCTGTTTTGGGGACTTTTATGTTACTTTCTATTGCCACAGCTCTTCTATTTTGTGCTTTTCGTAACAGAAAACAGTCACGGCAGCGTCAGACTTATGTTAGATTTTTTGGAAATTTTTTCAGAAATTTTTAAAAAATTTTTAAGACTGAAAAAATCTTTTTTATAGCCAACAAAACACCATTCTTCCTTGCATCGTCATAATCAAAACAATTTACGAGGAAATAATCTTTTCTTTAACGGATCAGCTAATAATTATAATCAAAGCCATTATACACCTTTCCCTGGGGAAAAAGAAGACAGAGCAAGTGAAAACAGTACAACTGCCAAAACAAATAATAGTGGGGGTGAAAGTTGTAATAATGTGCCGAATGGTGTTAAAACGCAAAATAAAATGGTGGAAACTCCTCGGGGTATTGGAGAGGCTAGTTATCGTGAATGGTTTAAAAAGGTGAGAGGTTAAAATCTTTGTGGGAATTTAAAATGGTTTATCGGAGTATTGTATGGAAGAAGGGAGATCCAACTGAATAGCATTTATAACGCTCACTAGGCTGGGAGCTTAAGACCTATTCAAACATAAGGTTATAGCAACCTGTATGTGGTGAGCGCCTAACAAAGACCTCGCTCACGCGTGGCGTAGGCCTCCATACCTCTCTTGGTCGCTGGATCGATGTCTATCCTAGACTAAATTTTCTCTCTTAAGCTCAATTCTTTTCAAGGTAGCATCAAAAGATACCCCAACCCACTATCAAGAAAATTATTGGCAAATACCCCCACCAACTCCAATGCCAAGGTCTGCAAGTCACGGAGGACAAACGCCAGTACACGCACCTTCTGCTTCTCCATACCTTTCTTATCCGAACGATCCAACTTATTATACATTAAATGGAGAACATAGAATTGTACCTCCACCGCCTGCTTATTATCGACCTTTTTAATTTAAAAAATGGAAATTCTTTCAGAAAAATGCAATAGAAATGGAAATACCTATTAAAATTGATTTTATTTTTAAATTTCTTGCCGTCTTTCCTTTTGTTATTTTTTTAATTTGACTTTTTCTGATTTCAATTAATTTTATTTAATTTCGAATTTGTTATCAGAAAATTTAAATCTTTCTAGAATTATTAAAATTAATGTGTTAACCTTCAATTTAAAATAAGATAGCAAACTTAAGTTTTAAATGTCTTAAACTTAAGTCTTAAAAGTCAAGTCTTAAGTTCATAAACATTAAAAACCAAGTTTAAACTTAACTCATAAACTTAAAACAAGTTGCAAACTTAAGTTCATAAATTCTAAAACTTAAGCTTATAAACTTAAGTTTACAAGTTTATAAACTTAAACCAGGTTGCAAACCTAGATTTGTAAATTTTAAAACTTAAGTTTATAGATTTAAGTTCTTAAAATGTCAAACTTATACACTTAAGTTTACAAGTCATAAACTTAAAAATGAATAACCTTCCTGAAAGTGTAAGAAACTGGTTCCGGAAAATACTTAATATTTTTTTAAAATTACCCCCCTTTCAATTTATTAAAAAATTGTCTAGCAACAAATATCTTGCCCAAGATTTTATTGTAAAAACATTTAAAAAATAAAACATTGAAAAAGCATTGTTTATTTTTAGAAGACAAAAAATTATTTAAAAAAAACAGTTAAAAAAAGTTTCGTTCAATAAATGTAAAAGGGCGGAAACATGAATGGAGCTCTTAAACATTTTTTTAAATTTTCCTTTTGATTTTTAGAAAAAATGAGATAAATTACTCATCTATTTAATTGATAGAAAAAAGAGTCGAAAAGAAGACATTTTCTATAAGAGTAAATATTAGCAGAAAAAAAGTCAATGAAACTAAGGAGAGACTTTTGGGACTTCAGAAAGTTTATGTTTCTTAAGGAGTAGGATTCAGAACTATGAAAATGTTTTCAGGAAAGATAACCTTAAATAAAGGAAGGGAAACTATAAAATTTATAAATTTAAATATTGTCCCAGCAAAAATAAATATTCACCTCTCTCCCTATTTTTAAACCCAAACCTAAATCCCAAAGGTGTTGATCTCCTTTAAAAAATTAAAAATTGGACAATTAAGGTAACGTTCATATACATAATAGCCTAAATGCTATTCTATAAACAAGCTATAATTTTTAGAATTTTTTTAAAATCTTTAATCGAAACAAAATTCCCCCAAACTCTAATTAATTGTCCAATTTTCTCGACAAAATTATTTAAAAAAATACATTTTAAGCGTAACGTTAAAAAAACCAATTTAAATGACAACAGAAAAGCAAAAAATTTTGAAAGATTAAATAATGGGTAAAGAGTAAAAGTCGGGTGGTTGGTTGGAGGCAGGGGACACATACACATAAATTGACAGCAGAAAAAAAAATAATTAAAAAACAAATCTGGGAGTTTTACACATCTCTCCCCATATATAAACTCTCTCTTCTCAATAAAAGTTTTGTTACATTTATTAAAAGTTGTATATTATTTTTAAAAGTGTTAAAAACTTAAGTTTACAAACTTGAATTTTCTATGTTATACACTCAAGTTTTTAAGTCCCCTTAGCTTTTGATATTGCAAACTTGTTTTTAGAAACTTAAGTTTAAATAAAGTCTCATTTATTTATTTACCCCAGAAATAAACTTATTTACTTAACTTATAAACTTAAGCCTACAAGTTTATAAACTAAACTTGATTTGTTTATGAACTTAAGTTTATTTTCTAGACAACAACAAACATAATTCAAGTTGTAAGAATAAGTTTATTTTTTATTAACTTAAACTTTCAAGTTTATAAACTTAAAAACTTAAGTTTACAAACTTGAATTTTTTAAACATTACCAACTTGTCTTATTTTGAAAACCTGAGGAAGTTATCACTTTTATAGACTTAAGTGTATAAACTTGTAACTTTTAAGTTGTTAAAATTGTTTGGATGAAAGAGAGAAGAGAGATTTAAAAAAAATTTTTAAGAGAGAGATTTGCTGTCAAAAAAGAGAAAAAACAAATTTTTATTTAAATCAAACCTCCTTTAATTTATTTTTAACTCAATTCCAAATTTTTAAGAAACTGTCCCAGGAACCTGTACAAACAGCCATTCCATCATCAGTAACGCCCAAACAAGAAACACGATTGTCGTGGCCTGCCAAAACACCTAAAAAATTGGAAAAAAATATTTTAAATTTAGAAAAAATAAAAATCTTTACCAGCTCGTTCTTGACGCATAGAATCCCAAACATTACAATTAAAATCGTCATAACCAGCAAAGAGTAGACGTCCAGATTTGGAGAAGGCAACGCTGGTAATTCCTTAAAAATTAATTTTTGAAGCCTTCCCCCTTAAGAAAAACAAACCGCAAATTATATTGTCATGCGAGTACATCGCCAACTCTTGGTCTGCTCGAATGTCAAAAAGTCGACAAGTAGCATCATCTGAGCCAGTAGCGAAAGCATGTCCATTAGGAAAGAACTAAAATAAACGAAAAAATTATATAAGTGTTCTGAATACTTTGATTATATTTTAGTCAAAAAATGGGATTTTAGGTAGACAAATGTTTTGGCTGTCTATTTTGGGTTCTATCCTTGTAGAAAACAGGAAAAGGTACACTGAAGTTAAAAAATTTGTGAGAAGACTCACAATCAGGCCTGTAGCCAGGGGGTGAAAAAAATCAGGGTTACGGACGGGCCTGCTCACAATCCGTGTACAAACGAGCAGTAAAAAAGCTCCTCTAACAATAAATTGATAAACTAGTTATTTAGCCTTTGAAGACTAGAAAAACCCGGAAAAAGACACTCGATTCTATGAGAAGGCTAGCTTGTAGGTTCGATTCCTGACAACCAATAACTCTTACCTAAAAAAGATGGGCCCTGCCACCCAAAAAAGCCGGCAACATCCCTCCCTTGTTACTAAAACCATCAAAACTCAAAATTAGATTCCAAAAAAAACAAACCGAAACAGCATTAATATCAGATTCGTGTCCAGGAAAAGTTTGTTTACACATCCCTTCACGAATATCCCAAAGTTTAGCAGAAGCATCACAAGCCCCAGAAATAAATGTACGCATATCTGGAGACAGAGAAAGTGACATTACATCCCCTGTATGTCCAGTAAATGTCGTTAATTGTTGGCCTGTTTCGATATCCCAGAGAGCACTTTAAACAAATTTTTTTAAGAAAAAATTCAAATTAAAAAAAACCAAGTCATATCACCAGAAGAAGTAACAATTTGATTATCATCTAGAAAACGGCAACAAGAGAGATATCCTGTATGTCCAGGCAATTCACGACTGACACGAACATTTCCCTCACGAGTTTTTAACGAATAAATACTACAAATATTGTCTAAACCGCCACAAGCGACAAATGATCCACTAGGTGCATAAGCACAAGTCATTACCCAACTGGAACGGAGAGGAATGGCATGCACCTTGAAAAAGAAGAGAAAAATGAATTTTTGACTAAAAATTAAATTTAAAAAAATATCAAAAAATTGCCCTCAAATCTCATAATCTTTTAGACGTCACTGGCAAGGCTATTATTCAAAATAAATTTTAAATTTCGCCTATGAGCCGTCTTCACATAAAATTTGTCATCATCGGGCAAGTATTAGTAAATTAAAAGGATAAATAGACCAACGCAGGATTCGAACCTGCGTTAAGTTCCAACAAAACCTAGTCTTTAAACGATTGAACCAACAAGACACCCTGTTTAATTTTATAAACCAACTAATAAGATAATGTGGTAAATGTGCTACCAGTAGAGAGAACCCCGTTCAAGTGCAGAACCGGATTTTCATGTCGCAGTAGCCCGAAAAGTAGAGCTTTGATAAAATCAGGGGTTTCGGGGTTCATGCTAGTTATCATACCTAATTACAAAGTTGGAAACTACCCTCAGGTTACTATTCCAAATAAATTTAAAATTTGCCTCATATAATGTGGTGAATGTGGTACTAGCCACAGGGAAAAAATAAAAATCGTCTCACAGGAGGCCCAAACCCTCAACCATTAAAAACCAAAACCCAATTTCTATTTCAAAAATTAAATTTAAAAAACCTTATTTGTAGTGTAAGAGTCCCAAACAATAAGTTTTCCATCTTGAGAGGCAGAAACCAAATTCCGAGAATCAGAAGCCCAATGCATTGCATAAATTTTAGCCAAATGTCCACGCAATGTCCGTCTGGTTCTCATTTGAATCCGACCGATTGGTTCCAAATTAGCTGCCACGGAGGCAAGTGTTGTGTCATTAGCTTGTTTTCGAGCTTCCTATAAAATTAATTTTTAAACTAGATTATATGAAAATATATAAGCAAAGTATATATCCAATAGAGATCGAGATGTGCCTGGACCAAGGCTAGGGGGTTTTTCTTTACCAGAGTCAAGGCCCAGGCGTTTTTTGATCTTCCTAGGTTTTTCCTGGGCCTGGGTTTTTCCTGGACTACAAACCCGGGATTCGGCCCAGGCCAATAATAAATAAAACCTGGAACCCAGGAATAGGCTCAGGCTTTTCAAAAATCCCGCTCTCTAATAGCCAAAAAATAATTCCCACATCCAATTTCAATTTAAACTTGGATAAGCGACTTGGACTAAATTTTACCCAGGCTTTTGATTGATTTACTTGACATAGAAAAAAGTGCAAAAAATGAAACGGAAGACAAGAAAGTTTAAAAATATTTCAGGATAATCCACTATTGAAATAAGAAGTCAGTCGGTAGCATTCATAAGGACCGTGCCAACCCCCTAGCCTCCCCAAAATTTTTAGAAAAGAAAACCTACTCTAATTTGGCTTTTTAACTGTTCCGCCTCCTGTCGTAATTGATCCAATTCACTCATTTTGCTGGTTATTTATGCGTCAAGAAAAGAGCACTCCAATTGTATAAATATAATAATAAAATGAAGGAAGAGAGTTTTTGAAGGAAGAGAGTTTGTTTGATTTGAAAACTAAAAAAATTAAAGTAATTCAGCAGAAAAATATTTTTTATCGAAAGGGAATTGTTTTTAGGGTTTAAAACAAAATATCGATAAAATAAACACTGGTTTCAAGCCAACAGGTTCGAACCCTCAACTAAATAACAGTCAAAACCTAAACGCATCCAACTAAACCACTGAGCAAACAGTGGATGTTCCAATCGATAAAAAATTATCTATTTCCGGAAAGCAAAACCACTGTTTGGAAGCTCCCTGGGTGCTCGAACCAAAATTTTGGAAGTATTGACCGGAGTACGAGTACAAGCAAAAAATACGAGCATTTACGAGAACGAGAAAAATTTAAGGAAAATGTTCGCTTATAGGAAGGAGGTTTTAATGAGTGGACTGATATGGAGTTGAGGTGTCTCTCTGAGGACTCAGCTCTTCGAGCTGACACAAGTTGAATGACTGCCTCACACGTCCATATCAGTCCATTCATTAGAAACTCCTTATAAGTAAAGAGTACCAAATTAAGGCCTGACAAGCAACTTTTTATTTAAATTCCCAGACTGATTAGGAGGAAGGTTGCCTGCTACATATCAGGGATCTAGCCGTCCCGATTCCCAAAAATCGGGAATTGAATTTTTATGTCGGCTAGATCCCTGCTACATATATAAACTAGAGCAAGACGAGACCGTTTAATTCCTCGTTTATTTTTCCCTGTGACTGCCTTTTCCCTTCTCTCTCCTCCACAAAGGTCAAAAAGTCTCGTTTTTGACCCTTGTCCTACCCCTAATCATCCTACCTTAATATAAACTATTGAAATCAAAAGTTGACCTTATTTTCTATTTTTTTTTATTTCATTAAAAACAGAAAAAAAATTTTTTTTTACCTGAACTACAGCTGTATATAATTACTGATTTTGGCTTTTATTTAGTTGCTGTTGTTGTCGTTATTATTATAATATTCTCTTAATGCGATATATTCACTATAGCGATATCTTGTAGCCATATTGAAAATTATATATAATTTTAAAATCTAAAAAACGGGAAATTAAAAATGATTTTATTGAAGGAAATAAACAAAATTAAATATTATTTTTATATTGTTTAGAAAGTGAAAATTTAATAGGAAACAAATGAAGGTGTTATTTCGCTAGATTTGTCATAGAAAAACAACGATTTCTTGCACTTATCGACTTGTAACTTTTTAAAGAGTGATCAGACATGATCCATCCAATTGGAAAAAAGATAGCGCTTATTGAGAGCTTTCGAATGCTATAAAATTCATGGTATTGGATGAGTCAAGAAAAAGTTATAGTCGATCAATGTTGGCTGACGCTCCACGCTTAAGTTACCCCAACCCAGTGTTGCCGGTTTCGTCAAATTCTTTAGTTAACCGGTCCGAACCTTCAGGGGTTCGGTTCGGTCTGAAACCGAACTCCCTAAACGAAAGACACGGTCCCCAAAGATAGAAATCTGCATTTTCAATTTAAAAAATTTTTTTATTTTGCCCCTTACCCAGGAGAAGGATAAAACAAAGTTCCGAGACTCTACCATACCCACACTCATAAACGCAGGTGAAACTAATCGTTTGGATTGAATGAATAAATTAAAGAAAATATGGAAGACTAGAAAGGATTGATTTTTGAATTAAAAAAAATTTTGAAAGATTTTTGTGTTAAACATTTAATGAAAGTTCATCCATTTTATCAATAAAAAGAAGGAAAATTAAAGGGAAAAAACGTTTTGAAAAAAAAATAGTTTGAAATATATACACACATCTACCCCACAAAAAAGGGGGTCTAGTAATAACCACAAAAGGAAAAAAAGACGAAAAGAGTGAGTGTTTTGTTGTGGTGGCAGTCATGGGGATTGAGACTAGAAAATGAAAAATATATTCGAGAAAATAGAAAGGGAAGTATAGTTGTGTGTGAAGAAAGGTTTTTTTTGTGACTTTGTATAGGAGAGAAACACATAAAAATGGGAGGCAATTGCCTTTAGGAGAAATAAAGAGGAGTAGTAGAGTCTTACAATAAAAAGTGTTGGTAGACGGGAGAGATAATGTTAATGAAAGAGACGACAGAGAAAAATACAAAAATTTAAATTTTGTTGAAGGGCTAGTAGAGTCTAACAATAAAAAGTGTTGAGATGCTAGAGATAACGAAAACGAAAGAGACGGCAGAGAAAAATACAAAAATTTAAAGTTTTGTTGAAGGGTTAGTAGAGTCTAACAATAATGTGTTGAATAAGCAAGAAAGATAACGAAAATGAAAGAGACGGCAGAGAAAAATACAAAAATTTAGAGTTTTGCTGACAGATGGTTCTGTATCAGATTGTCTTAAGGTGACAAAAGGTCAAAACCTGTAATTGAATCCACGTCCTCTCTATTAGAGGTGGAGCGGGTAGCCGAGACATGACCCGGTACACGGGCTATTTTTTGACCGAAATCCGATCCTAAAAAAATTTTAAAAACCAGACCCGAGTTTTTTCTTAACCTGGCCCGTCCCTTGTTCTCTACTGTAAAGAGGAATTAATGAATTGTTAAAGAAAAAATAATTACTTCAACAATAGGTGACAAAATTAATAAATTATTTAAATAAATCAAGTAAAACAATAAACAGGCAATCCCGGAGAATTGGGGTTTCTTCGAATAAAAAGTTTAAAAATAAGAAAAAGGGTTTTTCTAGGGTAAAAAAATACGCTGATTACGAATCCGAGCTCAGATTTTCAAAAAGTCGAATCCCGGACCCGAACCGAATTTCGAACCCTGAACCCGAATTTCGAATATGCAAATGATAGCTCGTTCGAAAGAGCTCGCCGAGCTGCATCGAATGACACCAAAATCAACGTGATTGGACCTGTTTTGACAAAGTTATGACACAAAATATACCTATGGGAGTACTGTAGGAGTCGGCGACTTATGTCATAACTTTGTCAAAACTTGATCAATCACTGTAATTTTGGTGTCATTCAACTCATCTAGTCGAGCTCTTTCGAATGAGCTATCATTTGTACAAACTTTTTTTATTCCAAAAAATCGTCCCTTTGGTTTTTCAATATTCAGGGGTCTGTATCTCGGTCCAATCATGCCGGATTTCATTGATTTTGGTGTCATTCGACTCAGCTCGATGAGTTCTATCTGTCAGTGAAAGACTGACCATTTTGTACAATGTAGGACAATGTCCGGGGTCAAATTCCGAATTCGGGTCCGGGATTCGACTTTTTGAAAATCTGAGCTCGGATTCGTAATCAGCATATTTTTTTACCCTAGAAAAATCCCTTTTCTTATTTTTAAACTTTTTTTTCGAAGAAACCCCAATTCTCCGGGATTGCCAATAAACAGATAATGATGATATTTTAGACGAAAAGGCTTAGAAAATACAAAGGATAAAAAGCGTGTCGTGTTTAAAAACAATGAGTTTTACACAAACCTAGAGATAGACACAACTGTCTGTATTTATTAGAGCAATATATGTCTGTATGTCTAACCAATAAATAGGGGGGACAGTTGAGTCTCAGTCCATAACTTCTTTCAGACTTGGACGATCTGAACAAATTTTATATCATTTGAAAGCCCTTGAAATGCAGAATAATTCATCCAACTGGACTAACCTACTCGGATCATCCCTTAATAAGATATGACCGGATAAATGACGGCACTGTCCAGTTTTCTCTCTTTCTCTGTTCATTATAGGCTCCCAACAATATTAGCTATAAAAACGTTTTTGCACAATTTGCAGCGGTCCTCTCTCTCTTTTCGTCTCCCGAACAATTTTGCTTTCATCTATGGATTACGGGCAGTCGATATTTTGACGATGAAAAGAAAAGGAAAAATGGTAGAGGAAGAAAAAGCCTTTTTATAGAGGAAAAATAGAAGAAAAATTTTAAAAGAAAAGAGGGGATTTTCTTTAAAAAGCAGTAAAATACAAATGTAATTTATTGTAAATTTATTGGAAAAAATATTAAAATTTGTTTTTGAGAAATACAATCTCTCTAAATGTACCCAATTTCGAAGCAAAAAAATTCACGAAATTTCGAAAACGAAAAATTTTTACGAAACGAAGAAACACGAAATTCGAAACGCGAAATTTCGAATTGATGTAAAAAATATAAAATACAATTTAACAACGACACTCACCCTTTCAGCCCCAAACACCTCCAAATTCACGGGGTATATCGTTACAACTGTTATAAATAGGGTTGCAAGCTCGCTTTAACCGAAACTCGAAAGATTGGGCGAGCCGAGGCTTTTCAGCTCGAAAAACTCGAAAACGAACCGACTCGAAAAAACCCGAACTCGAAAAAAACCGAACTAGAAAAAATGCAATGAACGTCGGCTCGAATCGAAAACGGCAACCCTAGTTATAAAGTCACTTTTTGTGGTCATTCTGGATGAGTAAAACAAGTAAAACAAATTTGGATAAATAATTCTTAAATTAAAATTAGCTATAATTTTAAGAGGAAAGAAAATACTAAAAAATTTTGTTAAAAATAATTTCTATATTTGGTTGTTGATTTATTGTTGTTTAAAAAATAAAAATAAACTAAATTACTATATTTGGAAATAAAAGTACAAAGATTACAAAATTCTCAAGAATAATTAATCAAAAAAAATATTTAAAAAATAACAATCAAGTTTAACAATTATTATTATTAAATTGAGTAAAAATAATTAATCAAAATTTGTTTGAGTAAAATTATTTTAGATTATGTATTATAGTTAACGAAATTTATAAAATAAAATAGTGAAGAAATAAAAACAAAATTTGAAAATGCGAAATTGAATTTCGAAATTGAATTTCGAAATTCAATTTCGAAATTAAATATGAGAAATGCGAAATTCGAAATATAAGATTCGATTTTCGGGGGGAAATTAAAAGTCTAAGAAAACGGGAAATTAAAAGTCTAAGATTAAAGTAAAGGAACCGGGCCGTGACGATGAACTAACATACCTATCCTCTTGAGGCAGTAAGGTTGTAAAGGCCGGATATCCGGATCCGAAAGAAGGCCGGATATCCGGAAATTTTCGGTTCGGGCCGGATATGGATGTCCGAAGATTTCCAACTATCCAACATGTTAAAGCAGGGTGGGGCAAATCAAAAATTCAATTCGAAAAAAATTTTTATTTCAAAATTAAAAATCTCAACCTTCCAAATCTGTGCACTTAAAATAAAGAAAAGCAAAGAAATAAAAGTGCTATGAAATAAAAAAAATTTTTTAAGAGGAAAATTTGTGTGTTTTAGTAAAATAAAAGAGAAAATGCAAAAAAGACCCTCCCTATCCACAGACAAAGTAATCCACCCGACAAAAGACGTCATTCCCTTACCCCCCAAAAAATGTTTAGAGTATATTGCTCATAAATACAACTGAAATATTATACTAAATACTTCACTCATTTTCTACATAAAAAATGTTTTTTAAAGTAAAAAACCGCAAAAAAAAACTAGTTAATATATCCTCTTCCCTTCCCGTCCTCGCTCATTTCCCTCCCATTATTTCTCTTTTCAAGACTTTCAAAAGTTAGATTTAATACATCGGAGCTTATTATAAGATAACCTCTCAGGGGCAAAAACGAGGTGTCTCCTAATGAGCTGTACATTAAATAGAGGATATCGTTTAGCCAAAAAGCTTCTTTAGTTAATAAAGCTTCAAAAACGCCAATCCTAATAATTAAGTTTGGATTTTCAGAGGCCAATGAGATAAGGAGGATATTAAGGGGGAAATAAGCGGGTATAATGGGGTTTCTTAAATCCTCTGAAGCCCTCAATATGTATTTCTGCTACAACATTTAAAATTAAAGTTGGGTGGGTTTTGGGGTCGCAAAAAGTCCAAGGGTTTCGAATAACTATTGGTCCACAACCAAAAAATATTTTAAATTGAAGCATATCTGGGGGTTGAAGCTCGTTAAAAACACAGCCCTCAAGACCGAATTGTACAGAACTATCAAGGAAAGAGAGAGACGAGCTAACAGGGAGACGTCGTGTTTTATCGAGATTCGAGTGTTAATAAATAAACAAGAAAGTGTTTGTTTGTTAAAAATATTTTTTTTCTGTTTATAGTTAAACCAAAGATTATATAAACATACTAGTAGAATATTTAAGAAAAAAAATATATTTTCTGAGAAAATAAATATTTAAATGTTTATTCATGAAAAAACAAAAATTAAAAAAAAATCTAAATTTGTTCTCAACTTCATTTTTGTTTAAATAAAGAAGGGGTTGTTTATTGAAAAGAAAATACTAATTTTGGAAGAAAAAAGAGATTAGGAGAAAATTAAATATTTAAATATCTACAAATGTGCTTAATTAAAAATTAGTTTTTTTAACTGCTGCTCTAACATTTCAACCCTATTTGACATAAATACGAACATAAAAATAGGTGTGTGATATCAAAAAATTCGGGTTTCGAGTTTTGGGTACACAAATTGTAGAGACCTAAAAAGCAATAAAAAATATATTTTTTCTGAGAAAATAGGTAGGTAAGGCAATTTGACGTAATTGCCTTTGGCGATTTAAAAAAATTTGAAAAATTAGCATTTGACGTTCCACGCAGAAATTTTGGCGCACAGTCCTGAATCTGATTAAATAGAGGGGTGTCTCGGGTTACTAAAATCCGAAACCCGAAATTTTTTCTTTTCGATACAAACCCGGACTTTTTTCGACCTGAAACTCAATCCGAAGAAAATTTTGAAAACCCCGACAAGAAACTCAGCTTTTGACTCAACCCATGACGGACACACAAAACTGGACTTTTTGATAAAATTTAATAAAAAAAATAGCAGCAAAAAAAATTAAAAATAAAAATATATTCTTAAATAAAAATTTTATATGACGAAAAAAGGAAGTATAATAAAGAGTATATGTCTAATGTAAAAAAATAAAGGTCTAGTAGTATATTTATTATTAATATACCTATATTATTATTATTTTTAATAATTATTTGCTTTTGTTTTTATTTTTCAGAATTAAAAAATATTTACGTAATTAGAAAGGTGAGGAGATCTTCTTCTTCTCTTTTTTTGTCTTTTTTGTGTGACGCA